CGATAACTGCCCAGCCAAAGCAAACATCCCATCTAATCGCCCTTCTGCAAACACATTTAATAGTAACAATGTTAACGTTGTTAGTAGTAGCACGTACAACTACAAACATTGGCATGTTAAACATTTATTCCCCTAGTGCTGGTGTAAATTGGATGGAATCGGCAACGTTGCGGTAGCGCAGCGCACTTTGATTTGAGTTAGGTTTGGTTTGGGCTGCGTCGCGCATCACTGCATCTATTACAACAACTACAACGAGGAGAAGAAGCCAAGGACAGAGCCATTTGAAGGTTATGTACGATGTTTCCTGGTCAATGTTCGATGCCCCCGTGCCCCCCTTCAGCCCCTCCAGACGCTGCACTAGGCACAGATACGTGTGTAATAATCATCGGCGGACCCGCTAAAACGACTTCTGTTGATGTTGATATTATTGACGCGTATTTAGGGCTGGCTACTCGGCTATCGCGGCGGCTTTTATCGAACACGTAATAGGAAATTTCACTGTCTTTTGGTGGATTCGTGCGCGGGCGTAGCAGGAAAACGAAAACGGGTTATTTGATTTGCGGTTTTTCTAAATTTGGAATGACGATATCGGAAAACTTCTTGATAATATTGTAGACGTACCTACGTAATAGCGGTTGCAAAAGGAACTTATTTCACGGTTTAATGTTTAATCGATAACTATTTATAGGAGAAAACAGCTCTAAAAACAATATATCCTAAATTTTTCTTACTATCAGTGAAATGCACAAAGTACCCTTAAATAGAGCTCATATTTAGATTACACATAACTTATTGAATTTTTCATTTAGTGAGTGTAGATAAAGCACGTCAGTTTCCTTTTAGAACGTTTCATAATCGCCCGACTGAGGAAGACGACCTATTTATTTATTGTTACGCTTTAGAATGGAATTGTCTCGGAGATTTGATAACATGAAACGACATTTCCTACTTAAAAGTGTCCACTTTAATAGAGCCTAAACTTTTTCGTTTGCCGTAACACCAGAGGTCAAAATCCCTAATATCCAATGTCAGCAACTCGGCCTCGACCGACGTTTATCTGCAACTGCCGCTATAGTTTTTTTTCTATTTTGTTTATCGTTATTTATTTTATATAATCGTCAACTCTGTAGGTTCAAGACATCTCGAAAAATTAAATCTTGGAATAAATTTATACCCAGTTGAAGGTTTGGATGGATGAAGGTGCTAACTGACAAATTGGAATTTTTGTTATAACACCAAATCCTTTTTTATCAAGCTCCCTTGAGAATTTTATGTGCTGTAAAATCAAATTACAAAATTTACTTCAGCTACATTGATATTTTCAAATGCTTCTTCCATGTTCTTGTTCTTTGCTCTTATTATTATTTTTCCTGAGAGAGAGCTGTATTTTCTATTTCCTCTTCTTAAGTTTTATTTGTTTTGTTGTAGTCGCGTTAACCATCAGTAAATATATTACATTATATTACTTAACCAACTAAAATAAATATAAATTCGTTTTGAAACTGTGCTAGTCTTCGATAAAATTAGCAACAAATTGTGAAACAAATTAGCGGCAAATCGAAACGTGATTATCCGGCAGTAACAAAATTTTATTGAAATCGAACGATTCGCGATGGTAATTAGTCGGTAGGCAGTTACAATGCAGGAAGTGTCGATGCATGAGATTTGTATTATTTATATTGCAATGCAGAAAAAGAAGACTCCGACTCTCTAAAATGAAAGTGCATTTTCATAGTGAAAACCGTGAACCAGCCGCGGTAAATAGCAGTTTCAGTCGAACAATAACAAAAATGAACGTTTTTCTTGTCGCTGCGACCTAAATTCCGGATAATTTTTGCTTAATTAGGAGTTATTTTGCTATTTTTTAGTATTTCGTATTTAGAGGAAAACATATCGGATTATGTATTTTAACCTAAGCGGTTGATGAACGATCAAGCAAATGAAAGATTCCTGTTTTTCAATCCCTACCTCTTAAAAAACAAAACGGGATCAGGTTTTAATAAAAACACAAATACCTAATAAAGAAAAATCGGAAGGGCTGTATACGTTAGGCCTTTTTGTATTCGAAAAGTGGGTCAAATGAAGGCGGTGCGGTATTTGTCATGTATGCATGGGGTTGATATGAACACACAGGTAAATTTTCAAGGAAAAAACCATCTGCACTCGACGAATTATTTCTTCTATGTATACTTCTATGTATACGAAATATATTAATAACTCATTGCATAAAATGTAAACATACCTACAGATTTTTTAAATAATCCAAAATAATGTCAATTTAATGCAACTCAACGTGGCGCTCATGGGCTAAGTGATGATAATGATTTTTTTTTTAATTTTACTGGGTGCAGTTGGCTGTTTATTCTGTCGATCAACAGGCGGAGCAGAAAGGTGTTCGAAACCTGAAAGAGACGGACATATGTATTTTTATCCCGGAAATCAATTATGTAAAGAGAGGGTGTTGTAAACAGGTAGTGAGTCGATTCGTCTTTGGATTTAACTCAAATTATAGCCTTCTTGTCTCCTGACAGGTAAAGCGGGGGAAGTTTCTTTATCCGTAGTAAAACTCAATCGCCAGGGGTTATCAGACTTCCCACGAATATTAAAATACCTTGTTAATTTAATTTAATTCCTGTAAATAGGAGTGTGCAGTGCTGTTAAGAATATTGAAATTAAAGTTTGTATTGTTAATTTAATAGATAAAGGCAGTATTTTTAAGAAGATGCATAACCTTTTGCTTTCAAAATATGAAGGAATTGCTTCAAGGTATGTATATGCGAAAAATGAAGTGAAGGAAGAGAGGTTTTGCTTCGAGGACCCTGCTGTTGCTTTAAAGCAAAAGGTTTTATGGGTTTCAAACCGTTTTCTCTTACCTTTTGCTTCTACCCTTTACGTCAAAGTAAATGCTTCATTTTTATAAATTTTTATAAATATGGACTAATAAGAATTCTGTCCAATGGTATTACTGATGGAGGTGTGCCTATAAGAGTAGACAACGAGCATTTAGATAATAGCCCATATTTATAAAAATGAAGCATTTACTTTGAAGTAAAAGGTACAGGCAAAAGATAAGAGAAAAATGTTTTAAAACCTTTGTTTAAGGTTGTTCTTTTTACTCATATACCGTGAAGCAATTCCTTCATTTTTTGAAGCAAAATGTTATGCTTCCTTTTATGAATACGGCCTAACATTTCATATAAAACACGACTACAAACTAATTTTACATCATTTTCTGCTTTCGATAAGCGCATTGTGCGCTAAAAAAATGTTATTGAATCTTCCTCATAACTCGTTATCTCATTCGCTTCATAACACACATAATTCGAAACTGAGAAGTGACTCGGCTTTACGAAACAAGGACGGAACTGCATCGTCGAAGATAGGAGTGAACCGCTTATTGAACATTGTAGGCCTTGAACAGGCCGTCCACCCCGGTACTCCACACACCCTCTCCCTCACTTCTTTGGTTCAGTGACGTGTCTATCGCGGTCGCACTTGCACTTTTGCAATGATATAATTATAGAATTCGACATGCGCACTAATGTGTGCCACCAGGGTCAATGTTGCCGATCGGTCGTGAGTAATTTCGTCTCGAATGTAACGATTTGAAACAATAAAGATGCATATGTGGAAGTTGGATTATTTGTTGATGTATGCATTATTTAGCTGAACAGTTTTCGGTTCGTTTGCTAATTAACGTTGCAACATTATTAGGTAAATGTACGTTGAGCACTAGGTAATACTTTTAATTATAATTTGGAAAAACTGGGGTATATTTGCTACCATGGTGTTCTTAATGTACGAGGATCGGTTGAAAAATAGGGGTGATACGGCAACGTCGCGTAATGGCCTTCACTCTCGCTGTTTTGTATTATTGAGTATCTTCGAGTATGTGTCGTTTTACTTCTTGCTTTTTTCTTTTTTTTAACCTATGAGGCGTTACGTGCAACGGCGACCGGAAATGGCTCGATTGCATTTTAGTTTTCTTTTTTCATCCGCGAATTTCTTTAGGATTTTTGCTGAACTTTCATTTCACCAATTGGGCTTCCTATTGCATGGAAATTTTACTGTATAAAAAACTGCTTTTGTTTATTTGACAAGACGAAAATTTGGCCACAGCTCGAAAGAAGTTACCTGTACGGATTACCTGGCGCATCAATATTGATCAAATACATTATTAGTTCAAATATGAACGGTTTAATATTCCTCATTCCTTAGCAACAGAAAAAAAAGTAATATTTAAAAATAAAACAAATATCTATTAATGTAACAGTTTGGCCTACCATCCAAATTTGCGGCTCCTCTGCTACTGATGTTGCACTAAAAATATATTAAATACATCAAATATAAAAAAAGGGAAATGATACCAAAGCCAACAATTCACTAAAAATATTTTCAAGTAATAAAATAAATAACAAATAGCAATCACTGGTAAACAACCCACACCATTTGTCTATCCGTTATGCCTGACAATTTTATTTTTCTACTCTCTCCTGTTTTTTCGCATTTCAACAGTTATCCCAGGCGCATAAAATACACAATTTTAACGCTCAACTAACAAATGGCGCTTTTGCGCAGTTATACGCATACGCCGGAAAGAATAAAAATAAGAAAAAGTAAATCTGAATAATGCGAAACGCCTCTGCCCCGGCGACAAGGAAATTTGTTATTTACGATTCGCAAATCGCCATCCTACGACGTTCAAGCTATCGGCGCCAATCCACTAACATTTTGCATTGATAAAAAATCGACACAATAGTAGAACACAACAGTACTTAGAAAACGTTTAAGGAGCAATTGAGAGTAAAAGTGAACGCTAAAAAAATCTGTGCATACAAAAACCATAACCGGTCGTTCATCAACTTCGTATTGCTGCAGGCAATCTTGTATTAAAGACTTTAATAAAGATTTAAATTCCGCAACCGCCATTAATTTAACCGTCAAATTAATTTCAAAACACTTCAATAGCATCCGATTAACGAATTGTTTTTATTTTGCAGATTTGGACCCATACAACAGCTACCTACTCCAACAGCACCAAGTCCAGCAGAGCCATCATATGCACCATAGTCAAAACCCATTCACCACGCCATCTCCTCCCTCGCCGCCGATCAGACACTCCATACCCACATCAGTCATACAAGCCGCCACGAGTAGCATGTACGATGATCCGTACATGCTCGGCTTCTCGTCGAGGAAACTCAAGAAAGTAAAGAAGCAAAAACTTGGCGAGCCCGGCACGGTGAAGAGGAAGAGCAGGGAGGGCTCCACTACGTACCTCTGGGAGTTCCTGTTGAAGTTGCTCCAAGACAGGGAGTACTGTCCGAGATATATCAAATGGACCAACAGGGAGAAGGGCGTCTTCAAGCTCGTCGACTCCAAGGCGGTGTCGAGGTTGTGGGGCATGCACAAAAACAAGCCGGACATGAATTATGAAACCATGGGAAGAGCATTGAGATATTACTACCAGCGCGGCATTCTAGCTAAGGTCGACGGGCAAAGGCTGGTATACCAATTTGTCGAAGTACCTAAGGATATAGTCGAGATAGACTGCACGGGGGCGGCGTGAACTAGTCGCTCTCCATGTCAGAACATGTAAAAACCCTTCGGCTGGCGAAACGCCTGCCGTATCTCGAAAGTACAACAAATCACAAATTATTTATTTAGAAATATTGCGTTTCTAGATTTGTAAATACATACTAGCTATGACTCAAAAAGTAAACGAAACAACAACGAATTTTGCAGTTTGTAGTGTTTTTGAAAGATCTCATTGTTTAATAGATACTCGTATTTATTTTAAGTTAGTGAAATAATTTTGAAATTCCAAGACAAAGCTACGTTCTATTGCTAATTGTCAAAGTCTTGCTCTTGCAAGTCAATCTAAGTAATATAATTACAACATTTTTAAGCTCTTTAACTCTATTGTGATGTCATTACAGGTGCTGGGTTACACTGCCACATATTCTTTTATTCATTAAAAAAATTACCAGAATTACATTTTATAGGATCACTGCAATGAAGTAAAAAAAAATAAGAAAAATAATGCTTGGAATATTTGAAATTGTTTTGTTAACTTTGCGACACAAAATCGACGAGTCTGAATCCTTAGGTGACCTGAAGATTGGAAATGGTTGTGATTTGATGAAGGACATTTTATTAAGGGTTGGAATAGTTATAATCAGTGCCCACTTAGCACTATTTCATACGAATATACATTATTTCGAAACATTTAATCTCAGCTGAACGTTTGGACCAACCTGTGGACAATTCCTGGCCTTTCAAGCCAACATAATTGCCAATACATAATACATAGTTCTTAAAAGTTCTTCCTCTGTACTTTGTTTCAATACCGCGGACCAAATGTTCCCATTCGCATTTTAAAAGTGCTTTTTAATGAAAGCCTATAAAAATATTTAAAACGGTTGATGTATAAATAGTTTATAAAAATCAAAATAAAAAGTAAGGAAAATGTAAAGCAGTTGTTTGTATAGTATGGAATAGTGATAATTTTGTTATTTAAGAGATTTTTATAAAAAAATATATAAGGATATCAATTATAAATATTTAATAGAATTAAAGATAGTTGGATTTGTGAGATTTGTGATAAGAAAGGTTTTTGGGGGAAGTCTTTTTTTCAAATTTTGTTACCTACGAGGGTTGATCCATATTTCCATCCCGTTAGATGTTGGGAAATTGGGGTAATGGAAAATTGGAACTACCCACGTAATTTTTTATTAAGGAAGGTGCTTTAAATTGGATTAAGAAAAGACTGCGAGGTGCCTAGCGATTGACAGAAAAACTAATGAAATGTCAATAAATAGCTCTCTTTATTTCCATTTAAATAGAGTTGCAAATCTTTTTTTTTGGCTTTTGATCTCAGTTTGTACACAAAAATCGTTTGTAGAATATTGATTATAGAACAATGGCTACACATCATCAAATTTCAAAATATCCACGATATCTATATGATTTGTATTCAATAGTTTGCGGTAGAGTTTTGTAATATTATGCTAATAAAAATTAGGTGTTGTCGTCCCCAATTGGGAAATTATACACCTTTTTTTTTCTAAATTAACCAGACAATTAGTCAATCTAAGAAAATGTACTTCAAATAGGTGAAATTTGTATTCTATAGTGGTATGTTCAAACTAAATTTGATTTACATAAAAATCAAATATTACAGATAATTTAAAAAAATGTATAATAAAAAAGAAAAATGTATATAGAAAGTGTTTCGTACTTATGTTTAATTCAATTTTGGGTCATTTTGAGCTTAAAACGTTGTAAGTTATTCTAAGTGTACATTCTGTATAGTATTTATTTAATAACTTCGAAATAAATATCACACATTACTTTTTTGTAAATTTTTGTAACTTTCTGTGATTTTTGTAATTTTAGTGTTTTTTTTTCTTTCTAAATTGTTCTATGTTATTAAACATATGTACCTAAATATGTGTCTTGAAAATTAAAACGCAGTGCAAATCAGGGCAAAATAATAATTAACGTAGATTTTTAGATAAAATTGAAAATTAACCCAGGACTTGTCTCAGCGAAAATTTGTACTATAAAATATAAGAATAATTGTGTAGAACAAACAGTTGTATGTGTTAATTTTGTGTAAAAAATATTGTGCACAAACCCCTCGGAAAGCTGGCAAATTTCTAAAATTGTTATTGTAACTTGAGAAACCAATAAAATGTTTGCATTGGGAAAATAGTTTTCTATATAAGTTTTGCCAGCTTAAAGGGGGGATATAAAAATTTGTTGACTTATCGTCCAAATAACTTGTGATATGTCTGCATGTTTGTTAACTGTCACCAATATAGCGAATATACACGTTATCTGTTAAATGTATTTAAAATTGTTTTTACTTTTTTACCAACCATCATCAGTGATTGTAGTACTGTGCAAAATTCTGGCAGTTATTTCTGATTGGCTGGTATACACATCACTTGTTTATTTAAAATGAGCAATTTTACAAGATATATGAAAATTATCAAATTTTTGGTGATATTGCAATAGAAATGTTACAGTTTGTATATATAGATAATTTTTATCCTTTAGCAAAAACAGATACCTACCTTTAGATATTAAGAATTTTATTGATTTTAAAATACAATATTGTATAGTTTTTATTTAGTTTAAGACAAGGTACTTCTTTATATATAGTTTATTGTAATATTTTGTCTTTACAAAAATATATGGTAAAAATTTTTTAGCCTTATTCATTTTTTTAGGATTATGAACCCCCTGAATTTATCCTTTGAACAGAAAAGCCCATCTTATACAAGGATTATTTATCCAACAATAGTAGTAAAGCCATTTGAGCTCAAGATAAAGATCAAACAGGAATGCATTAATCTCAATAATTAAAACAATTGTACAGGTTAAGACACAAAATATATTAAAAAACTTATTATTTAAAGAGTAATTATCAAACATTACAATCCATAATAAATACCTACTTGCATTTAAAAAATATAAAGCTGAATTCGTTCAGAAAGCGTAATGCGTTCTGATATCTTCAAGTTTTTTAGAAACTTCTGCTGGAGTTCTATCCAATTCCCCAGCGATAAATTTCTGTTTGGATGGTTCCAATGAATTATACTGTTCACACATATCACCATCAATTACATTCTAAAATAAAAAAAAACCAAACTTATCAATTTACCTCGAATTGAATGCAATTAATTTCATTCAAAAAACTAAACAATCAGTTCTTATAATAAAATCATCGCTATCATAAGTCTAGCATGTGAATTATTAGATTCATCATTGAAACGCAATTGTACATAGTTTTAATAGATAAATTTAAATTATTATAAAGCTTACCTTAACTGGAAAATAATAACTCCTAAAAGACAAATGATCCCTTCCACACAGTGGAGAATTTTCGCTTCTCATATGCATTTCTAAATGCTGGAAAAATTCATGATCCTCATGAGAAGTAAACGGTACCAAAACACCTACGGTTCCTGATAATGTTGTATATATAAGAGATTCAGAACCGCCGGGAATTAGTGTAGCTTTTTGAAGCCACGTAACGGTTTCACCAATGTGAAATGTAGTAATCGTATCGGTTTTCTGTGAAGCTCCATTCAGGAGTCCCCTATCCCACAATGCCTTGTGACCTGTAGGGTCCTCTTCAACGTCATCGCTAACGTTAGCAGGAAGTCTCAGGATTGCAACATTGCCAAATTTATCTGCAGTAGCAATTGTATCATAATCTAAAACCGATGTGCATGTAATCCATCGAGGGTGCGTGTCGTCGGCGAAAATTATAAGTTGATTTTCAGCGCGTTTGTATCGAACCATGAAGACCGATTCTTGTACATCGGAAACGAATATTCTTTTGCCCATGGCTTGAATATTAACAATAATATTCGGAATGTGCTAAAATAATAAAATAAAATAAGTTATACAATTAAAATTATCAAACAAAATTTAAATTTATGAATTTATTTTAATCAGTACTGCAGGATTTCCACATAGAAGTTAAGATAATTTGGTATCATCATTTAGGTAATGAAAATTCTTATCTGTCAATTATAGTAAAATTTCTACTTACTTTATTCTCGCATTTCCTTAATAATTTCTTCTTTCCCATGTCATACAGTCTCAACATTTTTCCAACACCAGCTAATAACCTGCCATTGTAAGAACATAAAGCATTAGGTACTTCGTCCACTAGTGTCCTATGAACTAATTCCAAATCCTTGCCAAGAAGATCTACTTTGTAAGTATCCAAATATCCAACACTGCATTGTCTTGGTATCATTTGAAAATCCTTAGCAATGCCGATAATCAGAAACCACTGATGTTCCGGTTGGCCATGAAACTGAAATTAATTACAACATTACATCTGGGATCCATGAATTTTGAAAAACAATTTTCGCAAAAATGCATAGGTGATCGACTAACCTTAACTAAGGCAAGTGACATGGCTGCTTCATTTTGCTCCAATCTGATTATTTTATAAGTGCTACCCTGCACAGGATCCATGATTCTTATAGTCGACGCCCACATTCCATGACCTGCCTTTGGGGCAGAAAAAATACTTTCCGGTAAATCTTCATTCAAAAAAGCTTCCGCCATTTCTTTAGCTAATTCTTGCTCGTCGTCCGCGGCCGCTTCTAACATTTCCTCGGCCATTTGAAGTCGTCGTTGTTTTTTAGTTTCTTTCGTATAAGCGTTGTGTTCGGTCTCTAAAATTATAAGGTTGCTGGATTCTGGATGAATTATAAATTTTCTTGGAGTATATTCCAATGGAAATGAAACCTTTAAAAAACATTCTTCAAGCATAAAGTTCAACAATGTAAATCTATTATTTTACCTGATTGAAAACGGCTCCCAACTTTTCCAATGCCAAGATTCTTAAGGTATTCGTAGAAATAGCAACGATACCTTCAGGACATTGTTCTGAACTAAATCCCGAAGCGTACTCTAAGCTTTCATACGATAAAGGCGTTAAATAGAAGCGACTCTGGTAATAGTAGCTCAACCAAGATCTACTGCTCATCGCCAAAACAGCCTCAGATTGATGCATTCTACAACGGAATTCAAACAAAATAATTATTCCTGTTCGTCAAAAGGAAATTAAAAAAAAACATACCGTATTCTGAAGAGCTTAACTGGCCTAGAACCTAAATATCTTGTTCTGGTGTCTGTTAAATCACCTGAAACAGGATCTAAAACTGATCGCCACAGAGTTCCGTTTTGTAACCCCACATTTAAATACAAAGTGCTCGTAGTGCTAGCTTGTGCTGCATTATCAGGATCTCTTTCAGTACAGCCCATCTCCACTATACAAAGAGATTCGGCACAAACTGGCAACGGTTGCATAGCTCTGGGAGCCAAACAATCACTGGGATCTGGATAAAGATGAACAAAAAAATGTAACGAATTCATTAAGAGTACTCTATTAAGATTTCCTTACCGAGCGACAGGGTTCTGACAGTACCATCAGCTAAACCTACAGCCAAGAACCATGATCTTTGTTGACCAGCAGGTACATTGGCTAACGCCATACATAGAACGTCAGAGTTCATTCGTTTTCGTTCCTTGTACTCGTGTAAACCTCCACTCTAAAAAATATTTTCCATATAATTGTCGATGATTTTTACATTGGAATAAAAAAATAAATGCGTGATTAAATATTAAATGTTCAATCTTGATTCACTCCAATATAACACAAAGATACACCGGAGGCGACAAGATCAAATTTTATCTAGCACAAATGTTGATCTACACACAAATATATTGCAAGTAGAACAATGGAACAATTATGCAAAAATTCTTTTCCTTTTATATTAATGTTAGGTACTTGTGTAATTACATTACTCTAAATAAAAACTATAAAATTTAACATATCTTGTACTTACAGGATCCATTTCGAAACACACTAATTCTCCCCCAGATAGAGCGATAACGACCTGTCTCTGATTGACGGCACATTTGACAATACTTTTTTTGCCTGCGTTCCATTTATTTACACGCTTGTCAGCTAAAATGTGCCTCATTCCGTCCGGGTATATCTGAAAAATATTAATACACGATGAATATTTATAAACTTACTTAAAATGGCCAATATCAAGAAATAATAAGTAATACCAAACAATGAATTAATATCCTATACATACTTGTACGAGAGTATTATCACTAAGGGCAGAACATGATAAAGTAGGAGTAGTACCCAAAAATCCACTGTCTGTTACTTCCTCAACAGTTTCACCAATCGACAACACTAAAGTGGCGTTTGAAAAAGACACAATGATGTACGCGTCGTACTCATCTGAAACAACAAATATATTTGATCAACAATTATTATTTAAAACATAGAAGTTGCCTAAAGTTCCATAAAACTTCAGTTTTAGAGAGTGTAATCATTGTAACTCAGTTGAAACACGGACTAAAATGTTCATCATGAAAATATAGTACATAATTAATATGCTTGAGCTCGATTGTATATCCAAGTTGATATATTTAATAGCGATATTAGTTATCATTACGTTGAACTAAGGCTTACATTTTTCTGTAGACCAGAATTCTCTCCTGATAGACTTACCACACTTGCAATATCCACAGTCTTACAATTAGTACACAGGATCTGAAATAAAAAGACTGGTGTTGAAATTTGTTCAACAGCCAGATGTAATTAAAAATTGAATTACTTTAAGCAACTTTTATATCTTTCAAGATCTCAAATCTCATCAAGAATTTTTAATTCATAATGCAATATTCCTCAAAGGGAGGACCATTGAAAAAATAACAGTTTACAAGTTTAAAAAAACCACATACCATCACTTCGTCTTTTCACAGTCCATACGGCGTTGGGATTACCAGGCAACTCAGAAACGGCCATTTCAGACACTTCCAAACCGTGTCTCAGAACTCTCATGGACGATCTCGGCCCTCTTCCGCACAGCATGTATAACTGGGGAGTATCCTCACCGGCTAAATCGGCTACACGCGATGACAAAATAGGCGACAGCGATTCCATCTCGTCAACTAAGACGAGATTTCGAAGAGGACGCGGCGCGAAAAAGAATGTATCACCTTCTTCTAATGGCATGGCGGAACTAAATTCCAGCTCATCATCGCCATCACCCAAATGTGCAATTTGGTAAAGGTAGCTGAATGCAAAGAAAAAAAGGATTTAGTACAAGAGTACTGAAGCTGTATTTTGTAAAATAAATTATTAATTGATTCTATTAGATCTAAAATGAGAGATTTACTGATAAATTAAGAATGTCCCAGGTTTGGAGGCCAATACATCTTGTAATATTTAATGCATTGGTACTATGTACGGGTTTTTTATTTAGGACCAATATAAAATATCAGCTTCTAGACAACTGAAGTTGTAATGAAACTGTGTCAAAGTCCAATTAAAGAATGTGCATCAAAAGTTACATGTAGTCAGTTAAATTGAAATAAAAAATATAACTTACTGGTTACCAAATTCCGAAGCGACGAAGAGGAAACCAGTCTTCAGCACGCACATAGCAGTCGCAACAGGTACGGTATCAAAATACTTCAATTTAATCTCGGTGACCATATCGTTAACAGTTTCTAGAGTGATTTTAAAAATGTCTCCTTGTTCCGTTTGAGCCAAAAAGAAAAACATAGATTTTGTCTTATGGGTGGCAGAGCATACAAAAATCATGCCCCTTTCCGGATCGTCTAAATCGTTACGTCGACGCGGTATGGGACAACGAATGTCGTGTTGTTCGCCCAAATTTTTGTACGTCAAATAATTTTCAGAACAGACCAATACGCCCGAAGGTCCATCATTTCCACCAGGTACCGTTACTAAGAAATTGGCGTGTTCTTCCAAGGGCTCAGAGTATTTTCTAACGACGTGGTTAACGGCCAAATCTATTTCGTAGAAGGTGAGAGTTTGCTGGGTCTTTTGGGCCGCTTCGCCTGTCGGATCTGAATCAGCTTCATCGTAATCGATTTCTAAACAAGCGAATATGGGGTTGTAATAACCGACATCTACTCCTACCATGTGATAGACTAATGTGTTGCTCTTGTGCGCTTCCAACGGTGATGATATGGTAAGTCTTTCCTGGCTATCCCTGTTCAATATGTAAGCCAACTTTTGCTTTTCGATAGCTCCGATCATTATACCTCTACCTCGTAGGTCAGTGGCCAAATATTGACCGGGTACAATTCTACGAGCTCCTGATTTTCCAAATGTTTCTTGGTGTACTTTTTCGAATATATTTTTCTGTGGAATATATTCCAAAATAACTAATCGGCCAGAATCTGATCCTATAACTACATAATCCTTTTTCGCTTCCGTTAATCTGAACGGCATCAAAGAACGAATTATTCCAAAAATTTCTACAGTTAACAGGGTGTGTACTTTCCCTGTATTTGGATCCGGCCGTAAAATTTCGAGGATTTTTCCTCTAGATATAACGATTTCCTGTATTTTTGATCCAGAAAAGTTGCCGTGGATAGCATGGGTAATCGCTGTACCCCTTTGGAGGGTCAAATTATACAAAAACATATTTGCTGTAAACAAAAATAAACTGTTATAGAAAATACGTTAATAAATTTGTGGATTATTAAAGACTGTATCGAGTATTAATAAAAATTCAAAAAATGAAAATCACGCTTATCACAAATTTGTTTATGCTATCCTTGGTTAATGATTTATAAAAAATATTCCTAAAATCTAGCTCAACAATGTTTTTAAAACATTTTAAGCCTTACCTCAATTTCGGATGACCTTCCTTGACAAAAATATTACATTTTATTAATTCTTGTACATTTCTCCACAACAACCATTCAAAATACTCGTCGAACGAAAATGGAACGAACAAAACACGAACCACGAACTAAAGCAAATGCCGACCGCATATACCTATTAGTATATACTGCTAACTCCCTATCTATTCCATGAGAGAAAATCGTAGCGATTAAAGAGAGAGATCCGACCCTTTATGGTGTGCTTAGTCGTTTATACGCAAGCGCGTTAATTTTAAAAGGACCAATAGCGAGTAGCTGAGGCCTAAAAAGAAAAGAAAGAAAATAATACTTGAAATTGTGGTTAAATTCGGTAACCTGACATATTTACACAGGCAAGTCAAAGTCGATTTTAAAAATATATCAAAAAATATACCAAAATAAAAGCTACACGTTTCTGACGTTTCATTTGCTCTGTCAAAAGTAGCCAATCAAGAAATCTTTCACTTGAGCATGCGCATAAATAAGCAGGCACACTAAAGTATAATGTTTGCTACGGGTTTTAGACCGTAGTAAGCAGTATATACTAATAGGTATATGGCCGACCGCCGTCACCTGTCAAAAATGCTGCCAACTGCATTAACACAACAGCGCTAAAGTAACCATAAACCGGAAACCACTATTTTATCTAGTACCTTTTTGTAATTACTGTCAATATTTGATAATTTACATTTAATACATAATTTTTAACCCTACTTAATTATTTTATTGACCAAAAATCTCATAAAAAATGTTTTAGTTGGAAATAGGTCTGAATTTATAATCACAACTTTTCTTGATAAGAATAATAATAGCCAAATGGAAGAGCAAGTGAAGGCCAGTAAGGGCACCGAAACAGAAAAAGTTATTAGCCTGTCAAGTTCAAAATAATGTTTATATTTTGTGAAAGGGTTTCAAGTGGTGTTTTAAAAGTGATAATACACAAGTTTTTTAGAGAGATTTATTTTCAGACAATTAATGTTTCCCAATGTTGACATTAAGAAAACTATTTTAGTAACTGCTTTAAGATCCAAAATCGCTTAAAGTAAGTTTAAAAAATTTGATTTTTATGAGATGTGTATTTTCTCTTAAATGAAATCAGGATATATGAAGGAATTTTAAGTTTCATAAATTTTAGTTTCATATCCAATTTCTCTTAAAACTGGACGATAAGGATATACTTTTTTGTTGCAGCTTTAGCTATTTGACAATACTCTTGTAAATATAGAACTCAAATTGTTTTATTTTTCTAATTTGGAAAGATGTGGAAATTACAAAATTTAATCGATGGCACCGAGATAACAATCAATAAGACTGCCTTAACAATCGGAAGAAATGTTTCAGCTGATATCAGAATAGAAAATATTAGAGTATCTAGAAATCAGGCTACTATTTTTTATCACATAAATAAAAATCTATTTGTGACTGATCATAAGGTAAAATTTAATTAATTATCAGAAATTAACCCAGAACATCTAGAATAACTTTTTTGTTGTTTTAGAGTACAAATGGAACATTTGTCAATGATAAAAAAGTAACAGCTGCAACTTTAGAAGATGGAGATACAATTTCATTCGGAGGCGACTCCAAAATGGTGCGAGATCCCGGATTTCAAAAATGCCCTTTTCTCTTTAAAGTTATTAAAAATGAAGTGAGTTTGTTTGTATTACAAAACAATATACAATGTGACAATTTAAAAACTTACAAGGGGCATTACATCACAAACGAAAGATGATATCAACAAAATGCCTAAAACCGTTTCTAGGATATGAAGGGCAACTAAAATGACATAAAAGAGAACTCACCCCTATCAACCCCCTGGGCCTCACGTACCCAAACTAAAAAAAATAAAGAGCACTTATGATACATCATAAAAAAGCATACAAAAAATGCTATCCAATAATAAAATATAAATTATAAACATAAATTGTATGAGTATAAACATAAACTGTACAGAGTGTATCAAAATATACCAAATTAATATCTATCAATTTTAAAAACTAACAAACCCTGAGAGCGTTTTCATACGGTGTAATATATTGAAGTAATAAATGGCTGGTGCAATATATTGCACTTTGTGATCGAATGGTAAAATATAAAAAAGCTCTAAAATCCGCAGATCCTTTTTATATTAAATAAATGTCATCTCCTGTTAACGAGATGCCCAAGTTTTTAAATTATCGCACTGAATAGTTGAAAATAAAGGTTGATGTTTTCCTCAGATTAACCAAATAATAATTTATAAGCCTATATTTTTTGAAAAAGAAGAGGAGAGGTTTATTAAATTTAATTTGTAATTCCTTCTATGATAAAGCATTCAAAATTTAACTACAAATGTGTACATACCTAAATTATATTGTTGAGATATAAGCTATATGCTAAAAACTGATATCTATTGTACATTTTTTGTTCCTTTTTTTCCGTATTTTTATGTTTTATTTTTTTCTCACCTGTTGACAACGTTAATATTCCATTTTTATTGTTTAGTCTACGCAGCCGGTGCCTGCTGAAACAGCAGAAATGGATAGTACAATAGCTACGACTTCAAATTTCAACAGTAACGAAACCAATTCTTCCAGTAACAATGTGAAAACCTGCAATAACGTTGAAAGTAGCGTCGAAAATAATTCATCCAAGATGACTCCGTTTTCAGACGTTGTAATTGTCTGCGAAGGGACACATCGCGATAATGGCAGTAATAGCAATAGTACAGTAATTCCAGGTAAAAATAATAATCCTTTTTCGATGAATGAAAAGGAAGATTACATCATAATATCTGATGGAGAAGATGATGACGATATACCGTGCAGTCAATTTTATCAAATTTCTCAACACATTAAAAAAGAATCCGTTCATGGTGAAAATGATCACATCTTTCAAGTAATCAAAGAAGAGCTCGAGTATTTTGATAGTAGAGAGGAAGTAGTTGTTGATTTAACAAATGATGTCGAACCTATTGTAAATACTCAGGATTTACTAAACCTTCTGGTAAGTTTACTTATATTTCTGTAAACATGTAAACATACTCCCTCCATTTGAGTATACATATCTTATTTCAGGTATAATTTTTATTATGTGTGGTTTTAGGAATGCCCAAGCAATGCCAGTGCCTCTGGCAATATTGAAAATTCAGATCAATTCAAAACAGACGCTATTGAACCACCAATTTCAAAAGAGATTAATGCCAGTATTATTAATGTACCTGTTACTGAAGAGGAACAAATATTCAAAGTTCCAAGCAACCCTATAGAACCATTTGAAGGTTGTTCAAGGATGTCAAAGCCACCTTTAATAGAACCTCATACAATAGAATCTAAGCGAAGAAAACAACCTAGTAAAAGAAAATCTATTGAAGTTGAAATGAAATCAAGCAAAAAAGGTGAAAATGCAAAGAAAGTCAAATTGAATGTATCCAATAGAAATAAAAATATAGAACTGCAGCAACTGAGAAAGCAGAAGTTGAAAGAACTTGTTTGCAAAACGTCTGAAGATCCAAAAATCGTTAAAAATAATTTAGGTACGTTATACCTCAATATGTTAAAATTAGATTAATATGATTGATATGTTTTTAGATAATGGTAATTTAGAGGAAGAATTTTTAAGTCCGCAAAAATTAAAATTTTCTAATATTAAATATACATCAATCGATCCAGGAAGCAGTTCTTCGAAATCTTCACTTCATGATAATAAAAAAACGTCATCATCACGGAATAACCTGCCATCAACAAATAATTTACCTTCGAGTATTAATAATAAAGGAAAAAAGCCTAATTTGCCATTAGCTGAAGATGAAAATCAATTTATATGGAACAAATTGCCTAATCGAGAGATACGTCCTCCTGTGACAAATCACTTTATAATGAACGTAGACAATTACATATTCGATATACTCCAATGGAACGTTGGTTGGCTGCTGCAACAAAGAGATATCGACATGACTCCTCCAGTTAATATGAATAATCCGTATTATTTCGTCCCTAAAAAATTTAACGACTTTGATCATTACGTAAACGTATTCTTGCCATTGATTAAGTTGGAAATTTGGCAAACGATTTTTCATATGACTTTTAAAAATGATGATAGGTAAGCTGATTTTTACCAATTCTGGTGCATCACTGAATTGTATATTTGTTGTTATTTTACTCCTTAACATGACATTTTTTTCTGCCTAATTATACCTATCAATAGCTATTTTTTAGTGCTTGGGACATTGGTTTAAAACTTGTTAGGAAGAATAATAAAGTATGGTTTCTAGATTGTGAATGTAAGTTAAGTATAACGGTTAAAATACATCAAGATTAATCCAAACTTATCTATATAGAACGAGAAATCTACTATTTATTCGCTGAATAATTTCCAATTCATATTTGAAACGAAAGAATAATAATCTTTATTTTACTATTTTTTAGATGAATGTGGTTTAAACGAAATCACTTTAAGAAATGAAGATTTTTGCCTGTTGCAGGTGAAACTGAAAGACTCCAGCAATTATTATATGTACACTTGTTTTGCATATGTAAAATCTGTACAGGATTCTAAAAGACTAAATAACAACGGAAAAAGTAAGACTACATATTTGTCTTTCTGAATATTTTTCAGAAGACTATCTTTACTTGGAAGATTTCTTATTTCATCCAAGCTTTCTTTTAAATAAAACAGGGTGTCCTGCTTAATAACCGACACATAGTAGGGGCGTGTAAGGGAGCCCAAAATGTGTTGTTTAATCCAACTTAACTTAATACAAAGTTATGTTCCTGAGAAGTTATAGGCCTTTAAAGTGTAGTTATAAATTAAAAAAATATATAAAGTATATATTAATATCGTAATACTTAAATCTTAAACTACTTAATTTGGTATATGTTATGAGTCTACAAAGAGCATTAATCGATACTTAGGGGAGATCAAATATGACGTATTTTAAAAGGTTTAAAAGGACCATGCTTCCTTAAAATGTTACAGATTTTTTTATTTGATGGATGATTTAAAAAAATTGTTTCTTTCGTTAGTGATTTTATTTTAAAACTTTTTTATCGTTTTTGTTTTTTATTCTTTGCTGCTTTGATAAGAAACGCCATAAATGAAGTCGCGTACTCTATCAATGGTTCTTAAAATCGTCGATAATAATTCAAAAGTAGGCTGTGTTAAATTTAGTTGAGTTAAACAAGATATTTTGAGCTCCCCTACAAGCCCCTGCTCCGTGTAGGTCCTTACGTGGGTTACAGGGTGTACGAGTTAAAACTATATGTTTATAGGAAACTACTTATCCGATTTAAATAAAATTTGGTATATTTGGTATGTATACAGGGTGTCCCTGAAAGTGTGGGAAATCTCTCGGATCCATATAGAACATAAAAAAAATAACAGGCCCTCCCTACGAAGATACGCGTCCTTGAAGTGCGCCGCTGGAAATAGGTTTTCCTTAAAGTAATTGATATAATTTGACAAAAATCTAATATGATGGACACTAGTAAGGACCTCACAAAATAGTGCCCTTGAAACATATTTAACTTATTATTATATAAACTTATATTAACTTAATATTGATATTATCAATATGGGTGTCAAAACATAGTTATACAAACACAGTTAATTATGAATAAGACAGAAAAGTAAGCTTTATGTAAAGTTTTTAATATCTTCAAAACTATTAGGTTTAGGTATTGGAAAGTAAACATGAACTTTCCTTTTTTACCGCTAAATCCAATAAACTAGAAAAAACTGGTTGGTTCCATTTAAAAAAAATGAAGAAATTTAATAGTTTTGAAGTTCAACTTTGTATAATTTTGATACACACCCTGTATGCAATTAAGAGTTTTTTAAAACAAGCTCAAATACCTTTGTCCCTGCTAAGCCCTCAGAAACCATTTCCATATATTTAAGGGGATCATCGTAAAAAATAATTTATAAGGGTCAGCATCCGTAATTTTTTTCAAAAAAACAACTCAAAAAGTATGCATTTTTGAAATAAACTATTTTAGACAAAAGTACCATGAAATTTTACGTAGATTTCAAAAATACATAAATATACAGGGATTCTCAAAATATTTTTAGGAGGTTCGTCTTATTGCATAACTGCATATCTTATTGCATATGTATACCAAATTTTATTGAAATCGGAAAGTAGTTATATTGCCAAAATAAAATGCAAAAATAGTGTTTTCTATTTTTCCTAATATCGATTTTAAGATCGTTTATTGTATTTTATTCGAATTTCACACGTTTTGTACATACGATACTATTTTTTAGGAACTGTAAAAATAACTCTAATCGTAAAGGACTTATTAAAGGAAATACATGGAGAATGTCTTAAAATTAAAGTATGCGCCAATATTGGATTCTACGTGAAACTTATGAAAACTGTCAAATATCTTAAATCTTCATCTATCTGCCACTATGTTTTAAATCCGATCGAACTTGCACATACAATGCCCATAACATCTAGTATAAAGAATTCTGTAAGTTTTGCATATTCCTAAATATTTTAACAAAGCGCGTTTATATGAAACTAATTAGTAATTCTAATTGCCACATTTTTATCTATAACTTTAAACTTCTTTTTAGGACCATTTAATCAAACTTCAAAGTGATATAAGTAATATAGCTTCCAACATGGCTCTGAGAAATTCTCCGGGTTTTTACTTAATAAATGGTCCGCCCGGAACTGGCAAGTCATCGGTAATTGTGAAAATAGTATTAGAAATCCTAAATAAATCTAAAATAAACAAATGTGAACCGCGCATATTATTGACGGCGCCTTCTAATGCAGCAATAGATGGTTTATTAGTGAAATTGAATCATGCAAGAGAAGGTATTGATATTTTTTCGCATTCTTACAAGTTTCTATACATATTGTTTTACAGCGAGCGAGAAAGGCCTAATAAGGACAGTAAGAGTGGGCCCACATTCGAGCATAAGTTCACTGGCGAATAAATTTTCCCTTAAATTTCTAACCCAGAAGGAGATAATAAAAGAGAAACATTTAGTTCAATTACCGGATTACAAGAAAGTTTTCCATAATCAAATGTCTCAGGATGATTTTTTGAGGAACACCTTAGGCAATCAATATGCATACGAGTATGGTATTAGAGAGAACAAGATTCTAATCGGAGCAAATATAATCTGCACGACATTGAGCAGCTGCATAAATTACATTTTAGCTCGAAAGTAAGTAAATGTTCGTTACAACAAAAGTAAAATATAACTTTTTTTTTTTCTTTAGAAACAATTTGAAATATACGTGTTGTATCATAGATGAAGCCACCCAATGCAGCGAAATAGAGTGCTTGTTACCAATACAGTTAGGGATCAATAAATTTATTTTGGTAGGAGATCCTCAGCAATTAGCTGCCGTTGTTATTAACCAAGTAATGTAACAGATTAAAATTCATGAATTCATTACTATAGGAAATATTTGTTTGCAGGATGCCCACAAGTACGGATTTGGTAAATCGTTATTTTCTCGAATAATGGATAATATCGGCGACCAACACGACGTGCCTAAAGAAAAATATCCCATAAGTTTGCTCAATGTTCAATATAGGATGAAGCAAGAAATTTGCAATTATCCTAATAGAGCATTTTACGGTGGAAAATTGAAAACTTCCCATACCTGCCGTAATCCGATCATACCTCTTTTGAAGCCCTATATGTTATTCAGTTTAACACAAGTTTCAAATAACGATGAATACACAAACTTAGAAGAAGTAAATTTAATTAAAACTATATTGGAAACTCTTAAAAATACCGTTAAAGAAGAGTGCCGATATTCAATTGGAATTATAACACCATATAATGCACAAAAGGATTTAATTATACAAGACGTTAAAGCTATCAAGTGCGTATATAAGAATTCTAGCAAACTTTTTTCAATTTAATTTATTAATATTGCAGATTTAACTCGAATGTGAATATATTTATTAATACGGTAGACAGTTTTCAAGGAGCTGAGAGTGACATAGTTATTATATCTTGTGTTAGGTATAATACAAACTATTTTTTGGACAATAAAAATAGACTAAATGTAGCTCTAACTAGAGCTAAGCAAGCATTATATGTTTTAGGAAACTACACCCTTTTTAAGGTAATTGATTAGTAATTAGGGAATTTTATAGAGGCTAATATGGGTAAGTGCAGATTGGTTTGCAATTTTGTCTCTTGAATGTGAAAGAAAGATTATTAAAATAACAGTGGTTAGAGTGAGAAAGTTGCAAGCCTACAATATCACTCTTTCCTTTTTCTTTATATAACACTAATGGAAGTTGTCTTTGTAGCACCGATTGCCAAACAATTTTGCATCTACCGGTATAAGTATTATACCTCTCTAGTAGGCGGTCTACCTACATATTTCGGCGCCCAAGTATTATTTAAATTCTTTGATAGGTGTCATATTTTGCAAAACTGAAACTGGTTGTGAACATGACTCACAAAACTGCAAATGTTTGTGCATTTAAACTTTTTTTCTTGTAACTTTGTTCTTTCTCTCTTAGTTTCTTTCCTTTTTACTTTGTAATAAATACTTAGTATAAAATACATTTGGGGAGGTAGACCGCATACTAGACCGGCACCAATAATTGTATGGTGCTTAATTTTTTTTATCCATTTATATGCATAATAATTTTCCATATTTTTTAGCAATGTCCTGAACTGTATAAGTTGAGGGAAGACGCGAAAGAACGTAAATGCTTATTGGACATTAAAACAAATTTAAAAGACATTCCAACGATTCGGAGTTACATTGTAATGTAGTATTTAAGTAATAATCTCTGTGAATTTGCCATTTAGTTTATAATGTACTATTTAATAAAAGAAATATTTTGTTAAATTTCTTTAATAAATAAAATCAGCTATAAATCAATACCTTAAATTATATTAAATTTAATTTTGCAAATTAAAAAAAAAACGGTATTTTAAATCTTAACGTTAAAGAAACCTACATCTATGAAGTCTCGTATCTACTTTCTTGAATACCCAAAGTACAATATCAACATATAGATATCTAAAGCAACGTCGCTAATACACTTATATACCAAAATCAGTTCTAAAACAACCAATTTTAAAGAGGATTTTCATGAATTCAATTGAAGAACCAATCGGCAGACATACCTGACTTAAGTTTAATGAATTTAACACTGATTAAATTCATAAATTCACTATTACTTATTTGTACAGAGTATACAACAAATATACCTATAATCGATTAGTCGATATCATTTTAACTTTTTACTCGACCTATCTTGGAGCTGGTGGAGGCGGAGCATACTGAAAGTACACTCCAGTTACTCTCTGATTAGGAGGAGGTGGCGGCGGCGTATTGAAAAACAATGCCCCACCGTTTGGTAAATGGTACCCTCCGAAAGATTGAGCCTGAGGAAGATTCTGATAGGCCAAAACATGTTGCCCTTGTTGATGTAATGCTCTTTGCTGAGATAAACCTTGCGGAGGCGGTTGATGTAAAGGGGGACCTTGCGGCAACGGAGGTTGCTGCTGCTGCTGCTGTTGTTGCTGGTGTTGAGGAGGCGGCGGCGGGGGCTGTTGCAAATTTTGCAAATGAACCTGATGGGGAAGCCTCTGATGCTGCGTCATGGCGGATTGTTTCTGTTGTGGTGGCGGATTTTGCATCAAAGGCGTCGCTTGGGTCATTGGCGGCCTGTGCGACATCCCCATGATGGACAAAGGCGCTTGTTGCATCGATGCAGAAGGCTGAGATCTTTGTTGCAATGGAGGTGCTTGACTAAAGTTGGGAGTTTGCATTGTTCGAGGAGGAAGCTGCATTAACTGCGCTGAATGGTGTTGCTGAATAGTCGGCGGACTTGGGGGGCGATTGTGTAATGATGACGGTAATAAATTTTGTCTATTATTATCTAGCGGCGGTGAGGCGGATCTGGACGAATACGAGCCGTTAGATCTTGATTTGACGGGACTTCTGGACCTATCTCGACTAAAAGAACGCTTCCTTTTTCTATCTCTCGATCGTGAACGCTCGCGTCTCGAACGTTTTGGGGTGCGCGATCTCGACCTCGATCTGGATCTGGTGACCGAACGACGTGGTCTAGGATTTCTAGCCCATCTACTTCGTCCTAAAAATATAATTATACAGTAAATTTAATTATTGACTAACGCAGAATAAACTAATCACCTCTTCCCGTATTGCCAGAATTGTATCCTCTATCTGCCATGTCTTGTAACTTGGGATTAATCACTTGCTTGGCTTCTTTGAGAACGGCAACTAAATCCGATGCTTTGTTAAAGTTGTTGGGAGTGAAAAACGTATAAGCCGTTCCGGTTTTCTGCGAACGGCCCGTTCTGCCGATCCGGTGAACGTAATCTTCAGAATTTGAAGGATAATCAAAATTTATAACGAATTTTACATCTTCGACATCTGTAAAGTTGATTTGAATTATTTTACTTCAATGTCAATAAATGATATTTAAAAAAAGAGACGATTTGAAGATTTGTGAAACGTGTTTTTTTTAATCATTGGAAAAATTTATTATTGAATTTATACTTAAGAAGTAAACTGTTCGAAAATTCAATAATAAAATTTTTCAATATGTATAATACTTATCTGCGGTTTAAATAAAATGTAAATATTAATTAGATAATCATTATAACAGGACATAAAACCTACCTCCAGTGTATACGATCTAAATTTATTTCATTAAACAATAAGAATTTAACTTTTGAAACTGTTGCAGAAAAAAATTATTTAAAAAAGGTACTTTCGAAAAAATAGCGACTGTTGTAATAAAAATAACGAAATTTCATTATCCACTGCAACAATTAGAAAGGGTGGCAAACTTTAAATTCTTCCTGTTTATTAATTGTTAGTGAAAAATTTTTTAAATATTTTAAACAAAATTTTTAACGAATAGCAAAAATGTTGAAAATTAATTATTTTTTTTTATAAATTTCTCACTAAACTGCTTCGTGTCTGAAATAAACTAATACTAAAAAAATATAAGACAAGTTTAATTAAAAACTAAAATATAAAATATCAATGTAAAAATTATAGATGACAGTGATAGAATTATTAATGTAAATCGATCCCTGTTTTTAGTTGCTTCAAAGTTATGAAATTAGATTAATACTTTCAATTTATTGTAATTATTTCTACTTATAAGGACAGATTTACAAACGTATAGAACTTTGATAACGCGAGTTATTCAAAAAGGTAAACATTTAGGACTATTTAATTGAAATTTATGAACTCCTTTTTGTATATTACTGTTTAAGAAATGTCATAAATGTTTAAAGTTAATATACTCGACCATTGCCCAAAACTAAATAAAAATAATAAAATTAGAATTGCTCACTAAAATTTCATCTTCAAAATTTAAATGTTCAAGAACATACACAAATTGCAAATAATTAAAATGCGAGCAATTCCGTACTTTAATTTTTCTTCTTTCGGCATTTCAGTCGTAATAAAATATACCAATAAAAAGAAAAATTAAAGCCCTAAAAAAAGTATGCAAAACGACACATTTTAATAGCAAATGAAAATAAATATGTGGGAAATTTTGGAAGTATAAAAAATAATCCAAATACTTAAAAATAAATAATTGTTATTTAATACTTAATGCTTCAGGAGAAAATTATTGAATTATTTTTATCATATTTCTAAACATTTCCCTACAATTAAACTAAAAAAAACGATGAAATATCCGAGTTAAGTTTAAAATTAAAATCCTTCGTGTAGACGAATGATTATGTTTAATTCGTAATAAATTAAGTACGTACACAAAATGCTTCCAATAAAATATTTTCGCCCGTATTTCCCAGAAAATACATGATACAATGGGGGTCCACAGATCAATGCAGACGGATTTGAAAATTAACATTTATGTACTCATGTAGGCACCGCTTTCCAACCTAATCGCGTTCCATTTTTTTTTCAATGATAAATATTGCATACACACATTTGATAGTTTATTTCTTTTTGTAAATAAAAAACATAACAATCTGTAGACCCCCACTTCTGATAAGTGACGCCTGAGCTGGTGTTAAAATAAAGTCATACCAAAAAAAGGAGGGCAGTTTGAGGCCCACCGAGTTCAGAAATAGGCGGGCACTGGGCCAGCCGTCATAGAGTTGGTCCAGATAATTTTTTGAGACCATCACGGTACAAGCGGACGGGGCAAGACGGGGCTACGCGCAGGCGTAGAGCCTTCAGCCCAACCAGCACAAAATCGGGAGAGTGCCAGCGCGGCGGGCAGCTCTTTGGCACAATCATTAAGGCCACAATTACTGAGAGCGCCGGCCACCGGCAGACGGACGTCCAGATAGAAGTGAGAGGCACAGCCACAATGACAAAACTTTCTTTTTCTGTCTGTCATTAACTTGCTAGTGCCTCTGGAAAAGAGAGTAGTAACCATTTTACAATTGGTTCTCAGCAAAACAATTCATTTATTTCTTAATACATAAAAATGTGATAAGCAATAAAAAATATTTTGTCTTTCTAAAAATTTTCTTATTTTTCCGTAATTTATTCTAAAATTTCAATTTCATGCATTTAGGCGCTATGTTAACTAACAATTGCCTACTAACAGTTTTGTTCACTAACTTAGGAACATTTCCTTAAAAATGAACAAGCAGTTTATACCGACAAAAATAATGTATAGGAACTATGAACAATGAGTAGATCTAATTATTAAATGCGTCCAATTTACACTAAAAGTGGAACAACAAATTGTAGTTGCAATATGAAAATTTTCAGAGGAACAAAAAACAAAAAAAAATTAAACTTAACTTGAGTTTAACAAGCTAATATCGTTGATAAAATAATTATAAACATTCCAATTGCAATATTAGCCCGTTAAAAATAGTAATTGAATAAATAATAAATATTTTAAAAGTCTTACCTAATCCTCTTGCAGCTACATCAGTTGCTACCAATATCGGAGCTTTTCCCGTCCGGAAATCTAAAAATACAGTGCGTTTTGACAAAGTGCATACCAAATGAAAGATTTAATTCAGAATTGTTTCCTTACCCTGTAACACCCAATCTCTCTCTTGCTGGGTCTTGTCCCCATGAATACAAACAGCGGGCCATCTAAAAATAAAATTTTCTCAAATAACTATCTCATTAAATGCATATGTTCAGGGTGTCTCTAAAAGGTTGGGACATGGCTTAACTGCAGACTCTGGGACGAAAATAAGATGATTTAACGTAATTTAACACATCCAAAAGTGCATAGTAATGATGTTATAGGGTGTTAAAGTTGAAAATAAAAAAGAAATTTCTTGATATTGGGTCAAAAGGACTGAAGGTTTTTTCATGACAATTTGTACAAAATATCTTTTTTTAGTGACTTATTATTCAGCGCCCCATTTTTAACTATGTATAAGAGGACTGTGTACATGTATTACTTACCCATCTCTCTTCATTTTTCGTGTAATATCATCCACTTTCTTTTTAGTTTCTATAAAAATAATTGTTTTATTCTCCTTTTCAGCCATAATTTCCTTAAGCAATGTGCTCAATTTGCTCTCCTTCTCGTACTCTTGGCACACGTCTATTATTTGTAATATATTATGATTTGCAGATAACTGCAATGATCCAACGTTAATTTGAATGAAATCCTTCAAAAATTCTTGCGCCAAGTTTTGGACCTCTTTGGGCCACGTGGCCGACCACATCAATGTTTGTCTGTCAGGCCTGATTTGTTCAATAACTTTTTGTATTTGCGGTTCGAAACCCATATCCAACATTCTATCGGCCTCATCTAAAATGGTAATTTGTATAAAATTTTTGCGTGTATAAAATTAATGTATTCGTTTACCTAAAACAAGGTATGTGCATCTTTTTAGATTTGTTCTGTTACTTTCTAAGAAATCTATGAGTCTTCCAGGTGTAGCGATGACAATTTCTACGCCATCCATCAGATCATTAGCTTGAGGACCTTTAGGAGCACCACCAAAAACACAAGTGTTCCTGATCCTCGAAGTTTGGCCAAATTCATTGGCTACCTAAAATTAATGAAATCGGAAATATAGCGTAAATTTTACTTGCATCAAGTATATTCTACGCAATGTACCTGTTGTATTTGCTGGGCAAGTTCCCTGGTAGGAGCCAGTATTAAAGCTATTGGCCCATCACCTCTTTTCAATCTAGGCTGGTGATTAATGTGAACAATGGCGGGTAAAATGTAACTCAACGTTTTTCCAGATCCAGTAGAAGCGATACCCACCAAGTCTCTGCCCGATAGCGCTATTGGCCAGCCCTGAGCCTGAATAATTTAGGAATAGCAAGTTAAAAATGTGTATAGCTCAAAAAAATAAAATAAGTTACCTGTATAGCAGTTGGACTTTTGAAATTCATTTTTTTAAGTTCCTCCATGACATATTCGGGAAAACTAGCTTCATCGAAGTTCAAGACAGGATTAGGAATATTCTTTCCCCTTAGAGATATTTCCTGCTTCCTTCTCCATTCTTCTATTTCGGCAGAAGAGCGATTTTGAACGGAATTTAAGGGTACGTAGAAATCCTTCTTGAATGCCTCCAAACGACTAAGATCCCATCGGGGTTTCCTGAGATTCGAACCAGCTGCATTACGTCTTCCGCCGCCTCCGCCGCCATAACCGCGGTCACGACTTCGAGATCTTCGGCGATCTCTGCTTCTTGATCTAAAATGCATATTGCTCAAGATAACAGGTTTCAAAGCTGTAATATAAAATACGCCGAAACAATACTTTACCTTCTTGGTCTTCCTCGCATTTTGATTGTATTAAAAATACGAATTCCACAGAAGAACAATTATTTATAATCCAGATTAGAGGAAAAATAAGATTTTACGAAATATTGGATGATGATGGCAAAGTATTATTTTTTTAATAAATTTTAATCAATACTTCCTTAACTGTCACCGCCATTTTGTTAAATTAAAACCATTTGTCAATGTCAGTTGTCAGGTTGTCTTCTTTTCCTTGTGTCTCTAACTTTTCAGCTGTAGCGCCATTTCTTCCACAGAAAAAGAAACAATGATACCTTTGATTTAAACGTTAATCAGCCACCTAAAAATTCAAAATTTCAAAATTCATTTTAAAATTGTTTTTATTTATTTACACTTAGACAAAGGTGAAATGACTCAGAAAATTGGCCGATTGTTAGTGAACTCTTCAGTTCAACGAAAAATCCTATTAGGCTTATACACCGTGCTTCATTCGCGATTGCAACATGGGCATTTCTATGAGTTGAACAAAGAAAGAATAATAAAATAACAGTTGTTAGAATGAAAAGTTCCCCATAGCCTATATTGGAATGAAAAATGGAGCAATCTGTATACATACATATACTAAGTGACAAAAGTAAAAGAACACCAAGAAGCAAATTTTATTTTTCATTCAAACTGTAGAGAGTGTGTACAGCACCACGGTGGTGCAACACATTATTAATTTTTTTTTTTAAGTTTCGTTGTTAATTTGATGAATTAATTTTAATCATTTGTTTTTACTATTGTCACTCAGTATATTTACACAGATTGCTTCAATTCAGACCGCAACATGGTCGTTTCTATGAGTTGAAAAACAAAAAACAAAAATCTCTATATTGGAACGAAATGGAAAAATAATTTTCGGATTACTTTAATACCTACATATAAGTCTCATATAATAAGAGTAAAATGATTGACATTACAATAAAATTTTCCATAGCAATGAAGAAAAAATTCCAAAGAAAATAATATCATTATCCTGTGTAGTTAAATTGAAATAGCTAATTGGAACAATTACATACAAATTATCGAACACTCCAATTAATTATTGTAAACATGCCTAGCTGTAACGCGCTCAGTTTGAATTTAATAGCTTAATAACCGTTATAACTTCAATCAACTTCAAGTCTAACAATAAATTAATAGGGCATAGTCATTTTTGAGTTCTCAATAAGAAACCATAAATATTATAGACTTTCATCCATACTTATAGGCGAATTATTCTTGAGTTCACTTTTCAGTCTTACGGCATCCTGCGATCCTGCAGTAGGTAAACGGTCGAGAGCGAGTTTGTTATAATCTCACCATCTTCTGTGCGCGTTGTGTTTAATATCTTATATTAAAAAAACAAACTGAAGTTATTAGGTAAGGTTTAATATTGTTAAAAGTACCTAAATCCTTGTTTAAAAAGCATATGCTTTGAATTATAAAAAAAACACAAACGGAATATTTATTATTGGGTAAGCTTTAAATTGTTAAAAGTGCCTAAGCAATTGTTTTAAAAATTCAATGCTTAGAGATAGATTCAGGCAGTTAGTTATTTAAGAAGATAAAGGAAAGACATTCTTTAACACATTTTTGTCCATTTGCAGAGTTTTATAATTTACGGTGATATGAATTTGATATTTTTATTTCTATAAACTGAATTTTTATAACTAAGATTAAATGTTTATTAAAATTATACATAGGGAAATATAATATGGACCAATTCATTTATCTAACACTTTATTTTCATAGATACTATTTAACCGAAAATAGTTCACTGCATTTAGATCACCTTAAACATCCGTAATTTAATATTTTTTTTTATCAACATCAACTTAGCATAACTTTTTATTTTTAAATTGACTAGAAGCAATTTTCTTTCGAATCATTTATGCATATTCATTACAGGCATTAGGTAAGTTACTAATGTCAACATGCACACATTCATTAATTTCAGTAAAAGTGAATTTCCTGGTAAGAATCGAGTTCACGGAATGCATGTCGTGCAATACATAAATTTTTCAGAAACTTGCGTAAATTGCAAAAATTTCTTCCTTACGAACTGGCTGCTGTACAGAACTATTAAGGATTATCTATTGCAGAAACAACTTTCTTAACTAAGATCGACCTACGTGCAAGTATGTAGTACTTCAACGTCTGTGTATGTATTTTACCTAATCGTGTTATAGTTATTACGTTATCTAATTGCGTAATTTTAGGATGAAATTTCTCGTTCGAATTTCTTGACTTTTACAATTCAATTTTCCTTCTTGTAAATTCTCTCTTATAGGCTTAATTAAAATCCCGCTTAATTAATTACAACAATTATTTTAATCACCTTTATTATCAATGATACTGCATCTTATTCGTAAAAATCATTCAAGTGTGCGTAGGTATATAATCAGAATAATTATTTTGATGTTTTTGGTAAAATCTACTTAGTGATTGTTTTAAGAGAATGTAACAGTAACCTACTTTTAAATAATATTTTTGCTCTTACCGAAATAAGTATAGTGCGGAGGCACCATCAGGTACCCACAGCAGAATATAATTTTATCGATTAAAATTTAATATAAAATCTAACTGGCTCATGAATGAATAAAAAATATTGAGTCCAACTGTATCATATCTTTATGTAGGTATATTAAATTAGGCATGGCATCTTTTATTACCGTAAACAATGGATATTATCCTGCAGAAATGCATAAGACATGAAAAATGATGTTTATAAATATTGTTTATTTTGTCATGAGGTAATATTCCGTTAGTTTCAAAATAATACTTCCGAAGAAAACCATTTACAGTGAACGCAAAATTTGAAAGTAATCTTACACTTTTGTATTCCCCTTCGCTGGTGAAAAAATGCTGCATTCGTTTATAACAAATAAGCCGGCAGGTGCTAAAAATGTTACTTTCAATTTTTGTTTGCTATAGAATAGCATATACAGTTCCTAGTTATTTAACTATTTTGTTGTTCGAAATAGGTATATTGTTTACCTAAATTATTTCCTAAAAAAACAACTAAAATTCAATACTTCAAAAGATAATTAATTAACTGAAGTTGATAATTAGGTGAATTGAAAATTTCAAGATATCCAATGTGAGGAACTACAAGATTACAAAATTGGTTTTTTTAAATTTCAGATATGGCTGTAGAAGATAACAGTCCAGTATCAGAATGGTACAAAGGCAAGGTAATTTTTATAACAGGAGGCAGCGGATTCATGGGTAAAGTAATGGTCGAGAAACTTCTTTACTCCTGTTCCGATCTAAAGTGCATCTATTTACTGCTTCGGAGTAAACGGGGAAAAAGTCCGAATCAAAGAATACAAGATTTTTGGAAGCTTCCAGTAAGTTGATTCATTTACCAAAAAAATCTGCAACCAAAGAAATAACTAACGAGATATTTCTACCTATTTCTTCAGATGTTCGAACGCCTGAGAAAAACTTATCCAACAGCTATAAAAAAGATAATCCCCCTAACAGGCGACTTGCATTCCGAAAATCTGGGACTTAATGAAGGGGATTTGAAGCTCCTAATAAACGAATGTAATATAGTTTTCCACATGGGAGCAACGTTGAAACTGGAAGCAAAATTAAACGACGCTATAGAGCAAAACACAGGAGGCACCTCAAGAGTTATCGATGTATCAAGGAAGATGAAAAATCTTCTCGCTTTCTTGCATTTCAGTACCGCATTCTGCTCCGCTGATATTGATGTATTCGAGGAAAGAGTGAGTAAAACTTAGTTTCTATTTTTTACGCCGTTGCAATTTATTAAGTAGTTGCAATTTTAATGAAATGTTATGAGATATACAAATGCGAAATTAATTGTTTTACACATGCAATATTACAAAAAACAACTATAGATATGTTGATAAGTTATTATTACAGTGCATGGTCTATATCAATTTATTTTTTTTTGCATCAATCTACACATTTGCTTAATTATTTATTAAGCATATTTATTTGATAAATTTATGCCTTATGTAAATGCCATAATCAGTGTTACATTCAACGCCTTATAATAAGATTTGCATCCGTGTTGAATTTGCGCCAAATTGTATTCCATCGAATCGTTATGAGAAAATCATCCATTAATTTACTTATTCGAACGCAGAAAACGAGTTGTTACAACTAATACTAATCAATCATAACCTCCTTCCTATTGCATAATTTCGTTTCGTTATTTGTGGTTTTCGCTATGTTTTCGATCCAACTTTTTCTTTACGGTCTCTGCTTTACCCTTTTCTAGTTCATAAAATTTTTGATTTCGTAATTTATGTAATTTTAAATTAGCACTGCAATCGATATGTTTTATAAAAATCTTCAATAACAAACAACTAATAAATAAAACTACGATATGGTCTGTTGGAAGTAAATAGCTACAAAATCGCAATTACTTGATGCAGAAATTTTAGTGTTATAGCCAAGGATATAATTAATAATGGACGATATTTCGATTGTATCTTTTAAAAAATTCTGAAATTATTAGAAAGTACCTTGTTGTTTTAGATTTCAGCTAACGGAAAATTGAAGGTGATTGCGATTGTTAAATATTTCTGAATTTTTAATACCAGGGTGATTCGTAAGTAATAGTCCAATCTGAAATGGAATATTCTCGGCCTAAAAAAATTAAAAAGTCGAAAATCTTCCACTTATTCACTTTGGAATATTACTTACGGACCACCCTGTATATTTTTAAAGATGCAACTACAATAAAAAACATTTTTTTCTATCGGAAGCACGATAACCTATAACTTTGGGGTAAAAATCAAACATCGTTGGGATAATAACAAAATAAATTAATAGCCGAACCGGAATGTTCTTCCAATTCCAATTAATTATTTTAATAGCTCTTTCATGGTCAAAAATTGAGTACATATTTGTATTTAATTGATTACTTTTTTAATTAAAGAAAATCGCCGCAATACATTAATTTGTGATCAATTTAATTATAAAATTATTTACCTTAGTATATATTTTCTTCAATGCCTATTCCGTAATATGTGCATATTTAAAATAATTTAATTGTGTTGACTTTGATACTTCATATTATGACCTAAAGACCTAAAGTACATATGAGATAGTTACATAAAAACTTCAACAGGTAAACAATCATTTAAAATATTTATATTAATTTTAATTGATTTTTTAATTGTGCTTTTAAAAGTCAATTTATAATAGTACCTACGTACGTACAACATCATCAAATAGAATATTAAAAACAATAAAAAATAACAAATTGACTTTCTATAATTGCAGGTGTACGAATCGCAGGATTCACCCCGAGAAGTTCTCGAAGTTACGAAATGGCTAAATCCGCAGGCTTTGGAAATTGCAACACCTTCGATCATAAGTCCCCATCCAAATACTTATACCTACAGCAAAAGGCTCGCGGAATCTTTGGTAGCCGATGAAAAAGATAATTTTCCAGTCTGCATTATTCGTCCTGCAATCGGTAAGATGTTTCATATACGAATATTTTTTTTCACATTAGGTAACAAATGGCAATATCTTTTTTGTTTAGAATTAATATAAATTTATCTGGCAATTAGAAGAACGGTCCGATAATCAAAAAGACCGCAATGTATTTTTCTTGACATTTCGTTCCACTTTTTCATAATTCATATTATAGTAGTTGTGTAAGGTACAACTTGCATAATTTATATTAGTATTTCTTATAATGCACCGGCAGCAATACTTAAATAATCAATTTGTATGTATCTGGATCAGTGAAATCTTCCAAGATTAGATAGAGAAAACTTTTTGTTTGAACCACTATTCATAAAAATAAGACAAAAAACATCGATTTACATACATCATTAAAATATCAAACAAGAGTATTAAAATTGAGTATGCTTTTAAATTTGCAATAAAATTAAGATTTGCATAGAACACGCTCGTTAATCATTTTTTAGCTCCTTATAAAACTATCACTTTTTTTATTGAATGTTATTTAGTAATTCCATCGGTGAGTGAACCTGTGCCTGGCTGGGTGGACAGCTTGAACGGTCCAATAGGTCTGCTGGTAGGAGCAGGAAAAGGTGTGATACGATCTATGCATTGTAAAGGTGAAAATACAGGGCAATTCGTGCCGGTCGATTATGCAATTAATGCTAGCATTTGCATTGCATATTTAGTAGGAACCAATCAGACCGGGTAAGCATTTTGTTTTTGTTAGATGTTACCTCATTGGATGAGCATTAAATTGGAAGTCGCAGAAACTCATTTTATTAAAAATTATTACAGATATTATAGGCAGGACCTACTAATAGAATAATTTATTTTGCAGAAGAAAAGATGTCCCTGTATATAACTTGACCACATCGTCCGCTGTATCGATTACCTACAGAGAAATATTGGATAAAGGCAGATCTTTAGTACGAGATAACCCCTTCGAAATGCAAATTTGGTATCCTGATGGGGATATTAGATCCTCCAAATTTGTCCATAACATTTACAGTTTTTTCTATCATTGGTTACCGGCTATATTAATCGACTTTTTAATGATTATCTTCAGACAAAAAACATTGTAAGTTCCTGGATTACAACATTAATAATAATTAGAAATTTAATTATTTTTAAAAGCAAAAAATATCGTGTATTAAAGAATAAAAGATATCGTGTTAATCACACAATTATCGTTAACATTTTATAGGAATTGTTGAAGTAGATTTACGTAAGTTAAAATCACCAATCATATGTTTTTCCAGTATGATAAGAATACAGAAAAAGATTTACGACGGTTTGGAGCTTCTTGAATTCTTCTCGGTTCGTGAATGGATTTTTAAAAGCGAATATTTCCTCGGAATAGCCGATAAATTGAATCAAAATGATCGCGAAAAATTTCCGATGATAAAAACTCCAGATTTGACGGACTACATGAGAAATGCGATACTGGGGACCAGGCAATATTGCTTAAAAGAAGATTTATCTTCTTTGGACCGGTGCAGAAAAAAACAGAAACTGTACGTATTTTTTTGTAAAATTTTTATTCAAAAAGAAGTCTAAATCCGTTTAATATTTTGTATATTTTACAGGATGTACTTAATTCATAAGGCCAGTGTTTACACATTTTACTACTACATTTTCTACCTGCTGAGTTGCATTTTCCCTCCAGCAAAATTAGCCTTTGATGGAATGAAGACATGCTTCACCTACGTCCCTGTCGTTGGATATATATTTGCTAATTAGTATTATTTCACATTTGTGGAATTGTTGCTCAACAGTTAATAATAAATATATAAATATCTAGATGCACATTGTAATACATGCATATATTTACTGTTTTTAATTAACTTTTAATAACACACTATTATTTTGTGTAAAACTGTTATTTTTTTTAATAAAGGGCGAGTTTTAGTAATAATGATGATGCTCTATTTCAAAGACATACTAAACAAGTGCAACTAAAGTTGAAGGAGAAGAAATGCAAAAAAGTAAAATTTTGTGTCTCTTTTATGAATATTAAATTATTTACATCAAATACGGTCCAAGTTTTCTTTGTTTTTTATAGGACCACTTTAGAAGATTTGAAATTACCCAATATACAGGGTGTCCCGAATAAGAAACCGACATAGAGAAGACTGTATAGAGGAGCCAAAATTTATTATGTTTAACCCAACTTAACTTAATACAAAGTTACATTCCTTATGAGAAGTTATAGCCCTTCAAAGTGAAATTATAAATTTAAAAAATCTTTTGTCAGTAATACTCAAACTTAAAACAACTAAATTTGGTGTAAAAGTATATGAGTGTACTAAAAACATTAACCATTAAACATTAACCATAAACATTAACCGATAGTTATAAGTGAGATCAATTTTGATGTATTTTAAATGGGTTTATCAGGGATGATGTTTCCTTAAAATGTTACAGATTTTTTTTACCTGATGGATGATTTAAAACTTTATTTTATTTTACATGTTTTTTATTCTTTGTGTTTTCAAATTCTTTATCAGTTTAATGAAAAACTCTAAAAAATAAAGTTATGTACTTAATCAATGTTACTTAAAATCGTCGATAATTCGAAAGTTGTGTTAAGTTAATTCGGTTAAACAACGTATTTTGGGCTCACCAAATTCGGGACACCCTGTATACCATCAGTGGCTATTTAATAAAACAGTTACAGTTTTTTCCGACCTCTACTTTAACCACATTCAGCTACATAAACTGTCAGTACAATTGACAAGATGTCAAGTCAGAATTGTCAAAACATTTTAATAAAAAAATATATCGTCTAAAGAGTAGGTGTAACGTTTGTTTTTATTGTGATTAATAACTTAATTATCAATGTAAAATGTTACTACAAATTATTTGCGATTTTAAGTGATTAATTTTATAAGAAAATTAATCGGACATGTCTGAACATCAACTGGATATTCACGAAACTGGTAAGTTTCCTTTAATTATAAACCGATATAAATCTTTGTACAAGTGCACTTATTACAATTGTCGAACAATTTAATTTTAATTCAGAATTTATTGGTACGATTTAGCATTTCTCGCTGAAATTTGTTTTTTTTTAAGATTTGATATCAAATGATTCTGAAAATGATTGTTCCCAAAGTGTTTGCTCTGATACTCACAGTGACAACACCTCAGCATCCGGATTAACTGATAAGAGCACCCTTTCTGAGTCTACTATACACCCTGTATCAGGTGGGAGCGATGGCGACAATTCTGTGAGCCGCTCCGCTATCTCACCAGGTAAATGCAGAAAATGTTAATATGAAATTTAATTTTCCAAGACCTAATTTGCTTTTTATGATTACCATGTACTTTGCAATTGTAATATATCTTAATCTTAATACCTACTTTTAAGGGCCAGATTCAAAATTAAATTTTACAACAGTTGTAAACAGAGGTATAGTTTTACCATGGGGTGCTCAAAAAGAAAGGAGTGTTAGCACAGGACAACACCTAGAAATGGACTTGAGACCAGGAGAATTTGTGATGAGAAACCTTTTCTCGAATTTCACTATTATAGCTGAAAAAAAGATTGAATTGGTTATGACTGAATCACAAGTGAGATAGAAAAGATAACCATACAATAGGTGTTTTGATTATCCATTTATGTAATTTTTAAGGAAAAACCTTTGTCTAAATCATTACAAAGAGGAGAAGATGCACAATTCGATCAATTACTTAGTGCTTTTGGTTCCGTAGCAGAGCACTGTTTACCATCTCTATTAAGGGCTTTATTTTCTTGGTATGAAAGACAAATGTCTGAGGTCTCTAATCAAGAGCAGAAAAAATCAGATATTAAACAGAAAAGGTAAGCATTGGTATCAAATACATTAATTACTTTGCTAATTATTATTTTTTAGCATTATAAATATAGTGGCAGGAAATACTACAGAGACTGTCGAAAGATCCGAAGCTGACATACAGAAAGAAAAGAGAGATCTTTCTGTTGAATTTATTTTTTGTTTGGTATTAATAGAAGTCTTAAAGCAAATGGGATTACATCCAGGACATGAGGATTTAGTCCAATACATCGAAAATTTAGCGCTGAAACATTTTAAGCACCATGAAGGGCAAGTATTACAATCTATTTTTATACACCATATTTTGAATTATTTTTTGTTGGGATATGCTTGCATGACTAACAATTCTGTCCGAATCTTTAATAAATAAGTAAAAATACAATAAATGAAGTAAGAATTTTGATTTTAGAATACAAAACAGCCCTAATAGTGCGAATATTCACATGATATCCGATTTATATGCCGAAGTAATAGGAGTACTGGCACAATCCCGTTTTATGTCTGTGAGAACACGATTTATGACGGAATTAAAAGAACTGAGATCAAAAGAATCGAGTCCAAATACAACACAGAGCATTATAAGCTTGTTAATGGGCATGAAATTTTTCCGCGTGAAGATGGTGCCTATTGAGGAATTCGAGGCTTCGTTCCAGTTCATGCAGGAATGCGCCCAATACTTTCTAGAAGTCAAAGATAAGGATATTAAGCACGCTCTGGCTGGGCTGTTTGTTGAAATTTTGGTGCCCGTTGCTGCAGTAAGTCACAACTTTGATTAATACCATTTTATTATCATTTTAATTTAAAAAGTTTAGAGCTCTTTTAGACGAGAATGCGTTACTCAAATACGTATGTTTACATGAAGCAGTATATCGGAGTATACGGTTAACGAAATTCTGTATCCCAAGTTTACATTAGCTATAATTATTATTCTGTTATAATTATTATTAGTTAATAATTATTCTATAAAACACTGCAAACAAGTCCTAAACCTAAAATTTATTATTACCTAATTTCTGCACAGGGGCTAAAATGCAGCGGTAACGTACAAATGAATGAATATTTTTTTTATGCAAAATTATGTATCTTGCATGAGGTATCTCACACGCATCTGAAAGAGCTCTAAATTCGGTGGTATAAATAAGTTTAATACAACTAATTAATATTTAATATTGAATAACAAAAGTATAAAAACATATTTACTTGTTTAGGACATACTTTGAAACATTAACTCTAATAGACGTGGAAATTTCAAGCGCAGACCGATTTTGGCCGTAGTAATCTACGAACTGACCTTCTGGATTAACTAAATACATAATGATTGTGTGATCAACGATGTAATCGCTGTCACTATCCTTCGGTCCAGCACTGAAGTACACTCGGTATGCTTTACAAGCTTTTCCGACTTGTTCCTCGTTCCCGGTCAATCCCAACAGTCGAGGACTGAACTCTGCACAGTATCTACCGACCACTTCTGGGGTATCTCTGTTCGGGTCTACCGATATGAAAATTGGCTGAATTTTGGGCATTTCTTCCGATTGGTCGAGAATGTTAATCACTTCGGCCATTTTCTCCAATTCATCGGGACATATATCAGGGCAGTGCGTAAAGCCGAAATAAATTAGTAACCATTTTCCCAAGAATTCGTCACTGCTGCGAAGGTTTCCTTTAGTATCGACCAATTCGAACTTGCCACCAATGCTAATTTTGCCTAAAATGCGCTGTCTCTCCTTCATTTGCGCTTCCTCCTTTTCCTTCTTCATGTACCACAGGAAACTTAATAATCCGGCGCCTAATGCTGAAGTAATTGCTAGATTCTTCCATGATACGGGTCCAATTCCTTTACCCGGGGCTCTAGGTTTTTTTTCATTACTTGCGTATCTGTAAGAATTTTTCGGAAATGCACTGATTAATGAAGTTTCTTTTCTAAGAAGGCAATTTACAACTCTTCGTGTGCATTGAGGGTTTATCTTGACAAATGCGTTATAAAACATCTTTTATATTTTAAAATGCAATGGTTTTTGATAGCTTTCATCGGATAATTTTTTAGTTGTTTTTAGGTTAGATTCTTCTTCTTTTTTAATGTGTCTACACACCCAAATTTTTCTTCTTCGTGTACCTCTTTAGGCCTTTTACTAGTTTTGTTAACGTTTATTTGGAATTGAATTTTTTAACATTTTGGATATAAAAAAGTGTACATTTAATAATCATTAATTAATATTAATTTATATTTTTTTCTCTGTCTTAGGCGGTCAAAAATGAAGTAAATGTACCGTGTTTGAAGAACTTCGTGGAAATGCTTTATTCGCAAACATTAGATGCTAGCACAAAAAATAAGCACCGTTTGGCCCTATTTCCTCTAGTTACCTGCCTACTCTGCGTAAGTCAGAAACAGTTTTTCCTGCAAAATTGGCATTACTTCCTAGCCATGTGTCTTTCCCATTTGAAAAATAGGGATCCGAAGATGTGCCGGGTGGCCTTAGGTAAAAATAAACCACTCTTCATAAACAAGGTTTTTAATTAATTACTCGTTATTTTAGAATCCCTGTATCGTCTTCTGTGGGTGTACATGATAAGAATTAAATGCGAAAGTAATTCCGCAACGCAATCTCGACTTCAAAGCATCGTGAACTCTCTATTTCCGAAGGGTTCCAAAGGCGTAGTCCCTAGGGATACACCCTTAAATATATTTGTGAAGATAATACAATTCATAGCACAAGAGCGATTGGATTTTGCTATGCGCGAGATAGTCTTCGATTTACTATCTGTTGCTCGTCCTTTCAAAGTTATTTTAACGCCGGAGAGAATGAGCATCGGCCTTAGAGCCTTCCTGGTAGTGGCAGATAGTCTTCAACAAAAAGAGGGCGACCCGCCCATGCCGAGATCCGTGGGAGTTTTACCCAGCGGGAATACGTTGAGAGTTCGAAAAACGTTCTTGAACAAAATGCTGACTGAAGATACTGCTAGAAGTATAGGAATGAACGCTTATTTCCCGCATGTACGCCGAGTATTCGTAGACATACTGCGAGCATTAGATACTCAATATGGTCGACCTTTAATGATGACCAATACTCAAAATGTTAACAAAGAACCCGATGAAATGATTACAGGCGAAAGAAAGCCTAGAATAGAACTGTTTAGGACCTGCGTCGCCGCTGTTCCGAGATTAATACCAGACGGTATGACTAGTGCTGAACTCGTTGATCTACTGAGTCGTCTTACCGTTCACATGGACGAAGAATTAAGGGGCCTATCGTATTGCAGTTTGCAAAGTTTAGTGGTGGATTTTCCTGATTGGAGACAAGACGTTTTGTGGGGATTAACCCAATTTGTCGCTAAAGAAATACTGGACACGTTCCCACAACTAATGGACCATGGATTGAAAATGATTTTAACGTTACTGTGCGCATGGAAATCAGCCGTCACCGGCATTAATACGAGCGCTTTTTCATCAGCTACATTAAGAAGTAATTATGTTTTTAAATATCGCTTTTCAGGGTGTTAATTAATTGGGTGCCGATACTTCAGGATGTGAATATTTGGGTGGTTTTAAGAAGAAAAGTTTGTATGAATATGTGTCCTAAACCTCTTAGTTTTCGAACTACAGGGTAATACAGTTTTAGAAAAAAAATAACTTTTCTTATCATAATTTTCTTATTACTTCAGATATTTTTATGAAATTTTGTAAGCAATTTTTAATTATTAAGGAGCAATTTTGAGGCAAAAGGTTTTAAAAAAATTTTTTCCAGTGACGTCCGTACGGGGTTTGAACTGAATATGTTTGAAGAAAAAATGGTACGCCACTGTTTTTTCTAAAAATCGAAAATATTTTTGAAATCCTCATTTATTTTGCAGCAAATTCGGTCCGAAGACTTACCTTCGTAATACGCACCATTTTCGCTTAAAAAAATCAAAACCAAAACAATTTTTTCCCAAATTTATTGAGACTTCTTTGATATTTTGTTGAAATTTGGTAGGCGCCCACCATGCATGGAAACAGTTTTTTTTTTTGGGGACAAAAATAATTTTCTAATATTACCAGTGACGTCCACGTCCGAAATTTCATAAAAATATCTGGAGGAATAAGAAAATTATGATAGAGTTATTTTTTTTCTAAGATTGTAACATTCTGTAGCTCGAAAACAAAGAGGTTTAGGACATACAGCTTGTCCCAAAAAGTTGTATACAAATGGGGAAATTTTTTATCTAATATACAGAGTGTTAGATCTAACGCGGAGCAATCTCGGTACGGGTTAGCCAATACGAAATTCATTAGCGAAACAAAAACAGAATTAAAAATCGCTTGTTTCGATCGCGTATCGGTCGAGCCTCCCTTCCAGTCGCTACGTTCGCTACGTCGGGAGTGGCTGCTTCTAATATTCTCTCATTCTTAGACATACGTATATGCTCCATTACACCGTCTCTCTCAATTTTTGGTCCGCGCTAAAGCTAACAATCTGTATATTTCACAAAAAACTGTAGTGGAGAGCAAAATGTTCATTAAAATCGTAATTAAGTAGTAAAAAATTATGCATAATGAACAGTTTGTGCGTATTTATCTCTCGGTCCAAATCATAATTTTTCGTTCTTCCTGTATTCCTACATGCAATTTTTTAAACATTTTGTACCTGATTATGGATCTACAAGTCATGCAGATAATTTTATCAAGAATAATTGTTTTTGTGAAATGTAAGATAAACTTTTTCCCCATTTGTATAAAGCTTTTTGGGACACACTCTATATTGATATAAACTTTTCTTCTTATAATCGGCCAAGTATTATCGACATAATAGTATCGACACTCAATTAATGAACGCCCTGTAATATTTTTGCTTTCTGTTGTTTTATTATTAATACAATAATGCATTGTTTTAGGTAAAGAATATAATGAATTAAAAGCTGGTCCTCCTGATCCTAATCTAACTAAGCGCACCGATACGAGTAAATCAGAACCTCTGGCATCGGTTCTACACTTAGTAGAAGCCCTAGCATTGGTTATGCTTTGCACATACAGATTAACCACCAGACGATTATCTGTGCTAATCTTGAAAGAAGTGAAAAGTCTTTTGAAAACCCTAAATTGTTCTGAACACCCACCTGTTATTGATATCATGGACCAATACTGTCCGCAAGTTGTGGAAAAATGTTTGCCGCTACTGCCGCCTGCAGAAAAAACGGCTATTCAATCCGTCGGTACGATAGACTTGCAATGGCTAGCAGATAGAAGTTCTTCAGCATGGACTGCCGGTTTATTTGAAGATGGATCCATAAAAAACGCGGCTAATTACACGTTTTCTATAGTAGACCCGTGGAGTGTGTGTTATTTTGGATTTTTGGAGAGGGACAGACTGCTAAGCCTGTGTACCCTGATGACAATGCATTCGTGGCCCATTGTTTATACTCGATTGAATGCACTATATTCTGTTGTGGATCCTACGTAAGTTAATATACAGCATGTTCCATAATGACATGCTAATATTTAAGGGGGTGAATCTTGGACCCATTTTAAGAAAAAAACTTCATATAAACGAATGTCCTATACCAAAAATTTATTATTTTAGTACAGGCGCTAATGTAGCGGTAGTGTACAAATGAATGCATTTATTTTTTTAATACGAAACGATGAGTCGTACGGAAAAAAGTAAATTTGTTCTAATTTGAATGAGGATACCGAAAATATTTTTTATTTCATTAGGCAGTGGCGTACCATTTTTTTCTTCAAACATATTCAATGCAAAACCCGTACTAAAAATAATAAAATTATTTGTACGTCAGAAAGTGCAACTTGATTCATAGAAGACGTGTGCCAAATTTCATAAAAATATCTACAATAGTACACAGTTATTACAAAAAAATTGATTTTTTTCTAAAATTGTAACAACCTGTACCTCAAAAGTTAATACCTTTAGGACCACATGAAGTTTTTTCTTTAAAATGGGTACAGGGATCACCTACTTAAATATTAGCAAGTCTTTATGGAACACCCTGTAATTAATAATATTATTTTGTAATATAATGTTATCATTTTAGTCCATTAAACGACAACAGAGCTTCGTTATTAAGAAGCGCTACGGCCGTTAAGAAACCTCCTACAGAAAGGGACGCTTATATGCATTTATGGAAGAATTACATTACTTTCGCATTTAGAGTTGTTCCTCTTATATCCAATCCGATTGTCAGGTGTGCCAGTCCAGACCTTAGTTTAAGGTAGCTACCGCAAATCGCCGTATAAACAAATAAAATTCATTCAAAACGTATTTTAGTTCTTCCCCCGATAGTTTGAGTGCCGAAAAAAGCGATAGTAAAATGCCCGCCACCAACATTTCGCCGGTATCACTGTACAAACTGATAGTTCCACATTTAAGATGCGAAGTTACCGACATTAGAGACGCTGCCGTATACGCTTTGGGAAACATAAACGGTTCTGCACTGAGGTAAGATTTTATAAATCAAAGTACTCAAATACAAGACGTCCCTTTACTCGATGGAAATAGCTTTATGAGCTCTTCCTGTAGCTCTTAGCTCTTCTAACAATTGAAGATGTAGCTCTATGAAACGGTTCTTTCAACTCTGTTTTGTGATGAATTAAAATACACTAAACTTTTCACACGCCCCTAAAAATAATAGTCCAGAGGTGTTACGTCTGGCGAACTCGGTGGCTAAATAACAGGAGTCGTCTTCCAATCCACCTCTTATGCCCGGCTTCACCAACGAAAAATTAGAACTTATTCGATGAATAAATTTAACTGTCCAATAAAAATACACAATTTTGTTCCACCAACAGCAAATAGCGATATTCAACGATTGATTTGTTTATCAAAAATATTTGCTTAAACTATTAAATAGCTAACTAAAGATTAAAAGTTTTGGTGAAACGTCAAAATATGTCACTGGAGTTTAAAAGTTATTCATCGAATAACTATTTATAGATTTATTTGTTGTTGGTGAAACCGGACATTACACCTTTTCCAGTTGTATTTCAGAAAGCGTCAATTGAATTTAAGAATAGTCACTTATATTTCGGAAAGTATCCGTTGTATTTCAGAATAGTCAATTGGATTTTAAAAATCATCAATTGAATTTCAGGATAGTCAATTTTTTTCAGAAATCATCAATTGAATTTCAGAATAGTCAATTGTATTAAGAAATTTGTGTTTCAGAACGTGTCATTTGTATTTCGGAAACCGTCGGAAGGATTTCAGAGTCCCATTTGGAATTGAAATGCTATATGTAGATATTGAATAATTCCGAAATGCAAATGATGATTTCTGAAATGAATTTGACTATTTTGAAATTCAAATTATCGTTTCCGAAATCAAACTGACTATTCTGAAATACAACTGATGGTTTCTGAAATCAAATTTATTATTCTGAAATACAATTGATGCTTTCTGAAATCGAAATGACTTTTCTGAAATACAATTGATACTTTCCGAAATATAAGTGACTATTGTGAAATTCAATTGACACATTCTTAAATGAACCTGACGCTTTCTGAAATATAGTTGGAAATGGTGTAGTAAACTGGGTATTTAAATATTTGGAGTATATTATATCGACTTAAAATCGAGCAAGGAATACCCTCTTAAGCTGCGTCCATCGAGTCACGGGACACCCTGCATATTTACGCTACAAATTTTTCAACATTTGACCGACATCGACGTTTTTTTTTTGTTGCAGGGATTTGTTCGAGGAGCTAACTGTGTATATAAGAGAAGCTGTAGATAAGAAGCAGGAGAACGTTAGACGAAGACGTCGTAGGGACGCTCTAAGACTGCAATTGACAAGACTGTTGGAATTCATAGCCGATAACGGAACGTTTAGTATAAGTACCTGCGTGTTAGAAAGGGACTCGCAATCGCTGTTACCAGTTTTGGTCGAATTTATAGACGGCGTTAGATATTATCTCGAAAATGAGCCGGATAAAAATTCTACCACTGTAAGAGATTTGACGATGCATTTTTGCTATTTTATTAGGAAGATGATAAAAAATTTCACTTGTAAGTATTATTGTTTGTAATTGTTATTCGTTTTTAAAACCGATGTGTTTTAGTGGACGCCTGTAGAAGTCTCCTCAAACGCGATTTGAGAAGGAACTTGTTCACATTATTGGGAAATTGGGCTGGTAAATACGCGTTTCCAATAGGAAAAACCGGGGTTGAAGGGGATATGAACAACAAAAAACACTTGGAACTACAACAAATAGCTTTACAAGCGATGAGTTCTCTTTTATGCTGTGGACCTTGTTTTGATTCGCTCACCGAAGAAAGTTCGTACTATTTGTGGATTGATGGATTGCTTAATAGTTCAGATGAAAAGGTATTAAACGTTGGATATACGCTGAATGGTTATTATACGAAACAAAATTTTTAGGTGTACAGTTTAGCTCAAGAAACCGTCGTTTTATTACTCGAATCGAATCCTGACGTTTCGCCCTTATTAGACTGGGTAGTCGATAAATGTTACACTGGGGCATCGAAAGTTGCCGATAGCTGCTTTATCGCTTTAGCTACTATTTTTAGTGCAAGGTATACATGTTTAGTAAGATTTGATTTATTTATACGTACTTATTCATTTCACATTTTCAGAGAATACCCGTGTGATCACTATACAGCAATCATTAATGTTACTCTAATGAACACCGGGTGTCCCAGGCAAGTGGTTAGGGACACTGCTTTACAATTACTTCAATTATTAGACAAGCGTTTCTTTGGTTGCATAGGACCTTTGGCCGAAAATGACCTCGGTAAGTTATTTTTTATCGCTTCTTTTTTATATGTAGATCTTAATTTTTCCATTAGAGAAATGCGCTTCGTATTACTTCTCTTATTACTATAGGAAGAGAGGAAATTACAACTTAAATTTTAATCCAAAGTAACAAAATCACAAAAAACTAAAAAACTAAAAAGGAATATTTAAATGCAATAAAATTGGTAAATTCCGCCTTACACTAGTTATAATTAAATTCATTGGTATTATAGGTATCTGAAAAATAAATAAAACAAACTTTACTCATACTCTCGATAAAAATATTGTCCCAAAACTCACCTTTAAATTTTATATTTGCATATATCAACCACATTGAAGTTTGGTCTTTGGAATATTTGTTACCGTACATAATTTCTACATTTTTATAGAAATCATCTAGGGTTGGAACTTTCTTCGACTTAAAGAAAATATATTCAGTGTCCGTGAGGCATTTCATAACTTCGTCAGGTCCTGAGCTTGCGACAGTATCCGGTCTTGTTAGTTCGTTGATTAACAAATATTCTGGGGCTTGTGTTCGACCAATTGCACTAGGTCCTGGGATACTCGACTCCGGAACATCTTTATTTATTTCAGTAACTTCATTTTCCTTGGGTAAACTGAACGGATGGGACTGAACGGATGAGTTACTCTCTGACTGTGATTGAACCGATGGTTCTTCTGTTTTAGAATCCATTATAAATGCTTCAACTTCTGTTTTTTTAATGCTGGTATCGACATTCGAAGTCTGTTGCACATTAGTCGTTTCATTTGGGATCTTTTCTCTACTTTTGCAAAAGCTACGTTCTTTATAATCGAATCCTATAACGTCCAAAAACTCTCTTAATTTCCATATAGTTATGTCGCAATCGTGGGCCTGAACTCTCGAGTGTAATTCTCTTAATGACATTGGTGTATTGCTGGATATATTATCCGTTTCTAATTGTTTAATGACACATTCCAAATTGTACGTTTTAGCAATATTGGACAATTTAAATAGTGTGTTATAGAAATTCGATGGTATAGGTTTCTTGTGGATGTCATCAATTGGTATGTTATGTTCTTCAAATTGGATGTTAGATAATTTTAACCAGTGTGCCAGTGTTTCTTTAGGACAAACATCGGCTTTAAGGTACAGTAGTTTTTCGTAGAAGTAGTCTAAATTCGGTAACTTTTTGTCTTCTTTGTCTTTGCAAATTTTAACATTGAATTTGAATTTGTTCAAAAGCCATTGGATTTGTGGTTTAGTGTATACCTGTGTACAGGATTTGAAAAAATTCGATCTGTGAATACCATTACAGTAGTCATCTAGAGTGGGAACGTCCTTCTTGTTTTTAAATTCGTTCTCAACATTCTTTAAATATCTTAATGATATCATTGAGACCGTTTGTTTTTCGTAAAAGTCCTTTTCGGCATCGACTAGGATATTGACAATAGAGGAGAAAAGTTTTTTCTCGCTAACATATTTTTTTGGAACATATGTTGATTCGAATTTTATTGTAAGAAATTCCAGCCAATCTTTAAGCGTAGATTTGTAACATTTTTTTTTGTTTTCTATCATTTTCTCATGAAAATAATCTAAGGTTGGAAGTGGTTTTTGATAGACGAAAAAGTTTGGAATTTCTTCTTCTTTGAGTGATTGTTCTTTTGTGAATTTAATATTCAATGCATTTAACCATTTTTCAAGCTTACTTATCGAGTACCAAGTGTTTGATTTGAAATGTTCGGAAGATTGCACATGCTTGTCGATAAATTCCAAGGTGGGCGCTTCATCTTTATCCAAAAATTGTTCATCTATATCTTCTAACAGTTGTAATAGCAACGATTGACTGGTTTGCTTAGATTTTGAAGAATCTTGGTCGAATTTTATCAGATTTTTCATAATAGTTGCAGGTATTCTTTTTCGTCGTCTTTTGCATTGTCGAATGTGATATTCCAGCGTATACTTGATATTTAAAAAATCCAACCAACTTTTGAACATATGCTTGCAACAAACGTTTCTTCTGAATTTGTTATAGAAATAATCGAATGTAGGATTTATTACTATTTCTGTATTGATTATTATTATTTCATTATCAATATTAGTAGAATAATTGTTAGTTTCAATTCTAGGTCTCTTTATTGTAGGACTTTCGTCGTAATTTTGTTCTTGCGTTTCCTCAATGTCATTTTGATGTTGCGTTTTCTTATTTTGATCATTATTAGTATTTTGCAAATTTTTTCTACATTTTTTTTGTTGTTGAGTTTTCAGTATTCGATTCACTTCTTCGGTTGAAATTTGTGTTACTTTTTTGTTTAATGAAGTATAAAATTTCTTTTCAATTTGGAATATGTACTTAACTATCTCTGACGTCAATTGCTCAAGTTCTTTACTTTTCCTTGCTTGTTTGTTGAAGTTAGTTAATTCATATTGTACATGTAAAAGATCTAACCATTTTTTAAGAGATTTTACAGAACAACTTATTTGAGACTTTTCCAAATTTTTAAAGAAATAATCCAAAGTAGGAATTGCAGTATTGTTTTTACATTTCGTACTACTCCTCGTTTGCTTCTGCTCGTTTGTTTTAAAATTTACTTTTAATTTGTTCAACCAATCTTTGAGAACTTCATCGTTTATATCCTCATGACGACTTTGCACTTTCTCTAATATATCTTTGAATGTTGGAGTAACATTAATACTACCATAATAGATTCCTATTTCGGTAATAGTTTCTTCTATCGCTGCTTGAGTAGGAGATATTTCCGTTATACTCGTATCAGTTGTATTGATTGGTGTTGTGTTTTTAACATAAAAATGTTGATTGATCTGTTTCAAATGCTGCGGTAGAACGGGAACATTAGCAAGATATACATTATTGTCTATTAGGTGGTCTTCTTTGAATCGAATATCAAGTGCTTTTAAACACTGGCCAACAAATTCTTTGCGATAATTTAAGTTGTGCTTGACTAATTCCTCCATAAAAAAATCCAAAGAAGGAAAATCTTTTTCCGATTTGGGAGCATTTTCATTATTAACGTAATTATTTTCAAGAGCTTTTTCATTATTACCGTAATTATTTTCGGTTAAAAACAGCTGGTATTGACTTAAATAGTCGATATTTTCGTTATTAATAACGGTTTCCTCAGTTTCCTGTTCTGCAGTGGTTGTTTCATCTTTAATGTGGATTTCTTCTTCTTCGAGTTTTGGTATAGTATCCGTATCATTGCTGAATATTGTGGGACTAAAATATGTGAATTAAAATATTATGTATAAAATATTTATAAAAAAACGTTTTAATTTTTAATTATTAGGTGATTTTCTTAGAAATAAATAGAACTTCAAATTAACATAAGTCATCTTTTAGTTTTAAAGTACTTACGATTCACATAAAGATTCAACATTTTGATTCAAATTCACATCTGGTTTATTTTTCTCATTTATTAGATCTTCATCATTTATTGGGATTTCTTTTAAATTTCTGCAACCATTAAATATAGCTGTATGAGGAAGCTACGTCAGTATTACCTAATTTATACAGGGTGTATCTAAGTAACATTGAAAAATTTGAAGGGGTGATTCTGTGATGAAAATTAAGATACACCCTGTATGTTACTGCTGCTTTATCCTAACGATTTAAAATAATTGTTTTAATACTCACAATGATGTGTCCATCCTGTAGACATGTTTTGTATACTTGCCCATGTTGTATTCAACATATTCTGAAAATTAAGGTGAGGTGTAATTAAGGAAACAAAAATTTTGATGCTCTGGTTGAGAATAAAAATTAGAATACCGTGTAAAATAAAAAAACGAGCATGCCGTGGAAAATAAAAAATGACAGCCGGTAAATGTCAATCATATTAAGCAATGCCTTATGTTAAAGAGGTATGGAAACTTTGCTATTTTGTGTTAGTTGTAGTGTTGCGCTTATTGTGACTTTGGATCGAAGGTTCGTGGAAAATCCGCTTGGAACGCTAGTTTCGGGTAGGGTTCTCAATACACTTCGGTACGAGGCACGAATATGGCATTATGGTCAAATTAAATTAAAATTGTCGTATATTAAGTAAAAATTATATTTGAAAGGCAAAATACCGAAATGATGAAAAATTGGCTTGATTTGCGTACGATTAAACAACACTCTCTGATACCAGCGCTCTCTGTCCAGAATCACATCATCCATAACACTCCCAAAATGTAATTTTGTATAACGTTATACTGAGTGATTTAAAAGTTATGACCACTTTTCCATGAAAATCGTACTAAGTTTATCACTCTGTAGAAACTAAATGGATTAAATTGAAAATAAATTTTAGATTTTACAACATTGTAAATATTCTGGTCCCCTGTATTGTATATCGCTAACAGGAAGTATAGAATTGATCATATTGCAAACACATTTGCATTGTACGTAAAATATGTAATAAACTTAGTGAGTAGCTAGCGGCTACAAAATTGCCATGACAGACAAATACAAAGTTCAAAACAAAATTAAATTGACCTAAAAAACTCAAACAAAAAGACTGGAGAAAACGTTTCAGCACGAATACGACACGATATGACACGAACGTCGAGCCGAAGGTTACATTCGTTTGAATCTGCATCCGCTTGCGGGAGAGGAGAGAACATGGCGGTTCAACCAGAATCTTTACGATCACATCAAAGGGAACCGACAAAATCGATCGATAGCCGGGACCGGTCCGGCACTACATTTACATTTTACATTCGCTGTTTTTGCACAAGACTATCTGTACCTACATCAAATGTATACGGAAAAATAATTATTTCGGTGATTCTTTATCAAATTTTAATATAATCTTTTTTGAATGAAAAGATAAAAAGACAATTTTTGCTAGTACCCTATATAAAATTATCAAAATTCAAAACCGTTATTTATGTCGGCTTTAATAAAGGGCGTTTCAATAAGAGCGCAAGATTTGAAGGTTCAATAAAACAATGTTACCTGTAGCAAAATATGGAAATATTTATAAATTTATCATGTGTACATTTTGGAATTATATATGAAACAAAATCTCTTGTAAATGGCCGCCACGGCTTTGCTGGCACAAGCGTACTCTTTTGATAAAATTTTCAATAGTATTATTGTAAACATGTGGTGGTATTTTATTGATACAGCGTCTAATTTCGGCTTTCAACGCTTCGGTGGTCGCGGGCATGTTGGCATAAACCTGTGACTATAAGTAACCCCACAGCCAGAAGTCCAAAGGTATTAAATCACAAAAACGTGGCGGCCAATTCTGGTCACCAAACCGGGAAATGACCCAGTTGATCCATATCCAGATCCAATGCTCCATATTTACTAACTCCCAACTGTCAACTTTCGATCTGTCATGTTATAATCACGTGTTATTACGACTGTCAAACATGACAGGCAATTCAAATCTTGCGGTCTTATTGAAACACCCTTTAGATGGCTCCCTCGATATAAAAATTGACGTGTTTCCAAAAATCAATTTTGTCTACCCGAAATCACCTCTGCTACCTTTTCAATGGGCCACACTGCATAACAAACATACCTGGCTGTTGGATTAACGAAGGAACAGCATATTTTTTCAATCTTGACTTCATTGATGTTAGGTATTTTTTTTCAAAATGTAATGCGCACACCCTTAAACTTTTATAACTTTTATTGAAGGCAGGATGATTTTCTGTAATTTCCAGCGCCTCTTTCCATTGCAAGCACCTATTAAGAATATTAGTTTTAATATGTTAAAATACCTAATTAATAATTATGGTAAAGTCTATTTGCATTTGCAACTAATTTTTAATGATTATAAATATATTGTTCTGAAACAATATTTTGTTCAGTCAAATCTGCAGCATTACAATAAACAAATAAGCATCAATATAATAAATTATACAAATGTAAAAGTTACAAATTTTACGAAGAATTATCTTTTTCTAAATATACCGATTGCTTCAATTCAGACCGCAACATGGTCGTTTCTATGAGCTGAACAAAGAAAGATTAATAAAATAACAGTTGTCAGAGTGAAAAGTTGCAATGACACAAATGTCACTCTTTCTTTTTCCTTTATAAATGTCTAATGGAAGTTGTCTTTATCGCACCTATAGCCCATATAACTTATGTTGCGATCTGGAATGAAGCACAGTGTATACCTTAATTCGTCTTTTGGAAATCGAAAGATCGGTAAACCAATGTCTCTTTCCTCTCCACACACTACACACTTTAAAGTCATAGTTAATATTACAAAAATTACACTAAATGTTAAAATAAGACGCTACGTAATACAAATTATAACGTAAAATGTAAGCAAACACGATGTAACGTTGCAAAGCGAATGACCCTCGTCACAGTATTATTTTCTCGTCGTCGCATTGCTACTCACGCAGGTCCCCGGCGCATGCCGAAGCCCTGCCTGTAGCCAAAAATTCGCTAGAGCAGGGACAATTTGAACGCTATCCGACACGGAGCCCAACATTCTGTGAATGCTACGAGGGACAGGTGAAATGAAAATATTCTTTAACATATTTTTTCAATCAGATCTGTAGTATCATCAATAAACATTAATATAATAAATTATACTAATATTATAAAAGTTACATATTTTACGAAGAATGATCTTTCTCTAAATATTTAGGTACTTTAATTCATTATTTGGAAATCCCGAAAACCGGTAAACCAACGTTTCTTTCCTCCCCACACACTAATACACTTTAAAGTTAATGGCAAAACAACAATGTAAAACTGTCAAGTTAAAAACGCGTATTTAGAATCACTCAAAAGTTAAACAGGGCGCTAAATACGGGTCATTGTTAATATTAAAAAAATTACACTAAATGTAAAAATATGACGCCACGCAATAATTCAAATTACAAAGTAAAATGCAAGCAAACAACATGTTGCAAAACGAATGACCCTCGTAACAGTCGGAGGAACGTAGCCTTGTGTTTGATGGTATGATATTGATATGCGCGCCGGTCTTACGCGCATCGAAAAGGTTCCCGTTGTGCCCTCGACCCGAACCCTACCCAGTGTTGCATGAACCAGCCTTTTCTCTACTGTATTATCAGAGAATAGCGAACACATAGAAGCGAAACTAGCTGTCGGTCCCTTTGAAATCGTGCGTACACAGACTACGCTATTTTTGGCTTACTATATATTATCTCATTATAACTTACTATCAAAAACCACGGCTTCTTTTTCAGGTACGATTAATTGTCCAAGAGCTAAGCACTTATCGGTTGTTTCAGTAACAGGGACAACCACAGGATCTGAAAATGTAATAACATTTTATATTCCTTAAGCAATATTAATATCATTGGTTGCAGCAATAAGCGAGCAATCTGAATTATTTATTATTACAGTTATATTAGACAATATTTTATTATTATAACTTTAAGTCTTACAAACCTGACAAAATAATAAATTTCTTGGGGGGCTTCCTAGATTTTTCATGATTTTCAGGTATTGCTGGAGGAAAGTTCAAAAACTCTGTGGGTATTGCATCTGGCAATAAGGTTTTTCTAGTAGTTCCGCTCCTTGAAAATTGTTTTTCTTTGAAGTGATTTTCACAAAGCCGATAATTTTTGTGGACATCCTGTATTTTCGGTAGTAAATCTTGCCTATTGCAAGCTTCTATCCATATTTTTGCACTACAAAATACTTTTATTAAGTTACTGCTAAATCATTATAAACATTGGCTTTACGTAAAATAAAATGTAACCCATATAGATTGGAACTATACCACTGTAAAATTACACTAGTAATTTCAAACGATTTCAACAATTTTTTTAAACATTAAGTAATAAAAAATCTACTTGACAAAAGTACACCCTGTATCAACAGATAGTAATAGAAATTAAATTCATTAAATTTTTATGTTATTTTTAGTATTTTAAAAATTGAAATTTGTCCGTTTAATGACGGGTTTGGTCCGTTTAATGATGTCCACTAAACGGACTAAATGGTAGAGTTTGTTTTTCGGTTTTGTTTTCTGGAACATGGAGAACAGAAACAAAACTGAAACTATCCAAAAACTCTACAATCTTTAAAAAGTTTGCGAACCGTTTTCAGTTTTATTCGACATGAGTTTAAGTTTTGTCCGTGTTTTAACCCGACGTTGCCTTAACGCACTTTAAATATTTGTCCATCTGAACTTACGCTTCGGTTTAATGGAAAACCGACATTAGAAGTTAAAGAATTCCTAATAACAATAAAGAATATTTACCGTTCTTGGTCCTTTGGGAAAGTAAATAAACTTATTCCTTGGCCGCTTTTGGACGTACAAAAACGGCACGCACAATAAAATCCAGGCATTTTGGAAAAACCAAAACAAAACAAAACGACAAAACAAGCACCAAAAAATATCTCTGAACACGTAACCTTAAACCTTACGCTCACGGACTAAGCACAGTTGAGACTGACCGCGAACCGCGAGGTATTGAGTGAAAAACTACTTGTTTCGCACATGCGTAGTACTCCAAAACGATACCACCGAAACTATGCTATCGCTTCTCTGTGTTCGCCTGTTCGCTATTTTCTGGTATTATACATACCAGAACCAAAGACAAGAGACAGACAACTAAAGGCGGCCTTAGACCAAGGCAACAATTGGCAACATGTAACATGCGACTTTGCTACAAAATGTTGCTTGTTGCCACTTGTTGCCGACGATCCACATCAAATGCAAAAATAGGCGACTATTCGTGCGATATCAAACGTTTTGTTAATATTTTCAATTATAAAGTTTCGTCAACTGAATCTTTTAAGGCAATTTGGTTGCTTTGATATAAATGGTTTCTCGCATGCTACAATAGTCGCATAAACTTGTTTGTGCGACTGGAGACTTTCCCAAAAGTCTGTCGCATGCTACATGTTGCCTTGGTCTAAGCCGGCCTTAACGAGACGAGCAAGGCAAAAATTGTTTGGGAGATTTCGTGAAAGGCACGCTAGAGATGGCGCTGCATTATATTACGCTTGTGATTACGCTGTTTCCAAATATTGTTGAGGTATAGGTTAAGGATGGCGGGATTGTTTAAAAATGGATTTTAGGATGTTTAAAAGTTAAAAAAGAAATTACGTTTTAAAAAATTGTTTTTTATTATCTGCAGAGTGTTCAAAAAAGTGTCACAATATGAAATGGGTGGTAATATGACCCAAAATATGTAGAAAAGTCTTAATAAACATTTGTTCGCAAATAAGCCGTTTGGTTTGTAGAGCAACATAAAAAGTGGCCATTTTAAATGAAAATAGGCCAATATCATAAGCTGTATCGACATTTAAAATAAACGCTCAGACACGTCAATTTTAGTTTTTAGGGGGACACTTCTCTGTCTTTTTTATCTTCTCAATTCTTTTGCTTCCCAGATCTTTTGCCATGTATTTCGGCAAATCTTTAATTCCTCTGAAAATTGGTCGTCTTAGAGGTAGAAGGTGTACTAGGCCCTGCGACAACTGCTTTCTGAATCTACAAAAAATAGCTTTCCAATCAACTTGCAATTATTATCAGTAAAAATTATGTGCTTGTTAACTATTTGTATTTGCAACATAATTTTTCTGACAGATCATTTTATTAGCTTACTTTCATCTTCCGCAAAAACATTGCTCTTACTAGGACCTCCTTCGGCTTCCACCGGAGCTTCAATTTGTGCACCTTAAAAAACCGATAAAATATGTTTAATTTCAGCTTATTTTAACTTAACTATACATAGATGCAAAAAAGGCTTCGTTGAACTTACTTTTTTTCGGTCATCGGTTTTTAAGGAGGAAGTATTAGCAACGTAATCGTTTTGGGTAAAATGATTGCTACAAATCCTCCTGTTCCTCATGTCCATATTGACACTCAGTAAAAAATCAGTAAAAAAGTAATCAAAGAATTATTCATCTAGGCAGTATTTAAAATTACCTCCTTAGTCTAATCTATTATAAAAAAATATTATAAACTACTTACTTGTGAATATTCCTTGGAAAATAATGCATCTTCTGAACTTCATGTTCGCTACATCCACAAATAAAACAAAAAACCATTGTTACAAAAGCCGAAAAAAAAAACAGAATAAAATAATATTACGAATGCAGTAAAAAAACTCTTACCGACCAGACAACGTGAAAAAGAATAAAGTTCCTCATGCAGTACTTACTTAAATACTAAAATTTCGTGTACCTAATGGTGATTAGAAGACGGACCCTATCGTATTATTCCATGAAAGAACGGGTTGGCTTTACTTACAGCTTACAGGGCTCCATCCCTTAATTGTATTTTAATTTCATTTTCTATTATACAGGGTGTCCCAATGAAAAGTAGCCCCTTTATTGAGCTTGTAATTTTTGAACGCCTAACCATAATCATACTACACCTAAAGAATTTTGCAATTTTTTACTAACTATCTCTTTTGTCTTTAGCCGAAGGAGACAAAGGACGAAGTACATTAGACGCCATACTTGCCACGACATACTGTAGATCGCAAATTCATTTATCTCGTCAATTATCGTTATTGCATCCTGAACTTACGATGCCCATGTTTTCGGGTAAGTTCACTACCAAAGAATGTATTAAGAACTAACATTTATTGACGATGTTCCGCAGAAATAACGTACAGGTTTCAAACGGCAAGACCAGAAGTGAGGCAATTGTTGCTGCAGTATTTGTTACCTTGGCTGCACAATATGGAATTAGTTGATCCCAACATTCCTCATACAAATAATACGCACAATATTTATCAGGTGCGTTGAATCCGCTAATTTTATTAGTATCATGTTATTTCTTATGTATTTTTTTACTTCAGTTTTACTCTAATGAAATGGGTTCAGAGCGCAAGGAAGGCTGGGGGTCTGCGGAAGCAACAGAAATGGTCCTGAATAATATTTTTTATATTACAACAAAGGTAAACTTTATTTTAATTCGCCAACCAATTATTTTTAATTAAAACATTTTAGTTTGGTGACAGTCATCCAAAAGAAATAGAAGAAGTTTGGGCAACACTTTGCACATCCTGGCCGAATAATATGAAAGTGATAATTCGATATTTAATAATAGTTTCCGGAATGGCCCCTTGCGAACTTTTACCCTACGTAAGTACAAATAAATATCCCATGTGTCTTTCTTGATAAAAGATATTTCAGGCGAAAAGAGTGGTGTTATATCTTGCTAGAATACAATCAGTGAGATTACTTGATGAAATGATGGTGGAATTACAAACAGTCGAAACCTTAAACTGTCTTATAGAAAGAACTGAAACACCACCGTTTTATCGCTTGACTGTTATGAGAAAGGCTTCCAGCCATTCCGACGGCACAAATGGCGTTGCTGGTCAAACTGATTCTAGCAGTAGAAATGATTTAAGTAAGTATATGGTAGTAATTAGCTATGTGTTGTTACTTAATTTGTATTTTATAGGCATTGAAAAGGGTACAATACACACCAAAAGGCACAGCGGTGAAGATCCATCCAAAACGTCCGTTAGTAAGTCGGATTCGGGTACTAACATCTTCTCAGATTTTGCCATGTCCCGTCCAGATAAAGCGAAAAATCCGGAAGAAATGATAGGGGCATTGGAAGAGGTAAATACTCTAAATGGAACCACGATCGTATACATTACGGTCTGGAAACTCGGCGTATTTTGAGATAGTGTTTCGAGGGTTCATGAGGAATCCGCTATGAGCGCTAGTGTCGGGCAGAGTTAAATTTTGAATTTCATGTAGCTTGCGTTTTCCGGTATGATGCACGAATTGTCGCCAAATTATATAAAAACCAAATTTGTAAACCACATCCGCAGCACCCCCTTTCCCTCTCCAAAGGAGTTTCCGGACCTGTTATTATACGACCATGAACTGAACGTAGACAAGACATTCAGTTTCTCTAAATAAATAAAAAAAATATTTAGGTTGCTGTTGAAGAAGACGTGTTACTAAGGGATAAAGTTACCATACCGTTACCCCAACCACACCCTTTGCCTATGCCTGAGTTTGGAGGTTATTTCGCTCCGCTGACGGAATATTTACCCGACAGTTCTCAACCGATATCAGGATTTCATAGGTACTACTATTAAAAAAAAAATTAAACAATAACCAATTATAATTTCGCTAATGTTTGTAGATGCAATGTCGGAGTAATGTTGCTATGTGATATTGTTGTCGATGGAATCGAACTCGATTGGACCATACACGTACCACTAATGCTTCATATTTTATTCTTAGGCTTGGACCACACTCGTCCGTTAGTTTATCAACATTGTAAACAGTTGTTGCTTAATTTGTTGATTGTCTTAGCTTTGCATAACGACCACCTAACGGTTGCTCATATTTTACTTAACAGTAAAACCAAGCAACTGGAATTGGGTTTGAGTACGCCAACTTTGTCTACTGTGGTCGAACACACTTTTACCGGTAATGATAGTATTTTTAATACAACCTCTATTTTTTTAATGTACTACTCTTCTTTTGTACAGAATCGAATCCAACTTTAAACGAGTTTTTATTGAATCACTTCGGTTCCAATTCGAACGCAGAAGCTGCAAATAAAGTTCCCACGCAAACACTACCAGCTATAAAAACAGAGGAAATAGGTAAATTATACAAGGTGTTAGTTAATTGAATGCCGATACTTCAGGATGATATTTGACCGATTATAAAAAGAAAAGTTTATATCAAAATATGTCCTAGATCTCTTATTTTTCGGCATATTATCATAATTTTCTTATTACTCCAATATTTTTATGAAAGGTTTAGGACATATATTGATATAAACTTTTCTTCTTAAAATCATCTAAATATTCGCATCCTGAAGTATCAGCACTCAATTAATGATAAAACTGGATAAAACTTTATTATATAGGGTGTACCGCATAAGAACCGACACGGAGCAGGGACATTTTAAGGGAGTGTCCTCCCTGATGAACCCTTTAAAATACATCAATAATAATTGATCTCTCCAAACTATCGATAATTGCTCTTAGTACACTCATAATATACACCAAATTTCATGGTTTTAAGTTTGAGTATTACTGACATATTAAATGTGTAACTCCACTTTGAAGACCTTTTACTTCTCAGGAATGTAATTTTGCATTAAGTTGGGTTAAACAACATTTTTTGGGCTGCGCGCCCCTGCTCTATATGGGCTCTTACGCGGGACACCCTGTACGTATAAAAAACATGATCTGATTAATTATTTTTTCTCAGCTGAAGAAAAAGAATCGGTTATTCCCCAAGTTGTAGTAGTACCGGAAAATGTGGAACCACCACCAGTAACTAAGATAGAACTCACCGTTTCGGTAATAATAAAATCTCTCATACAGTTTCTCGCAACGCGCCAAAATTCTTCCTTATGGAACTACGAGGACATTACCGCCAAAGTTTGGTCGATCAAAAGTTTCGAACAAATCGACATCTTCATGCAGTACATCCTTAAAGTTTTCAGAGAATCTTTACCGAATGCTCATATTAATGAAAGATGGGCGCAGACAGCTCTGCAATTGGGCCTGAGCTGCTCGTCCAGACATTACGCCGGCAGATCTTTGCAAATTTTTAGAGCGCTCAGAGTTCCCATTACATCGAGGATGTTGTCCGATATTTTAAGCAGGCTAGTCGAGACTGTCGCTGAACAAGGCGAAGACATGCAAGGTAAATAGAAATATTTTCGTATTAAGGTTTTTATAAAATGTTGTATTTATCTTGTAGGTTACGTGACTGAATTATTATTGACTCTTGAAGCAGCGGTCGAGTCTCTCGAATCCGATTTTCGTCCACTCGATTTTATGAAGGATTTCTTTAAATCCACGCCTAATCTTAACAACAAAGACGCCAATCGCAAAAATGCCGAAGGTTCTCCGGTGAATTTGGCCGGCACTCCGGTGTTTTATTCACCTATTATAGGACACGCTAGGAGTACCAGTTATTCAGTTTCTTATGCGTTTAGGAAGAATGCGCAGTCTACTACTGATGTGAAAGAGCGAAATAGGCACGGAAGCGAAACGGATCATAGGTTTGTAAATCATAACTGACTTGAAGCTGAAATCTTTTGGATTTTTTTTAATTTAGAAGCTATTTCCAGCTTGCTTTCTTTTTTAACGTTTTTTCTACGAGTTACTTACTACTTAACTTTTCTTCTTATATCTTTCACTAATGATAATTGAATGGGTGATTGGAAAAAGGATAAAATTCCAAAATTTAGGCGAATTAAAATGAGATAGCCATTTTGTTCTAATTTCTGTTATCTTCCTCCTAAGCGCAAAAGGTAAATATTACTGAAATTTTAACCAGGTTGTTAACTGCGCTTACCATAAATAGCAGATTTATAACTTTTTGTTACAGTGACACAAAAATTTTGTATCGCCTGTACAGGGTGTTTTATAAAAATCCTCTCTTTTATAATCGCATTAACCAAATTTTATGATATATAGGACATCCTCTTTTGTAGAATAACATGTACAAAAAATACATTTTTGAAAAGTAGACGAGTATATCTTTTAAAATACTTTGTACGGAGTGTTCCATGTAAAAAAATGGTTACTGTGATTTTAAAAGAAGAGATTTTGACAAATCCGCATGTTTTTATGATTAGACGTTTAAAAATTAAAAGCTCATTAAAGGGGCTACTTTTCATTGGGACACACTGTACTTGATTTCAAAAGGTATTGGCCAAAGATAATTATTCAAAAAGACTGGCAAAGATGTTGGAGAAAACAGTTTTCACATTTTTTAACCTTTTTTTTTGTATTTTGAGCTTAAAAATAATAAAAATGTTGTTTTTAAAAAGACCAATAGATAGTTACTAAAGAGGTATAAACCGTCCAAACTGTGGCATCAAACGTATTTTGTCAAAGTTGGGTAATAGTAATGATTTCTGTTAAATTACCGGTTTGGCAGCAAAAAGTTTTTGATTTCCCAAAAATAAGGTTCACTGGAATTTTATCCTTTTTCCAATCACCCATTCAATTTGTACTAATAACGTTAAAGAGGTAGGTAACATTCGTCGATTTTAATTTATCCATTTGCTAGTGCAAAAATGAATATTATTTTTAGGAATGCTATGAATAAATTTGCGCCTAATAATCTTTCAAGGTCTAGATCGGCCCAAAGTTTAAAAATGTTGGGAGATACGGCCACCCAGGACGACAAACTGACAATTTTAGCTCAGCTTTTCTGGTTGGCCGTTTCGCTTTTGGAATCCGATTACGAGCACGAGTTTCTGTTGGCCATCAGGCTGCTCGCCAGCGTTATGCACAGGTTACCGTTGGACCGGCCCGACGCTCGAGATAAAGTCGAAAAACTCCAATCTCAATTGAGGTGGAATTCATTCCCCGGCGTGCACGCTTTGTTACTGAAAGTACGTATTTTAATACACGAATTGAAGATGTTAATCGAAATTTTTTTAGGGTTGCACGCATCCGAACATCTACGAACCGGTCGTGGCTCTTCTCTCGCATTTCACACCTTTATTAAACTTTGTCGTCGTTGATCCGTCTCAAAGCATAGCGTTCCCTATGAATGTTATAGCCCTACTTCCTTACATGCTGTTGAATTACGAAGATGCTAATGAGCTTTGCGTTAGGGCGGCTGATAATATTGCTCAGGTAAAACCAATAATTCGTTTCTTAATTATTTATGCGCAATGTGTTACTGATTTAGGTGAGTCACGAAAAGAGCAAGAAATTGGAGAACCTCGGCACGGTGATGAGCCTTTACAGCAGGAGAACGTTTAGCAAGGAGAGCTTCCAATGGACGAAATGCGTTGTGAAATATTTACACGATACGTACTCGCATTTGAGCTTGAACATGCTGTCGTTTCTGATAGAAATTTTAGAAAAAGGACCCAGCAATTTGCAGCTACCGATTTTGAATATAATCCACTGTATTTTACATTACGTCGATTTGGCAACGGCGGCGGCCCAACCGGTCAACGCCGATCTATTGAAAGCTATCGTGAAATACATCGACGGTCCTAATTGGAAAGAGGCGCTGAAAATATTGAAATTAGTCGTCAGTAGATCCAGCTCGTTGGTGGCGCCTCCCATAACTATTCATTCCCATTGGGAAAGCTCGTTGACGCCGATGCCTCATCCTTCGTTTAACGAAGATAATATTTTTTCCAAAAAAGAATTGCCGGGTAGGACGATGGAATTTACGTTCGATATGTCGCAAACTCCGGTGATCGGTAGAAGGTATCTGCACAAAACCGATGAAACAGCGGCATCGAAAACCGCTTCTACGCCAAGGAGATCTTGTTCCATAAGTCCAGCCGATGCATCGCCTCAGTCTGGTTGGAAGAGACCTTGGATGTCTCAGGTAAATTTATAAATGATACTCTTGTACGGTTTCACCAACGAAAAATAAGACCTTATTTGATGAATAAATTTAACTGCCCAAAATACACAATTTTGCTTCACCGACAACAAATAGCGTTATTCGACGATTAAATTGACGTTTAAATTACCCAACGTAATTTGGACAGTTAAAGTTTTATTAGGTTTTTTCTGACCTAAAATAATATTCATTTGTAATATCATTGCAAGTGTTTTTCTGATGTGAATTTTAATTTTAATTTATTGTTTGTATTTTTAGTTTGTTTGGGAATAATGGATAACAGACAAAATAATACATTATGAAATTTTTAAGTTATATTTCAGAATTATTTTTCTATTAGATTTTTAGCATCATCTTCAACACCATCTGATGAAGATTTTCATTATAGACGACCTCAAATTGTTATAGAAAGAAGGATCGGTATTACATTTCTTCTCATCTTCCAACTAATTTCCAACTGCTTCTTTCCCTTTTTTTTATCCATTTCAGAACCACTCTCAAACTTCAAATGTGTATAATAAAATAACAATACTCACACGTCACGTTGACAAAAATCAAAAAATAACCTGAACAATTCAGTTCGAAATCTTCTTTTATTGAAAAGACTTGAATTCTTGTTGGTGTATCAGAAAATTTGTTTATACTGTCAAATAGCTAACTAAAGATTAAAAATGTTGGTGAAATGTCAAAATATTTAACTGGAGTTTAAAACTTATTCATCGAATAACTATTTATAGATTTATTTGTTGTTAGTGAAACGGGGCAACTATATTTTAAGAAATAACATACTTCTCTTATAAACGAACTTTACCTTGGTTTAAAAAAGGTACCATTGCAATTGAACTTTTTCCTCAATTCATGAATTCTGCATTAACATTTACAGGGACGAGTTCGAGAATGTTTGGTTAATCTATTGACGACGTGTGGACAACGTGTTGGTCTACCCAAGAGTCCATCGGTAAGAAAGATAACGTAATACAGGACTCGGATTATTCCAATTTTTATGTTCTTACAGGTTATATTTAGTCAGACTTCTGACATCATCGAAAGGCAATCCAGTATGGCTTCCAGTACAGAAGAAGTATCGGCCGGTAACAACGACATGAGCGGTGGATCCAGACGAGACGACGCCGCTACGGAGTTTGGCGTGTTTAAAGATTTCGATTTCTTGGAATACGAAAGCGAAAGCATCGAGGTTCTTATCATAATCATCGTCGTGTTCATTACGCTTTGATTAATGTTGTGCGTTTTTTCAGGGTGAAAGTACAGATAATTTTAATTGGGGCGTAAGGCGTCGACCATTGAGCCAAGGAGAGGACGATCAAGCGCAACTAAAACAGCTAGAGGATAGTGTCAGTGAAAAAACGCCTGTACTAACAGTAAGAAAGGTACACGTCTGTCCTTTTGATCATAATGTGAGTTTCTCCGTTTGCGTTGTTTCCAATGTGACTAATCCAAATAGATTGTTCCTAGGAGGAACACACTAACCTAAAGTTTTGTTAGCTATTAGGCCGTATTTATAAAAATAGGCATAACCTTTTGCTTTCAAAAAATGATAAAATTGCTTCAAAGGTATATGCAAAAAAATAAGTGAAGGAAGAGGTTTTGCTTCGAGCTTTGTTTCCGTATTTATAAAAAGAAGCATTTCCTTAAGAAGAAAGGATTTTCTAGTAAAAATGGAATCTATTAGTTCATAGCAACTTTTCAAAATCATTTCAGTAGTTACTCAGCAACCACACACCACAAAATTTTTGTGTATTTTGACTGTGTGTTCCCGAGGATGCGGATGAACTATCTATATATTCATTTAGAACGTTCCAGAATAATCTAGAACAGTCTAGAATCATTTAGAACTGTCTAGATTAATATAGAACTGTTTTATAATCATTTAGAACTGTCTACAACCATTTAGAACGCCCCAGAATAATTTAGAACTGTCTAGAACAATCTGGAATGCTTTAGAAGCATTTGAACATTCTTGATCCATTTAGATATGGCTGGATCAATCTACAACGCTTCAGAACTGTTTCGAACCATTTAGACTCGTTTCGACTAGTTTGACGAAATCGCTAATCTCTGTACCATTTACTTTATTTAACTGAAGCGTTTCCTTGCAACAAAAAGGCGGAGATTATGAATATGGATCAGAGCAAAACCTTGCCCTCTTACCTGTTCCTCTTACTTCAAAGTAAATGCTTCATTTTTATAAATATGAACTTTCGTGTTTGTTGTTGTGTTAAAATTGTGATTTTTTAATATCCACTTACGCTTTAACGATTTCCAGAGGTTACTGACAGAAGAATCGTCCGATGATGAAGTCGGTTCGGAATCTCCATTAGACGAAATTGCTATTGCTCCAGATTTCGACAATAGCATGATGGAAAATAGCGCAATGTTTCCTCCATCATCGTTGGCATTGCGGGAGAATAACTCGCAGGTCCAATCTGGTGCTAGGTCCGATACTAGGTAAGCAAATTGTGCTCAGCAATGTTGATTCATTGATGATTTGTATTTATAGCGGTTCCAGTTCGGGCGATTTGGGCGAAGTAACACCTTGCAATGCTTCGCCTAATTTATCCACTTTGATCAGCATGAGACCTATATCGAAGTGTGACGTCTTAGAGAATTGGATTACTTACATTCAAAGTAACATGTTGCAAACACCGGCGAACACATTGCAATTTTTCCACCAGTTTCAAAAACTTGTAACGGTACGTTCATACTTCATATTATACAGGGTTATTAATTGAGTGCCGATATTTCAGGATGTGAATATTTGGGTGATTTTAAGAAGAAAAGTTTATATCAATATATGTCCTAAACCTCTTAGTTTTAGAGCTACAGGGTGTTACAGTTTTAGAAACAAAACTTTTCTATAATCATTTTCTTATTACCACAGATATTTTTTATGAAATTTTGGACGTAGACGTCACTGGTAACAGTAGAAAATTAATTTTTATCCCAAAAAAGTGTTTCCATGCATGGCGGGGCCTACCAAATTTTAACAAAATATCAAAAGCAGTTTCAATGAACTTGGGATAAAATTGTTTTGATTTTTATTTTTATGCAAAAATGGTGCGTCGTACGAAAGTAAATCTTCGGACCAAATTTACTCCAAAAGAAATGAGCATTTTAAAAATAATTTTGGTTTTTAGAAAAAGCAGTGGCGTACCACTTTTTCTTCAAACATATTCAATTCAAACCACGTACGGATGTCACTGGTAAAAATTTTGAAAAATATTTTTCCTCAAAATATTCTCCTTATTAATTAAAAAGTGTGTACAAAATTAATAAAAATATTTGGAATAATATGAAAATTATGATAGATTTTTTTCTAAAATTGTAACACCCTGCAGCTCGAAAACTAAGAGGTTTAGGGCATACATTTATATAAATTTTTCTGCTTAAAATTATCCAAATATTCACATCCTATCGGTACTCAATTAATTAACACTCTGTGAGAGGAGTAATGCGAAATTATGCGGATGTAATGATGAAATTTTTGCAGGAAATTTGTTCATCCGCTTTCGAGGTAACTAAAGAATCTTGCTCGTATATGTCTCAATCATCTGTGAGCGGATTGCCAACGATTAAACTCATCGGCTCGAGGTTGCTGTCTCTAGTTGATTTCGTTAACAGTCGACTTATAGTTACAAATTTGATTTGGTTCAATACATCGGCAATTAGCAATTCCAGGTTTATTGAAACGCTAAAATACGGCATGTTGGAAGTACAAGAGCATTTGGAAACTTTCTGCGATAAGAAAGAACAAGCCGGCATGGTAACGTTCGCGACGCGAAAATTGAATAGCCGCTTTATCGATTTTGATTAATTTTGCTTTCAGTTTTGCGACGCCGTGAAAACCACTTTGAAATTGGAGAAATTAGGCGGGCAACCGACGGGCGAATTCCATCACGAACAGTATTTACTGGAACTCGGCAAGGCGCTGTACAAACTCTATTTCCAATTACTGCTTTTGATCGAATCTGGAAATAAAATGTTGTCGACGTTACAAAACATCCTCAAAGGCGCAGAAGTGAGGATTTAACGAATTTTTTTCATACATTTTACACCGTATCCCGACGTTCCATCACACGACTATTCGTCACGCGACATTCAATCACGAACATTTCATCACGATGATGATTTATCACACCTACTATAAACAAATATGTAAAATAAAACAAGACTTTTGGTGGCAAAATTACCTCATGGTCGTGTTCTGATCAGCGTAGAAATTAGTTTTTATTCGTTTTTTGGATTCTTTCAACATTTTATTAATTATTTCATCACACATTTATTTACACATGATTGAGATAGAGTGTAGAAGCAAGTGAATACTCAATTGAAAATATTCTTTCATATTTTTAGTATAGATGTAGCTTTGTCAGGATGCTCAACGCAGCTAAAATATTATCAACTTGTTGGCACTTATGTCTATGTTAGTATTTACTTTCAGAATATAGCTACAAGTGACAAAAAGTTGAAAATATTTTAGCTGCGTTGGGCATCCAGACATGCTACATCTATACTAAAAATAAGAAAGTATTTTAAGCCATTTTTCACTTCTACACTATCAACCATGTAGAAAGAAATGTGTGATGAAATGATTATTAAAATTAAATTGTTTAAGAAATGATTAAAAAAAAAGATTAAAAACTAATTTCTAAAGTTTTTTTACAATTTTTTTAGTAGGTGTGATGAGTAGTGGTGTGATGGAACGTCGTGAAATCATTTTACTCAACTTTTATTCAGTTTAAGGACGTGACAGGCGACATAATATTAATTCGAAACGCTTTAACGCGAGCCTACGAAGACACGGACGCCGACGGTGGAATATCCTCCAGCATCGCCGGTAGCGTTAGTTCCGAAAATCTCTTGATTAACTTGTGCAGGTTAATCGAAAATGAAAAATGGACTTCGGTTATACTCTACTTCAAATGCAACAAGGACGAGTTTATCAAGGAATTCGAGGAGTTGTGCGATAAGGAGAACGATGTCGTGTCTATTTTGAACATCTATTGCAAGAAATTAGTGTGCGACAAACCTGGTAAGAGAAATTCTAGTCATTATGGTACTTTGAGGTGCTCGTTTGTTAGATAAAAAGTAATATGAAGTCAATTCCTACTTAGGTCAACAAAGAATAAAATTTAAAGCATTGAAAATTATTTAAAAATAAAAAGAAATTGGATTCGACGAGATTCGAACCGATGGTGTGAGGATTACACACATACACCTCTACCAACTTTGCTATTGTGATTTGTTAATATAATACAGGGTTTCCCAATGAAAAGTAGCCCCTTTAATGGGCTTATAAATTTTATACGCCTAATAAAAAAAATGCGGTTTTCTCAAATATGTTTTATTTGATATAAGTTTTGTTACAGTGATACAGAAATTATGCATTACCAATAGAGAGAGTTTTATCAAAATATCCTCTTTTAAATTCACAGTAACTATTTTTTTTAAACGGAACACCCCGTATATACAGAGGTATTTTGAAAGATATAGGTACTCTTCTAGTTTTCAAAAATGTATTATTTGTAGGTACATGTTATCCTACAAAAGAAGATGTCCTAATTCATTAAATTTGGTTAATGATTTTAAAAGAGTGGATTTTTATGAAACACCCGGTACTGGCGATACAAAATTATTGTGTCACTGTAACAAAAAGTTATAGCAAAATAAAATATATCTACGAAAACCGCATGTTTTTGAGATTAGGCGTTTAAAAATTATAAGCTCATTAAAGGGACTACTTATCATTGGGACACACTGTAGCAGGAATTGAAAAAATATGTGCAAGTATCGTAATTATTTTGATATTTTAGAATACTTTGTGATATTCAACCAGCAATCGGACCTGGCCGACGTATACGGAAGACTGTTTCAAGTATCAGCAGCTGTTTCAGATCTTGAAAGTAACATAAAAGAGCAACCGAACAAATCGAGTGAAACTTCTAATACTTAATAAATTAAAATCATTACACATAGGAGCAATAAAGTAATAATACAATTTAAGAGTAAAATAATGTTATGAGTAGTTAAATAATCATCGTTTATAGCCTGTGAGAAGAAACTTGTGACATTTTTTTTGTGCATAAGTGATACAAAAATTACGTTTATATTTTATTCTTCATTCTCATATCATATTTATCTATTTCTTCATTAGTTTCATTATGAAAGATGTCCAGTTAAAATCACAGCGGCTTTTAAGTAAACTGGCTGTATGCCATGCCGAGTAATAGAGAGTTTTCAATATAACATGGTCCTATTATGTTTATTATTATTATGAAAATATTGAAATTATTTATCTATTTGTCAAATGATAAACCAAACATACAGTGATATATTATTGTATGTTATATTATTACTTCTAATTTTTCTATATTTATCTTCTAATTAAATATTTATAGCCAATTTGTAATATTAGATCAATAATTAAATAAACGTATATGAGAAAGAGTAAATTTTTTCTCTTAACTACAAACATACCTAAATTATCCCTTCCTATTCCTTGTATATGCTAGACGGGGTATTTTAAAATTGTTTTAAAAAATCCTAATTATGGATGAAATTAAGTTAAAATGGGTGCTTCATATGGACACCTGTAAAATCGGCGCAAAAGGAATTATAGATTTGAATCCTGTAGGTAAATTGGGTGCAGAAAATGAAAGGTCCTTTTAATTCAATAGGTAAATTTAGCCGTAAAGAATGAAAGATCCTTTTAATCCTACAGGTAAATTGGGCGCAGAGAATGAAAGGTCCTTTTAATCCCATAGGTGAATTGGGCGTAGAGACTGAAAGGTCCTTTTAATCTGACGGGTATATTGGACATCAGAGAATAGGTCATTTTAATCTGACAGGTAAATTGGGCATAGAGAATGAAAGGTACTCTTAATCTATCAGGTAAATTGGGCACATAGAATAAAAGGTCCTTTTAATCTGACAGGTAAATTGGGCGTAGAGAATGAAAGGTACTCTTAATCTAACAGGTAAATTGGGCGCAGGGATTGAAAGGTCTTCTTAATCTGATGGGTAAATTGGTCGCAGATTCCTGGAAAAATAACTACAAATAATTCGTTTGTTGATTGAGAATTTTTATTTATAGCTAAGCAAGGTATTTTCATGCATATATTTGACTCTTTTAATATACGAGTCAAAATAGGATTTTTTCGTTCACTCTACTCTTTTCCATTCTACTCTCCCATAGCCTAGAGTGTACATTGGTTTATTGCACTGTTTGTTAAAACAGTATCAAAAATTTTCAATTTCTTTCAAAATTTGCAATGAATTCAAATAATTTCCCTTTTCTACCTAGTATATCCTTGCACCCAATTTACAGGATTAAAACACCCTTTTAAGCTCTCGGGTAATAAATATATTTCTGCGCTCAATTTACCAGAGCCGCTTTTTATAAAACAATTTAGTACCTTTTTGAAACGTTTAATTTTCGTTAAAAGGGCCTTTCTTCGGTTTAAGTTTGTAATTTAAAACTACTGGTTAGAACGGATCCAATATTTATCGAATCATCGGCTGAATATTAAATAAATCGAGATTGAGAGTCGAAAGAAATTTTACCAGGGCACCGAAATTCCGTCGACTTTCGCCGACTCGGCTTGCCATGCCATCGCCTCCTTATGATATTCCTGCATCGATAATTTCACCTGCTCGAGTGCTGTGACATGGCGTACCGCTATTCTTTATTCCTCGAATGTGTCATGCACTCGTGCATTTTATTCTGCGGATGCGAGTAATCTTTATCGCGGGTGTGCTACAAGGTCCTATTCCAATGCGATTGACTGCTTGGAGAGTTTTTCGAAAAAAATAACAGTTCCGCGGTTGTCCGGGAAAGTTGATCTTGAAGATAGGTCGATGTGGAGACAGTTTTGATTAAAAGTGTTTTGAAAATTGTTGTTTGTTATTTTTCAGTTTCGATTTCGCCGGTTAATTATAACTTTGTATTTATTAAAAAACATTAAGTGGGACGTTTCTGTGTGTTATTTGTTGTAGATAATTCAGCGAATAAGAAAGTGAACATGTAAATAATAACGTCGTATTAAGAAAGTTGTGTATTTGGAAATCTCAACGATTCGATGGATTGAAATAGAATAAAAGTGAGTCTACTTTTTTATTTTGAAACATCAAACTTTGGACAAAACTTTCAAAATTCTGGACGATATTTCTAAATGTATTCTCTCGCAGAGGAATGTTAGTTTAATATTTAAAAATCACATAAGCTTCTACTCGTTTATTCAATTGCACATATCCAATTAAAAGTCCATCCATAAATATACAATAAAATAATTTTCTTACTATTAATTGAAGATGACATGATATCTTCATCAATTGAAATAAATTTGAAAGGCTAATAAATTATTATTCTTGAACTTTATTTACTTCCATATAATGCAAGATCAGGAATATAAAAGTTCTAATGCTATTTTATATATTTTATGATACCTACATATACATATCTATCTTTATATTTTACTATATTTTATTTATTCATTATATTATATTATATTATTCATATGTAGTATATCGTATTGTACTATTGAATTTTACACAAATTTTATAATGATGGTTAAAACAATTAGGGAAACTTTCATAGAATAATAATTGTTATTAATTGAAAATAGGTAAATGGTACCTTAGATTAGAACATTAAATGGAAAGTTAATGCATAAAAGTAGATACAATTTAACTAATCTTCAATGTCATTGTACTTTACACAAGGCGACGTTTTTTTCGATATACATTTTGTTGACTCCATCATAAGTAATACTTATAAAACTATTACCTAACTTATAAACCATCAATATGCGTATGCCTTTGGCATATTTTTTTTAAATGCTCCTGTTACTGACTATCATCTACTAATTAGTCGTTGAGGATAAAAAATGCTCGTGCGTCTCGAGTGGTAGTCTGAAAACAAAAGATTAGTCCTACATTAAAAAGTCACGAAAACGTTTGAAACACATTTAATCAGATATCAAATTACACAAGAATGAATTTACTAAATGACGAAATTGTAAAACAAAGTATATTTCATATTGCACAAACTCTTTAATGGTTAATAGTCGCTTCAAGGATCCAGGATACTCTTATAAAAGGCGGTTTAATAAAGCGGATTAGCACAATGGAACAATTAATGGGAATAATCACCGACTATTCATATCAAGAATTAACTAATACCTATATATTATTTACTTATTGTTTAATCTGTCCAGAGTCGGATTTATTTGTTTTCTCAAATACGTAATCCAGAAACCGAGCTTATAAGCAAGTAGACACTAAAAATTATTGTCTAATGGATAGTTTTAGGCACGAGCTTCTTATTAAAATGACAGTAATATTTACGATTACGGCAATGAGAATACTATTAAGCCGATCGTTGAATTATTCATTTAGAGATAATTCTGCTTAAAGTTATATTTATGGCATTTTAATTTAATCATTTAATAAATTGTGTGTCACAAATTACATTTCAGTTTTTGTAGAAAAAGAAAGCGCGACTGATTCGATTTGTTTAGATTGAAATAGTTTCGTAGAAAATGTGGATCAGTCGTAAAATTACTCAGTAGTCGAAAGAGATCAACAAAATATTCCTCTTATTTTAGATAAGCAACGAAGTAGCTGTAAGAATACGATCCGCAATAGTTTAATAAATCATTTAAAGGTTGCGCAGGTTGCGTCTTCAACTATTCCTAGCGCAATGTACCTATATTTCGAAATGTACATATTTCCTAAATATTTGTTTAAAAAATAAATCTTTGAAACATAGCAGAAGAAAGTTATTTATGTATGTATCCACTTAAATATATGGATTTTATGTTCGAAATATGTCATTTCTAAAATTAATAACCGTATCGACCATAATTTGTCTAACCATTTTGGATATTCATGACCGCATATCTAAATAGTTCTTACTCTATATTTCCTTCATATAGACAGAATGGCATGCGAAAGGTATCTAATATTTAATTTAACTTTCCATGAAATTATAGAGGAACTGTTGTTAATAACTACTCTAGATTTAACTGTAATTATAATAAATGAATTTTACCTTCTCAATCGTATAAATATTTTAATTACAATTAGATGAATAATCGTAATTGAAATCGAGTAGACACCAAAAATTTGTATCTACAAGTGACAGAATCCATAAGCTAGTTACTACCTACATATGTATGTATGTACATCTTGTACCTATGTACATCTTGCTTAAATATTTTTAACAAATTTTTGATACACGTAACATCTCGTAAAGTTTCGATATTTTTTAATCACACTTTCATTACAAGCCTATCGGAACATGTAATTTTAGGATCTTTGGTGAGCATGAAGCAACGCGATTAGAACTTGAAAACAGGTATTTATTTCTGCGATACCATAGTTAGTCATGCAAACATAATCTTTTTGTGTCTACATAAGAATAAATAAATATAAGTATAGATTTGGTACCTGTAAATGCCTCTGCAGGTATTTTTTTTAATAAAGGAGGTGTGCAGTTTCTTTTGAGAAAGTTTGCAGATGGGGTTCAAAGGTGACGAATCACGTAATCAAGATCTTTCAGCTGTTTTTAGCATTTTTAATGCATTTTTATGCACTGTAACTGCAGTTACTTATAAGATAAATTAATTTTGGAGCCGAGTTATTGTTTTACTGATGACTAATTTAAAATTATAGTGATTCATTTCTCCAATATTTCTTTTAAATTTATTTGAATTTTCACAATAAACTATTATCTGAAATACGAATTAATTAGAATTAACCTTCCAAAGCTGGAATTTATAAAATTTAAAAATTTCGGATTATTTAGCTTTATTGTAATCCAAGAAATCAATAAATCCTTGTAAATGTGTTTCCTTAAAGAATATTAAATTCATTCTTGACACTCAATCTCAATGTTATGATAGATGAGTTGTTTGAAAAAATCGTATAATCACAGATGTTAATGAAGACTTTTTACGGACAAATACTTCAAGTACTTGTCTTCATTGCCAAGTGGGTATTACATACCAATTAGTGTTATTATGATTATTATAGTAACCGACGACACTACAGTGGCCGCCAAAGTGAATTCTTAACTAAGGAAACGTATCTAAATATATTTTTATTACAACTGGGAAAGGTTACAAATTTTCATTATAAAACTCATAGTAAGACATTAAGATATCTTGAAATCTCTTCAAAATTGGAAGCCTAGACCAAACTCATCCTGTGCAATATTCTCACATAAATAATATAAAACATTACAAACTATGAGAAGAATGATTATAACAAATTCACGTACATACATATACAATTCCACGAAATGTGCACAATATCTCCTGTAGTATCCTAATTATTGTTTAGTATTTCTCTATTCGTTTAAACTACAATGCACAAAATAATGAAATAGGTATACTTTGTTAGAGAAATGGGAACACAGGTTGATATTTTATTCATTTCCTATTAACGAGGTACTTACATGTGGGTACCCTTGGATTTTGCAAACATTACGAGGCACACCTTGACATGAAGAAGGAAAAAGATAATATGTTAAAAGCACAAAAATGTATTGTTGCGAATTAAGTGAGGCGATTTTCATAAAATTGTTTCATACAAATGCAGAGTACCTATAGTGGAAAGTTATATTAATATATCAATAGTTTTTATTACTAATGGCAACGTTACAAACTTTCTGTTCAGATAAAAGTGTACCCAAGGGATATAATAATACCAGTTTCCATCGAAATTGATTAACAGTCTTTCCTTTTATTCTCAATTTTCTCAACAATCGGTAGGTGTCTTGCGCTGGTGGTTATATGTATCTCATTGGTGCACTGACCCACTTACATATATTTATAATATCCGCATATTCCACTCGATACGCAGAATATTAAAAATTATATTGAAATCAGGAAGTCCGTATTTTTAATATCTCAAGGAAAATAATTTACTAGAAACTAATTGTTCCTGATATAAATAAATTCTGAAAGTATTACCTACTTTCTGAGGAAATAAACATCAGGAAATTGGAACAACAGCGCAGATTATTTTCTAATATTCAAGAATAAACAATTAATTACTATTTATATTTAATTATTAATTTAATAAATGCAAAAACTATCATTATGTTTTGCGAATGACAGGCGTTGTTAAATAAAAATGTTTGCTTACACTTATGTTGATTTATCAAGTAATAATTTTGGTGTTATAATTAAATTATTAAGTTTAATATCAGAAATACTGATCCATTTTAAGTAATAATAGGTAATACTTTTAATAGACACGTATCTAAATCACAGAATTTAATGAATAGAAAGCTCGACGTACCTACACATAATAACTATACGTATTGCAAATCTTATACAAATAAATATAACGAGATATTCATTTGAAAATCTAATTTATCCTCGACTATTCACTATCGTTTCCTGCCGATATTATCGATATAATAATATCGACATTAAGATGTACAGTGACGGATTTAATTTTTTTATTATTATTATCTGAGGATTCAACTAAGATCTCCTTCCAGAAAGTGCAGCTAATATGAAGAAAGATATGCCAATAAGTATTATAAATATAACACAAATGATAATTAATAACAAGCATATAATCAACCGAAAATATAATATTTCTCTTTAATTAATTAATACAACACTGTCTTAAGTGGTAACATTGCGCCACGATGCATCACATACAATTTCTTAAATATTGATTAGCCAATGGAATGATGAAGCCGCACAATTAACATCCACGATTTTCTTTGGTGATTTATAAATTTGATAATAAATTTATTATTTCTTACATCCTTTTTTACCATGAGAAATAAATTAATTCGCTGAAGTTATTATAACTGGAATTTAATTGTGCAATCACGATTTTTTCCAAAATATGAATTTGTTCTTGGAACGTTTCAGTTTTTATTTTACCTACTCAATTATAAACGTGACAATTCAAGTACAGATAAATTCCGTTTAAATTCACAATTTATGAACAAAATCGATTATACTGAATATTTTCATAAAAATATTGTGAAAGGCAATTCTATTTTCATTTCAAATAAATCGATTTCGTGAGTTTGTACCAAACTAATTACATATTCGAGTCGTTTTTTATAATTTTTTTATTCAAGTTTTTACAATTTTTAATTAAAATTAAATGCATAAGGATTAAATAAATAGAGATTTTGATTATTTAAACAACTATAAAAGAAATTTGCAATGCATATGTTATTTATGAGGATGGTTTGTGAATAATTATAAATAATAATAAATCAACAAATGAGTGCTTTAGTGAATGAAAATTTTCAGCCTCATAATGTTATAATTTTCAAATCTAGATATTAAATCTTGCTGGTGCACTCGCTCATCTTGAAGACATTTTATAGGAAAAGTAGGTTACTTATTTTATAAATATTTTTAAAAACAAAAACAAATATTGCGACTGGTCTGATTAGACTTATATAATTTAAGTATGACTAATTTAAACGAACTAATTTATTAAATTGCATTATTTATGCAGTTTCGAAACCGGATCCGCTTAATTTCGATCGATGCACTTAAGTAATTAGAAGAACGAAAATGAAATAGCCAGTGGCTCAGATCAAGTCTTGGTACTGGCAAGAAGGTCACATCTTACGGAAAAGTAACAGAAAACAACGGTACGACCTTGCCGTGGGCCACTCTTCTACTTCACTCTTTATTTTACTTCTTTTAGTCTCGATCGACAAGACAACGTGCTGCTGGCCGTTCTTTTCCTTCCTGCTACAATAATTGCTGCGTTGCCAAATAAGGATTAATTGTTAAAAGGATATTTCCGTTTCGTTGTGTCGAATATGAGGCTATACTAATAAAGCATTCGACTATAAAACGAAAGTTGTAAACAACTCGAGAAGCTCCACTTTTTGGCCGAATAAAAATTACAGTAGGGTTAATTAAATTTAAATTCAATTGATTTTAAAACAATGGTCAATCATGTCTAACAACACACAGGAATTTCAAATGTGATTATTTTCCTTATTATAGGGGTCATTACAATTTGGTTTATAAGTGTATGTAGAATTGAGTTCGAGTCCTATAAGGTTGCAGCTCGTTAACAAATTTTCTCCCAGAAGAAAATACATTTTCAAAGAGATAATGTAAACAGAAAATTAATTTTAAATTATAAATTTCAATTATGTAGATACTAAATTCCCTGGTAGATAACGAAACGAAATAATAAAAAACCATTTCTTGTAAAAACACAGGTGCAACAACTCCGTTTAGATCGATGTTGTAAAGAATAACAGCAATAAAACGTCCTTATGCAGAAGCCTGCAATTTGTACGGACATATTCCTTATAAGAATAAAATTATTACAATATTTAAATGAGCGGCAACCTTGCCTATGGTGTTTTCAGGGCCGTACACAAGACGCACAGACAAAATTTTAAACCGGCAAGTGCTCAGTCGATCCCCGCACAATTTAATCATCCGCTCGCGATTTAACTTTAACGCGAGTTTCTCGTGGAAATGCTGCATCATAAACTCGGAAAGATATCGACGCGGTGTTAAGATCTAATTTATTTTCGGGATTTTCCTTTTTGGATGCGAGGTTCACGCAGTGCGCACAGTTCGTCTTCGCATAGCTTTTTTATTTTACGTAAGTTTTTCTTCTCGAATACGAATTTTCGTTTCGCAAACGACGCTAATTGATAAGGTACTTGAAAAGATGAAAGTTTATTAGTCGTAAATTTGAATTTGATAAGTAATTGTCACATTCCTGCTAAAAGTGAAAAATTATTTTGGTAGGTTGGTTTTTGTATTTTAATTTGAAAAACTTGACAAACCATTGGTAATTTTATTAGAAGAAATTAAGGCCACAAAAGTAGAAACTTTTAAATTGCACTAAATTCAAAGCCCACAAACCCAACAAATCCATTTAAAAATAGTATACCTATATCCATTTGCTTTATAATATAAAGTAATTAATAAGTAACTAATTCTTGAGAAATATAGTATTTTTTAATGTTACTTTTTAATACCTACAATAGACCTGTAAGGATACATTTTTTAATAAAAATTTAAATAGTTATATAGCGTTAATTTTTAATATAAAATATACGCATTAATATGCGTTTTCCGTTTAATTTTTATATAAAATACCTAATTTATTAGATATTGACAAATTAGGTAAATAAATAAACAACAAACTCATTAATTAGCAACAAAACATTATACTTAATGTTTAATGAAGCGGAGCTAATTCAGAGCTAAATAACACTTTAGCCAAAGAGCGAAAAATATCAATTGAAGTAAACAGGTTGCAGTTATGTTGCAATTTGTGTCGCCAGTTATTTAAATTACTGTATAAAACTTAATTGTTAATTATAAATTTATTAATTACACCTCTATGGAAAGAACTTTTCAGTAATAACTTATTATTGTCGTGCATGTATGTATGTATGTAAATTGTGTATGTATGCATATCAATACAAAACTACATCATCTACTCAAAATTTTGTGCACATAATTATTTTACACAAATGGTAATTTAACAGGCTAAAATTGTTAATAATCGGCGAGTTTAAGGAATTTACCTACAATTTATCCTTAAGTTTTTGCTTGTATACGTGACATAGTCGAAGTCTCGAGGAACGTGAATTGTTTCAAGGTATATGGCAAGCACTTACATCTTATTAATGTATTAATTATTATAAGTGTATTAATTTATTCCTGCTGTATACGGAGTTGTTGGGACACTTAAACAATCATAACCCATTTTTTTATTATTTCTACTAATCAAAAACTTTGGTACGACAATGTTTGCTATGAACATAGGCGCATTTCAAAGAAGCCGCTTTTTATTCCTTGAAGTATAGAAAGCCGCAGTGCGATTATCATTGCATCTAATGCACCGGAAAGTCGACTTGTAAGACGAGGGTTGACTAGCTGCATTCTTCTAGTTTTGTACGCGATTGCGTTTAAATCTAAAGAAACAACAGATATTTCCTTTATTAGAAATTCCACTCTCACTCGGTTTTACTTTTGCTGGTTGTATGCATTGTGAATCTTCACCTGAATTTTAACTCCATCTGACCTCGATAGGATTCGCGTGTAAAAATCTACTAGGATTCTAATTTTTTTATTTTTAAATATTATGCAGTCTACATAACAAAGTATACACGTGCAGTTTACGTAGCAACAATATTTTAACATTATTTTCTTCAAAAATAAAGGTAGGTAGTAATTACATACCTTATTTTTTAAACTGATTTTAATCGAATATTCTTATAGACAAGTTTAATTAGTCAATGAATTATATTTTTGAACATACATATGTAGTATTTTTACTACCTGCTCAAATCATATGATGTAAACGGATATAATATTTTTTTGCGGCTGTCTTAACCGGATGATGTTAATTATAATTTGTTTTACGAATAATCCTATTTACATTAAAAATATTTTTATTATACGTGCCTTATAATATAACGCAATTTATAGATGGATGACAAAAAAAATACTTCAGATAGATAATAATAACGTCATCTTTGAGTTAATCTTGATGCTTGATTTATTACAATTATAGTATTAGTATTAGGAAACCGCAATAAAAAGATATACAAGAAAAGCAGAGTCTTTGAAACGTTCTGTGAATTAACCTGCGATAGAAATAATAATTTCTAAAACGTTCTCGATTTTTACCTTCTTTACAATCGAAACTGAACAGTAATATTTAAAATTACCTACTCACTTAAAGTACCTATAAAATAAAATTTATTAAAGACATGTGTCGAAAGTAACCTTTATAGAGGAGAGAATTAGCCAGGCGGAACATAAATGTATGGTAAAGTAAGGTTAACAACGATACCAAGAACCACCATTTGCATTTGAATCGCCTTCGTATCATATCAGAGGAGAAAGGAATGCATAAAAGTCCAAGGAAATAAAATTTTATGTGAACAATGTTAAATGTACCTATTCAATATTTCGAATTATTCAGGAATTACGAGGACGCTTCAGGAACTGATTTTTTTGTTTAGAATTCATAATTATTGAAAAAAGTTCTATTTAAGCCTTTTTTGGATATTAAACAGTTTTTCTTAAATATTTTAAACGTTGTTAACCAAAACAAGAAATTTTTATCTCTTTAAAAATTGAAAAATATGTATATTTTGTAAATTAATTTGCAATGCTCTGTTTGCACCGTTTTCTATATTAAGTCGATAGGTACCCATTATATTTAACAAGATATTACAAAATTGACTTATTATGCAAATTCTAACATTGTTAGATAACAGGTTTAACATTCAAATATATTAATTGATTTTCGAAAAAAATGCTTAAAAATTAAACATTACCAACATATGGCAAGTAATTACACAATAACACAACGGCCTAATAAATTTATATACTGACTACAAATATTCTCTGTTTTCACTATTCCATTTCCCTAATTTGTGAAATAAACAATTTAGAAGATAGTTAATTTCTTTTTGAAATGAGTGAGATATCAAAAAAAAAATAAACTGTCTAAATAAAAAAGTTCTAACGCAGAGTATTTTTTTGCAGGTGACTGGCCATGAAGGGGTGGTTCGATGCATTTCGATACGATGGTGGGCCTACCCTTTACAATTTCAATAATCGAACTTCTGTGACGGGCGATATCACTTTTATCACATTTCTTGCTACTTTCTGTACACTCTACGTGGCATTCCTGATAATATATTTTGGCATAAGAAAAGAGGTAATTACCAATTCGTTCGACAGAAATGGCTGTAGACGTAACAGCTGAATGCGCAAGTCTCGTCTACAATTATTCCTGCCACTCTGTAACAAATATGTGGTATAATTAAGAAATAAGAAAGTATGTGACCAGGTATATAATTTCCTAAATAAATAATAATAAGTTCCTAAATAAATATGGTTTATTAAAAAAGTAGTAGAATTACCATAATAACGCGCTGAGTCGAACAATACATTTTCTGGGTACGGTCCTGATATTTGCCAGGATTTTGGCCAATAATAAGATTGCAATCGTTTTATATTCGGCGGATATATCACATCGGCCTTTGCAAATGGGCTCATTCGATAAAATTTAGAATTTGATCAAACTCTATATAGATAAAGAAGAGGTCAAAAAAAATGGTTACTGAAAGTTTCAAGTTGATCCGATCTGCGGTTCTTTGATTATTCGAGTTTAAAGATGCGATTATTTGTCTCCGCGATAGTACGATGATGACGTCACTGCATGCGATCTCTTCGCTATCCGCTTCGCATTCACTTAACTTGCATTGCATTCGCGATCGTTTCGTCTTTTTTTCGACTATGTTTAATTGATTATATAGGGTAATTATAATAAATAATTAATGCTAATTGTAAGTATAATATTTTGGTTATCGATCAATGAGATTAGCTACGTAAATATATTTAGGAATACCTAAATAATAACTAATACCTACCTATGTATGTTTTGGATTTTGCTCTATAACATGTATTACCCTTTTTATAATGTTCTCTTTTTCATTAGACCAAGTTGACTCAGAATTAACCAAAAATGATCCCGAAATTAAATATCGCATATTACCCATATCGTTTTCAAACTAAAAAATTTAATTATTTTTACTAAGCAAGGTAATTATTATAATTAATACTTATATTAAAATGATCTTCACAGACAAAATGTGTTGACTTTGTACTAACCAACATAACATATACTTCTTTTCATTGATTTTTGTCACAATTTGTTTTTTTTTAAATCGCGCGGAAGACTAATAAATATTTTATTAGGCGTCTTAAAACTAGTGCTTCGAAATTTGGGAACAATGCAATATTTATAACTATTTTTTGATTTATTGTCCGTCATTATTTAAAACTCCCTAAGCGTATTTAAAACCCTAAGAACGCGTTCAATCGACAGCCTATATTACAAATTTGTTCTCGCAACGCATGCAGTGACGTCACAGTCAATTCGAGCGAACGCCTTTTTAAGGCCTTTTTAAGGGACTTCTACATGGAATTTAATTCTGATTTTTTGCATAGTGACTTAAAATTGTGTGGTCTTTCCAAAAAGCAAATAAAAAAAAAGTGTCGAATGAGCCCATTAATAGACACCTGCAATTATGATTCGCGCTTTACGGTAATTGTGGAAAAATTACACAATAATTTCTTCCCATTTATGTTCTTTTGAAACCTTTTTTAATACCGCTATTTTTTCATTACAATTGCTATCTCATTAAAAGATGATTTCTTAAGAGTTTATCTGATTTAATAGGCGGCGGACTGGAAAAGCATTGAATATTCAAGGTAACATATTTTTTTAAAGGCGTTTGAGTAGTTAATTCAATAAATTTACATCTAAATTTTTCAAAGCTTTTCGGAAAATTACCTATCTTGAAAAATTATCATATATCCTTTGCAGCCAATTTCGGCAATGATTAATCTTGATTAACACCTAATACTCATTTTATTTGAATAAATGTGTTTATGAAAAATTAATTTGATCATATTTGTCTAATAAATAATTCATTTTATCTAGATATTATTAACACAATCTTCATATTCACCTATATTTGAAATTAAAAATGTCTTGCGTCAGCTATTCTTAAAATTTTTATGTAACATATGAGAAAAATGCAGTATTTACTAACAATAAATAAATATACATTAATATTCTTCAAGTTGGGTGCAAGTTCACGTAGCTTTAGTATTGTTAATTAATTGCAATATACCTAAGTGCTTGCTGTTCTGCGTCCATACCCATAATTATTGATTATCGGAAAAATTCACGGTGATCCGGTTCTCATTTATCAATTATCGTTGATTTATTTCGTATGGTCGGAAGAAATCCTTGAAAAATCGAGCAGATCTCGTAATGCGGATGTAGATTACAAGATCACAAGAAGGTGTAGGTATATGCGTTGAAGTCCGAGAAAAAACTGAGTAATGGGATTCCGTCAATTAATTTTCCATGGACGGTTTACTGTTCGATTTAGTTCCTGTAAAATTATCAAAAATACGTAAGCAAAAGTTTAAATCAATGGTAATTAGTAGGTTAATTAAGTTTTAGCGTAAAGTAAAAAAGTACGGTTCTGCGTAAATTTAAATAGCTTATAAAAAGAACACGTATTATATAATTTGTTATTAAAATTATTGCTACTGTTTAAGCGAATAAAAGTTAAGTCTCATTTGCATTTTATAAGAGTAGTTCAGCCTTAAGAATGTAAATAACTTATAGTTTATTGCTTAAATTTTTAAGAATTTGCTCTAATTTATTTCATTTTGTAAAACTTTCATTATTCAGAATTCCAACAAGTCATTAGAAATATTATACAATAGTATTCATTTAATTGACTTACTTATCCTTTTCTTGCTGGAATTTATTTATGAATAATTCTTTTGAATCTACAACTATTATTTCTCGATACCTTCCTTCAAAATTCAGCCATATTTTTGTAAGGCAATTTTTTGCAAAATTGCCATAAGAATAAAGAATTATCCAACGTCTCAATTCACATTCATTTAAATACAATAACTGAACTAGTAAGTTAATACTGACATAATCATGTGATATGTCTTTAGAGCAATTGTTATTATTAAGTAGCCGTTCATAAGTATGTGATGTTCGTAAATAAACAAACAATAATTCTGGTCAAGGTTTATTTTGTTTGTAAATTAGCGTGTGTTCTACACTTAATTGCCTGTCTGAGTACCTACTACTTATTGGATGATATAAATTTATAAAGCGATTATAATTGTGTCAATGATATATTTATACCCATATTAGGGACTATGTGTTTGAAATTCAAATAAGCCAAATTAAGGAATTATTTTCGCTTTCGCTAATTATTATTTACGTCTAATTAAAGTAAAAAAGTAATTAAACTTCGAAAAACAAATATCGCTTCTGTTCACCACCGACCAGATTTTGTTGCTTGAATGCCACCTTTAATAACATGAAGAAAGTGAGAGGTAAAGTTTTGAAACACTGTAACAATGAAAATTTAATTGTAAAATCAAATGTTAATAGGTTATATAATTTTTTTGAATCATATTTCTTAATTTACTGTATACCTAGTTAAAAATCTATTTGAAAATTAAATAGCACTGAATTTATTTTTCAGAGATGTTCAACATTTTGTGCTGTGACGTTAAGTTTGTTCATAGGAGCTACAATTTTAAGTAAGAGTGTTCCCAGTTCCCACACATTTGCAGTTGCAGAATATATTCAAACACAGATGTTTGCTAATATATTTTAAAATAATTTTGTATAATTTTTTGAAGAATAAGAAATTTCACACAGAACTTTATTTAAATTCTAATAAATCAAAGTTCTGAAAGTAAAATTTTTAAAAATAAAAAATTAATGCATGCATCAATAAATAATTTAATTAATTTAGAAACTTACTGGTATTTATAATGTTTGTGATGGTTTCTATTTTTCTAGTTACTCTATACGGTTCAGCGTGGCATATATCAAAATCACCAGTAGTCAGTACTTATCAAGCATTTTCGAAAGAAAAATTGTCAGGTGACATCGGTATCTACGTAGGACTAAATCATGTAAATATAACGTTGCAAGGTGAGTACTTTATTGTGACTTCAAATAGGTTCAAAAGTTAACGTTATTATCGTTTCTTCCAGCGAATTCCAGCAGGGAATGGAGTGATATAGACTTTAACGAGCGATTTATGTGGGTAGATGCTAATCAGATGCAAAACAGTTTCAAAGAGGCCATAATAAGGGGCCTGCCCTTTCCTATATTGACTGTAGCAGAATACTTTACCACTGGCCAAGATGGCTTGGCATGGGGCAGACAATACAGAACTGCAGGATATTTCGCCATTATTATGCTTTGGTAGGTGTTTTTATGCTTTAACTATCTGTATCAAAATAATATACTAGAAATACAGGGTGTCCCGCATAAGAACCCACACAGAGCAGGAGACTGTAGGGCAACCAGAAATTTGTTCTTTAGCTCAACTTAGTTTAATACATAGTTACATTCCTGACAAGTTATTATAGGTCTTCAAAGTGGAATTACAAATTTAAGAAAAAAATTAATATCTCAGTAGGTAATACTCAAACTTGAAACTACTAAATTTTGTATACGATCTAAGTTTACTAAGAGCATCAATCGATATTTAGGAAGATTTAAGAATGATTACCTAGTTATTTTAAGACTTTTTTATTCTTTTTATTTTTCAAAATTCTTTATTGAAAAACGTTCAAGAAAAAAGTCAGATGCACTATCAATGTTATTTAAAATTGTCGATAATTCAAAAGTTGACTGTACTAAGTTAAAGTTGGGTCAAACAACATAATTTTAGGCTTCCCTCTTTTATGTGTCGATTCACGGGACACCCTGTATATTTAATAACAATAGTTATTTAGGCGGTCGGTTAAATAAAAACAATCGGAATAAAAATCTCCTAGGTACTAACGAACAAAAAACAAAAGCCGCCATGCCGCATGAAATTTTTACAGCACGAACAAACATTTTATGTTCAATTTATACTCGCTTACACAACATAGCTAAATCGTCTGTGTAATTCGTAATAACAGATGCACTACAATTGTGCGTTTAAAATGATATAGCGGAACAAAAAGTGACTTTTTAGAACAAATTGTCATACCTCATACCCATTGAGAAGACCTTCAACGACTAATGTACCGACTACAGCAATACCTTTTTAACAATTAACATAAATTTAACGAAGCCAGGAAGTTCACTTTTCTTTTTAACAACGACATTGACCATCCTACCTATACATCAGCGGAGACGCATAATTTTTTCATTATAATTTTTAGGACTTCTTTTGTGACATGGGTGTTAATGAACCTTATGCTAATTGCGGTGCCGAGGTACGGCGCTCTTCTTATGACCTTGTGTGGGTTCCTTTTGTTGTCGACAGTATGCGGATATTTCGGAATGTTACCGGAACCTCCTCTGGTCGTCTACGTAGAGGGAACCAAAATGAATTTTTCTTTTGGCTGGTGTTATTGGCTGGTTTTGATAGCAGGTAAATCCTAAATAATTTGCATTATTCAAATTTATCAAAACTGTGACTGTATTTTTATGTTTTAGGAGGAATTTGTTTACTAGCTGGTGTAATAATAACTACAGTAGAAATACTTAATCCTCATAGTTTTTCGACAATATTAGAAGTTGATTACGACACCCCTTTCGATAGGCATGTGATTATAGAAGATAGCAGGGGAAAAAGGTTTGAAAAGAGAAAAAATAATACCAGTTTAGAGGAAGCGAATTCGATAGGTAGAATTCTGAGGTAGTCTCATCTCGGAATTGCGTTTTTTGACAGATTTAAAATATTGTTTTGTTTTTTTAGGAGACTAAATTCGAAAAATAAGGAAGAAACAACACACGTGCAGAATAAATCTAGTAATAGTACATCGAATGGGAATGAAGAATTCCGTTTAGAACCGAGCCCTTGGACTTATCCGTATAAAAAGAATGATTCCTGTTCGTCTGTGTCCATGATTTCTTCCACTATGTCAATATCTGCTTCTCCACCGCTTAGAGATCAGTTAAAGTAAGAATATATTCTTATGTTTCATTCCAAATTATATTCGGGTTGCAGAACCAGCTCCTAATGATCGTTCATTAATATTTCAGATATGACATGGATCCTGTTCAGATGTGGTAATAAAATTTTTGATACTAGTGCAATCGTTTCGACTAATAATTGAAGTGATTTTATTGTGATACGTCATGAGAATGGCCATATTTATTATCTACTAGTTTGTACATTTAATTATAGTTTTAATTTATTTAATTGATATCAAGAATTACAAATAAATTCGTAGAAAGTACGTTGTATTTTATTTTAGAGATGAAGATCAATTAATTGAGAAACAAATTTTATGCTCGATTGTACTTCTTTTTTCAAGTTCAATTTTGCAAACTCGTTATCTAAGAAGAAAATTAAGAAATGATAATTAAAAGTCTCCTAAAAAATAAAGCAAACTTTATTTCACAAAAGATAAATATAGTAGTCAATTATTTATTAATTATCAGGTAACATTTTATTTATTAATAAATGTGAAACTACTGTATATAAAACACATCACATTTTTAAACTCCAACAAATTGCATTTATTAGACGATTCTATATATTAAGCCCGTTTTTCTTATATCAATCTCACTAGGAGTAAGCACATGAACAAAAAATGAAGACTGCGATTACAACGGTTAAATATGCTTTAATTCAAAATGATAATCAAAAAATGCATTTGCATTATTTCCTAGTGAGATATTTGATTTGTTTGTGGAGTTTTATATGCTTGCCCTTTTCACTAACTATACGGCTATAATTACAAGCCGAACAAACTGAAGCTAGCAAAACTGATTAATTGAAACAAATTTTTTCCACAAACAAATATTTATTGTCTTCCAGCTTATACGTATAATATAAGCTCACTTACCTACTACGAACCGCCATATTTTTCATTAACAATACATACCAAATCTCATTATGCAATATAATTATCTAAATATCTTCCTCGGAATCCGAAACTAGCAACTCATCATCCAAATTATCGTTGTGTCATCTGGTGATGTAAACTGTATCTGTCACGGGACCTGGAATATTCTCCTTGAAATTGCATTCAACGTTCATTGATGTATTGGGAGTAATATTGACTTGATTATGAACTTTAGGGCTCCTAAAAAGACCTTCGCACGTGCAACAATCGCATCTCCAGAATAATAGTAGCCCTGAAATGTTAAGCAATATTAAAAATGTGATAAAAAGTAATGTTTTAAGTATTGAACGTCAAAAAAATTGGGGGAAATAAAAGTTATTACCTGCTAATGACCAGAAAATGATGCCTTGCCATATATCTATAAAAATCGTAGATGCCAGAATAATATTTAACGCCATCGAGGTTATATTAAAAAAAGGAAACAGTATGGACGGTAGGATTGCTTCTTTTGATTTATCTGCCCCGTTTTGGGGCATTGCTGTTATTACTACTGCTGATATGATTAGACCTATAATAAATATTTATAAATATTTCAATTAGATAAGTATTATATAACGTATACATACCTACAAAACTAGGCCAATAAATACTGTAGACTCTTTCGACATACAGAGCCAGACAAATCGATGATACAATCGCTAATATTAGGCAGAAAGTAACTACAGTTGAAGTAAATCTTGTAGATCTTTTTTTCTCGTTGAATTTACCAACTGTTGCAACCTGATAAAGAATTTTAATAAATATGTATTAGAGTTACGGATGATAAAATTTATACAATGAATTTCACTTACTTTCAAACCTTCTTTATATTCTTCAACGACGATGTCAACGTCTGTAGATGAACTGGAATTTTCATCATCAGTGGCAGCTAATGAATCATCACCGAGTTCTGAAGAACTATCATCAGCGGCATCCAAATTTATAGCTCTTGTATTGTAATCATCAAGTAGAAGACACTCTCGTTCTTCTGCAGATGGAAACATGTATGTAAATAATTTTACTGCAAAAATGCAGTTCAATTGCAACTTACCAATTTTTTTGTTTCTCCCTGAAGAGAGTTTTTGGGTAATTAGAGCTTTCGGCGAACTGAGATGGTGAATATAGTAAGGCTTTCTTTTGAACCAATTACGAAGTTTTTCTTTAATCAAAGACCAGCTTAAGGTATCTTGCATGGATAAGTTACTGGAATTTCCCTGTAATTTACTGTATTGAACGCTTGTATTGTGAACTAAAACAATTGTTGTAATTAGATCGTTGTTAATTGGAGCACTTCCGAATCATTACCTAAATAATCGTAATTGATATCCGGCTTGTATCTATTATAGATAAGTTTGCAAGATATCAAAGCGCACTTCAACAGCCCAGCAGTATTTAGAAGTTTTATAAGATGCGACAACGGACAAGCAAAAGCCAGTATCGCCGAAAGACTTCCTATAAATATTAACATTAAAAAATAGCATTGCCAAATCAAAGTTTTACCTGCAGCGAAAATGGCTAAAATAGGTGCGCCCGTAGTTGACGTCCTATATTGTATTAAAGGAACAAATATTCGCCACTCTTTACTCGCCAGTTTGACGAAGGAATTGTAAACTGTGGGTAATATTTCTGTTAAAATTAGACAAACGACGAAAATTGTTGATGCCGCCATGACGGGTCGAGCCCAATCGACGTCCCGACTTTCGAAAATTTGCACCAAAGGAATAGCGGTGCCGATAAGTTCTCTATAATTGAGTTTCGATGAGATAGCTATACATATAATAATTTTTAATAATGCACTTACTTGCGATGAATCATCATAGAAAATATTATTGCAGTTGATGTGTACAATATTAAAGGAGTAAAGATTATTGCAGACATTTTTATGTAGTTGTTGTCTTGTAATCTAGGAAAAACATGTACAAATGCAAAAATACATTTAGCTGCCGCTCGTAAAACCTAAAACGAAAAACAATACTTTAGATCTAAATGCTTTACAAAATTATTTTTCAGCGCCCGATACAAGAAAGGTCATTAAAGCGGAAATCTCAATTAATCCCATTATAAATTTTAAATTAAGTACCCTCAAAACATTGGTATTGGAAGGGCAAACAATTTAATTAGGAGCCCCTTCGTTATAAATTTGAGGTATTCACACGCAAATCGTTTTTGCAAACTTTCAAAATTTGCTTTACCCGAATGGGAAATTAATTGAATATTAAAATTCATGTAAATTACATCTAATTCAACAAAAAATAACTCATTTACCTTTCTAAAAGAATGCACTTTAAAATTTTCGCACCATTTACGGAATTTTATCACAGTATGAATACTTCCAACAACGTTAAAAAATATAAAAGTAGATAATAAAGTTATTATTATTAGAATTGATATAGCTGATGATTTCTGAAACAAAATAAATAATGTAAACATTCCTCCACTCACTTGCATAATAGCACAGTGTATTAATAAAATGAATATTTAAATTAATCTGCTACAATTTCTTACTTCTAAACCCATCATAAATAAGATTGTTACTATAACTATTATGGTAACACCCAAGACATCTGGCCAAGGCTCTCCTAAAGAATGCTGTTCCATGCCAAAAAGAAACTCCCTAAAGTGGCCTTTACTTATATAGTCAACAGTGGCGCTTGCTAATCTGGCGCAAGTAGCGGTTGCCACTAAATTCATAAGAATATCTAGCCACAAGATAAGGAAATCGAGGACATCGGAAAATTTCTTTTTTCTATATTGTTCTTGTGACTCTCTTGAGGATGAGTGACACAAACCTTAAAGAATAAATAAGTTTACTAATCAATTTTGGTTTATGTTGATGATAAGTAGAAGTAATTTTTAGAAATAGTTCATGCTTACCTGAAAGTATTGATGTAATAGCTGCCACTAAGATGCATATAAAAGTTTCAGCTCCTGAATATTCGGACGCTACCAAACCTATCAGAATAAACAAACCGAATGACCAGTTAGTTAGACTGTTTTCAAAATATTGCAAAACACCCATTTTAACGGTATGATCTGCAACAAAATTTACAATGGAAATTAATTAAGATATTATTTTGAAATTTATTACTTAGATATTACACTTAATAGCATGGGTATAGGTAAATGTTCACAATGAAGTAATTGGAAGCTACTTTAATGTTAATACACTGTAAATGTACATTTAATATTAAAAAGTAATATAATTAAGGCTAAATGTACCACCTACTTAAAGGACTTGATACACTGTTTAATTTTTTTATAACATTCGCATAGAATTTATCGATCAGTTTACTGTATTCTATGTTTATGTTATTGAAAATGATTTCATGGCGTATTCTAAAAATATTTCAACGAAATTACCGTATACTATGTTTCCCCGGCACAACACAACACAACCTTTGGAACTAAAATCCCCGAATAAGTGCAATTTTTCACAATTATTCTTGACGTTTTTCAGAACATTCCATAGTATTTCAGCGAGCGTGTTTTTTCCTGCAATATTCCTGCATTACTAAATCAATATTTCTGTTAGCGCAGTCGCGACGTAAAGAACAATCCACGTGGTATCCTATCAACTATAAAGGATAATTTCAGGATTGAAGTAAGTGGGCCACTCGGGCATCCGGTAAATAATCGAACAATTAGATATTTCATCGCTTCTAAATACCCCTTTTCAGGTATAGGTAAAACTTGAAATTAGATTATGCGAAAAGAAATCAAACTTAAAACTGTAATTGGAAAGATTTTTCTCCGGCTTTGCGCAACAAATATTTTTTTCTATTTTTCTATTTCTGTGTTATTACAATTGCAAAATGTACTTTGAAAAAAGATTTCGGCAGATTTGCAGCTAAAATGAAAAATTACATTTAGTACGTTGAATTCAAAAATTTGAAATTACACAGTTTCATGGATAAGTCATTTAAACACGAATTACCTAAAACATTTTAAAATTTTAAAAACTGTACTGAATTCGTGTTTGTAAATTAGGTTTCATTAGTTTTGTTTATTTTATCCAGTATAATTTCATGTGCACAATAAAATGTTTTTATGCATTTCGTTCCTAAAAAAATTACAAATAAATAAATCCTATTACTATATGAAACAACTTTAATTATTTCGGCAGTAGGTAAACAAGAAACACCGTTTTATTACCGGTGCCAACTAAGTAATTAATTTCAGAGCAACTTTTGGAAGGTCTCAGGGTTGGGTTAGTTTATCTTTGGCGGCTGGAAATGGAAAGAGAATCAACAGTAATTGCGCGAATTTTCTCCTTTGAATTCGCCAAATATCAGTGGATTCAAAAAAAGGAGAACGCTTTAAAAAGCGATGAACCGTTCACCGTTCTTTCCGCCTACCCCGACTTTCGTACATTTCTGGTGTATTTCTTTTTAAGTTTATTCGGATCGTTTCTTTTATTCTGTAAATACTCCCTTTTCGACATTTCCTGTCTATAATGGTGAGATCTCCGATATCGATAAAAGTAGACGGGAAATCGGAAAATCATGATGATTTTAAATATTCAAATTATTTTTACTTAATCCGCTTTTATAAATCAATATTTAATTAATTATAAAACATCAAGAAACAAATATTTAATATATGTATTAAATAAAAGTAGGTACCTATTTTATTTCGCTATATTATAATTTATTTATATTTATTTATTTAATTTATTAATTTTAATATGAAATATTTTTTTATTCATATTTATGAACATTCTACTTGTATTTTATATCGTAGGAAAGGTGATACGAAGATGAAGCAAAAATAGAGATAGGTAGTCTCTCAACCCTTACTTTAAATATTAAATTTCATATTTCCCGGCTGACGATGTTTCGCTTAAAGATTGTATATTTAAAAACTTTCCGCGAGATATCTGTATTTCAGCTTAAAGTGCATGTAACGTTATATGATAGGAATTTAAAAAAAAAGTAGAAAAAAAGGATAGGAGGCGGGCATAAATCAACGAACAATAGATCCTTTCTTAAAAAAACATCCTTGCTAAGTCGATAAAAATGATTAATGTCCTTTTTTGGAGAATTAGAAATACGGATCAACAGGAATATGGTAGATGGATACATGGTGCAATGGTATATGAGTCTTTATTATTATGATTATTTTATTATTGATTGATTATTATTTCTATTATAAAATCAAATAAATTTATCATTTAAGCCAATTATTGATATTCCTATTGTTAGTTTTCTTTTCATTTGACTTCCATTGTTAATTGAAATTTTCAATCATTAGCGGAGCTTTTGTTATTTCCGTGTTCAATTATAACACATTTTTAATTTTTCTATTAATAAATGAAAATTCAACATTGCTGTAGGGTAGTATCAGCCGGTAGTTAAATTGTTTGATAAAATTTTTAATTGAATAATTCGTAATTACGTTACATTTCGCCAATTTCAAACGTCAATTGCATTATTTAAAGCATTCGGATATCAAGCGAACAAAAATTGCAAATCGAAATTTCCAAAAGTTTTCGTCAAAAAAGCGATCGGGAAAACTTTAGTGTGCGCGCACCAGTTCCAATGGGGCGGGGACGGTCTCGAAATTCTGAGTCCGCATCGGATGCTGGGTGCTGTTTTCAGTTTTCAGTTCAGTTTTCAGTCTCTCTGATGCAAGCGCGGTGCATGTGGCGCGACGAGCGATACTGAAACACTCAGAAAACCGACACTCCCACTTTCAGTTCGGGATCATAATGGTCCGATTTCGGGAGACGTTACGGAAGTACGCTCATGATTCGTTGCGTAGCGGTTATGTCAATGTTAAAAAATTAAAATTTTAAATGAGGGTGAGTGAATTTCGGAAAATTGAACGGAGAGATTGTCATTGGGAATTACAGAAGTAGTTTTTTAATCCATTTTTAGAGAACTATTTGGTTAATTTTTCGACTGAGAAAATATAAATGTATATTTAAACTTTTAGAACTTTCAGGACCAGTATTTTCTCAATGAATTCGTTTTATTATACAAAATACAAACATAATATTTATTTATTCAAATGCCACATTTGGCCAAAAAGGAATTTATTGGGAAAATAAAAGACCGGCTCTAAATTATCGAGAAATTTCGCAAATATTTTACCATCAACGGTTTTATTTGGGTAATTCCTGCGGTTTTATTGTTTTGCTTTATATGAGAACTCTTGATGTTGGTACATGTAACGTGGTTTATGGATCTAATTAAAAACAGGTATTCCATGTATGTATCTACCCTCTACAATTTGTATAAAAAAATGTAGCTTTTGTTTTATAATTCTACAGATCGGCAGGAGTAGCTGAAGCAACAAAAAGTCCATGTGGGCTGTAGCAAAAACATACGAAACTCGGTAGTTTAATAAATTTTTCAGGTATTCTTGTTGAACTGTTGAAGTTTTTAACATACAGCTAAAACACGTTTTTATTTTTGTAATTTCTAAATAGGTATTTTAAAATCCTATAATTCGATGAAAATTGTAGGCATTAAGAGTTGTTACAAAAGCTCTCAAAACCACCATTAAAAGTTTCCATGCGTAACTTCTTTAGTTAGTATAGGCTGTTTTATATTTCATCGAATTCGTCAAGTTCTCCCTTTTTATCATCCATGTAATACAACTTTTTACATTTAGGCGCATTTTATAAAGCAACAAGAAGAAGCGTAACGTATAAATCTTTTCATTCTGGCTTGCTTGTTGGTAGCCTTAAAAAGTTTCGGGAAGTTTCTATACATATCGCACAACGTGCTTTTCCAATTCCCATTCGTCCCGATATACCTGGTTAGCGGTGGTCGTTTGTTCAGAATACATCCAGCCATTTCAAAAAGTCACGAATGCACGGCTGGTTTAACGACAGCCCACAGTAATGCAAGTAAAATAAAAGTATTTAAACAGTTAATTTAAAATTTTTAACAGGAAGTGGACGGGATATTAGCAACACTTCTGTAATAGTCAATTACAATTTTTGTTCATTTTCCATTTCACGATAATTTTTTTAGTAAAAACGAACAAATAATATAAATTCTAAAATAAACAAAGCTAAAATAATAAACTAAATAATACGAATATACATAAATAAAAATTGTTTGTAACGAGCAATAAAAATGAAGTTAAAACAAATACTCGATGTGGGGTTCCTGTTAAACGCCCTAATAGTATCAGTAGTGAGTGCTGGTCCTGCATGGAAGGAAATCCAACGCGGTGGAGGGTTAAAAATTGGCTCCGGAGGAGGGAAGAACACGTCTTTACTTAGAGGAAACGGTGAGTTGCGTATTATACAAATTATAGCATTTGCACGCCGGTAAACCATATTTCATTTTCCAATTTTTTTTGCAAAATATTACAATTATCAATTAATTGTTAATTAGCATAGTTTAGTGTAGTGTAGATAATACCTAGAGTTTATAGAGTTGGATGTATGCGCTTCTCCTCAGATCCCATTGCAAACTAATTTCAACAAACTTTTTCATAAATGTTGAATTATAAATTAGGTGGAACATCTTCAGGTATCAAGTTGGGAGGAAGCACTCGAGGTATCCGCACCACGACGACCATACTCCCCGAGGAAGACCACATTTTCGCTCCAACGACGCCGAGCGTCAAAACGGGAATGAATCATCTCCACATCGGCATAATGGTTCCTTACAAATCGTTCGGAGTGAGAGAGTACAAAAAGGCTGCAAGCAGTGCTACTGCTTACGTTCAGAGAAAATTGAAGTTTTTCAAAAACCACGACATCCAAACGCATTTGGAAATGCAAGAGATGACTCCCAGTCCTACAGGTAAGATTTTACTACGAATTACAAGCATTTATTTGTTATGCCGGTTAGATAATCCATTCGACCGCCTCGGGAATCCCTGCAGAATGCATTCTGTTACCGTCATTTTGTTTATTTGCCTGCTTCTCGCGCTATCGTAGTCTCTGGTATGTGGATTGTATTGCAAGGTGCTCCGAGAAAATGCGTTCGGATCGAAATGTAAAGGCCACCCACCGCAGAAGCGTTGGAGTATTCGAATGGAAAGTAAATCGACTGCGGATCTCACAAACGATAAAATCGTCGTTATTTAAATTGAGGTCTCTAGAGAAGGGTTTTAGATATGTATCTTTTTATAAATCGCTTTCTAAAAGCTTTCTTCTGAAAATTAGATTAATTGATACAAAGTAGTCGCCAAGAAAAACTTTTAGGAAGGAAAATGTTTCTCTTTCAGGAAAAAACGCTTCGAGTATTACTGCATTGTATAAGAATTCTTTCTATTAAAATTATTACAGGTGTAGGTAATACTGTATTCAAGTATAAATGGAAACTACTTTGTTTCCATAAATAAATTTCCATAACAATTTCCGACCAAATTCGTGCCGGTTAGAACGCATTAGAAGAAAAGCAATAAAAGCAAAACGAATCGAATATGACATTTCCGCGGAATCAGAGTGCGATGGATTATGTTTTGGATTCTGAGCACGACAAAAAGATATTTCATTTTATGCGAATATATGTTGAACATGGTTATCGTGAAAGATAAGTAGATAAAGTGATCACAGTGTTGTGGTGTTATTTTTAGAAAGATTTTTTTTATTTTAAACAGACGTTATCCGGTTGGTGGCTTTGTGGCGAAATAGAGGACACGGAGCAGTTGAATTTCAATGAGTCCAGAAAAGTTAACACGGAAAGAATAACTTTAAAATGGAAAATCGAAAGAATTCCTCGATGGCATAGTTTGTTCAAGATATTTACAAAATTTAAAATAACACTGAGAAAACATTTCAACATTAGAAGGTACATTAAATATGCTAGAAGAAGCAACCATCAATGATGAATAAAATATTAAATGCTATATGTACCTACTAAATTATGTTCAAAACATGAAAATATAAAAAAGGTGCTTTTTAGGTTAGGTCTTCTAATATTCAATTATTCGGGAAGTGATTTATTATCTCATGGAAAGACGTACTCTGGCTTTCATTTTCCTGTATTTTGTTTACTGCTATTGCGTATACTTGGTATCCCATGGGTGTTTGTAATAAATATAGAATGAACATCGAAAGGGTTTCATTTCCGAAGTTTACTTTGGATGAATAATATGAAATAACGTTAACATTTTATCTTAAATAGGTTGTAAGGGACTAGTCTTCGTACCTACGAACTAAAAAAACAGGTAACATAATTAGACAACATCTTATAAACATTAACATTGTTCTATTGCAATTACTAAATATTGTAGTATGCAAGCTGATTCCGAATTAGGTATAAAGCTAGCATAAATTCTGTGCCTACATACCATACGTTCTATAGATAGAAAATCGATAAATATTTTTGTTCATCCGCATATCTTCCCAGTCACGTCCAAACACATTGGTCATTAGTTCCTAATTTCACAGAAAGCTGGGATTTTTTGCAGAAATCCATGATTGAAAAATAACCAAGTGATTGTTATTTGTTTAATAAATTCTTCCTCACCGTACTATTTGTGATGAATTCTAATTCACATTTTTTAAAATATTTGCATAAATACTGTTAACTGTATTCACAATTCTGATGATTACAAAATCATTCAAATTATTCAGGTAATTTTTGCAAAGTACGAGATTACTTCCTAAGCGCGAGTAGTTCGAAAAACTAATCTAAGTCGCTTTTTCATTTGACCCTTCTCGTTTGCCCACGTCTTTAATAATGAAATTTAATTAAAACTGAATTAAAGATCCGAGAAAAACGAATTTTCACCATCTTATCTCATTAGCAAAAAATTAATTAAAGCATAAGGCACTTAAAAATCGGCAAATTAGCCAATAGTGTTTTGTAACACGATTTCTAGCAAGAAAACCAGTAAAACGATACTATTTTAATTCTTCCATTAGATGTATACTTTAAATTAGTATACCGTGTTATCATGTGTTAGCATATCCTGTTAATATTCATTCGTGTTCATTGAGTTTATTTATCTTTGCGCTCAACAGTGAGTCTGATTCTCGTCGCTATTTTCATATTCATCAGAATACTGTTTCGAAGGAAGTACTGAAACCCAACATTGTTTCTTTTTTATAATAAAATTAGAGGATACTGAAGGAAAACGAGAAATTGTTTCCATTGTTCAAACACATAAGCAAAGTTTTTAAAAAATGTATAATATAGTATACTTTATGTTTAAATATTAAATTGAATGGAAGTATCCGAACGCTGCGAAAATTGCGATTTATAATAAATTGCATAAGCTGGTGCACATCCATCAGATGCAGTGTTAAAATATTCAGAACCAAAACTCAAAACTCTGTTGATGTAGCACACTGAAGCGCGATTTTCAAAGGAAACGAAAGTTTCCCGTCGTCGGCGTCGCTAAGTAGACGTTATTTGTTTGCAAAATTTGAACTGGAGACACGACGCGACAGCGCCGCTCAATCATTTGATACTTGAAGTTGTTATATCGTAGATATACGTATGTAACCTCTCTTTAAGGAAAAATTTGCGACGAGAGAAATTTTATGAAATCGAAATCATAAAATGTTGAACCAGCTACCAGCAGCTAAAGAGGATTTGTGTTTTTCTGCTGAACATGACTATATAGATAATGTAATAGGAGTTTTAGTATCAATAAATGTTGGATATTACTTTAGAAATGGAGTTGCCATTCTAGTGCATTCTATTTTTAAATACCAATCATCTTTCTGTACGATCACATGAAACTTATTTTCAACAGGATTGGTGGTAATATTTGAAAGAAAAATAAACTGAAAAAATTGGTTTATTCATTAGATATTATTATTGTCTCAAAATAACATATCTATTTGTATAATCACGTTAGGAATAAAAGTATTCTTTATTTTCTCTTTCAATTTCTCTTTATAAATAACAAGAAAATAAAAAGATAACTTAGTAACTTGAAAGGCAATTTCGAGCTAAAAACATTTCAGAGAGGATAAAAAATTATAATGAGTTTATAACGAAATTTAATGCATAGCTTAGAGTTGACATACAACTTACTAAACACCACCCTTGGTTATACGAACTACAAAAAATGGATGTAAAATAATAAAAAAATAATTAGATGACTTTGCATTCCTTAATAACATGTATAAAAGAAATTCCACATCAGTCCTCATTCGCCTTAAGATCACCTTGTTTGTGAAATTGTTGCTTTAGATTTTTTTTAAACTCACTCATTCTAGACAGTTTAAAAAAATAATAGCATGTTTAAAACATAGTTTTCCCTCTGGTTGATAAAAACAGCAATTTGGCAGTTAAAATGGAAGAATTTTGTTTCAACAAAGCAATTACTAAACAGGTGTCTATCGATTTTCTCTCTTTTTAATTAAAGCAAACGCAGCATCAGGTTTATATAAATTGACCCCTTGTGTCGGATGCAATCACTCGCGTTGGCCAACCGCATTTTACGGTAACCCGTCACGATAGTTTTTCACGAATAAATTCGTATTACTCTAAATTAACGTGTTACAAACGAAGTAAAGTTTTCTATAAAGTATCGCGGCAACGTCAGCATGAATCGAAAGTTATCTCCTCGATAAAGTTTGAGTCGAGCTCAGGCTGAGGCTGAAGGTATAGAGGTGTGTACAAGTTTATAATTGAATAGACTCAAATCACTTCGTGCTGGAACATTCAGGCGGTTAAATAACATTCGTGCTACTCGTTCATAATTAGTTTCAATTAATTGGCAGAATTTAATCGTGCAGGTACAAATTTAACGCTTCCCGTTACTGTAAAATTGTGCGGAAACAAAGTGCTTGTTGATTGTTAAACGGTTTAGATTTAATTCATTATTTAATTTACATTACAGTACGTGAAATTATAGTGGTGGGTATTTTCTGTATAAATTGTGATTTATTCTTTTTTTTGAATATTTATTTAAGCAGCTGAACAATCCGAAATTTCATTTAAATATAAAAATCATTTCCATAAAATGTAAATCGAATCGACTTTCAAAACGAATCCCAGAAAATCGCCCTTTAAAGACCACCTACTTACTTCAAAGACAAGTTATTTTTTAGGCGTGACTGATACGCAGGGTTTCCGTTTCTTTAAATTTTCTTTATTTATGAGCGACAGTGGGATTTATAAGCGGTCGGAACTTATCGTGAATTTAGAGGATTAAATTATTTCGAGAACTTTTCGGAAGGATAAATGGAAGAGTGAGATCGTTTGGTTGTGTAAAGTCGGCCAATTTTGTGGCGGATGTTAAATCTTTGAAAACTTTTTCACGAATCTCATCTGAATTCCTGCTCGAGAAAATTAATTTCAAATGATGTGTGTATAGTAACCAAATCCGATTTCTAAGCCACTTGAAATCAAACTGAACAATGACTCAAAAGGCTTATATAAGACAAGCGGGTCGTAAAAATTTCTCTCTAATTCGCTAATTGTTATGGAACGTACTCGAGGAAACGGATAATTAAATTTTTTGTGCGGCCGGAGAATTAGCCTAAATCATTAAAGCCAGCGTTAAACGTGTTGACTTGGCGTATGCCGTAAGGGCAAGGAGAGCGATGAAAGAGAAAACGACAATGAAAAGGGAAGATAATAATATGTAGTTTGTCGGCTTCTACAATGCGGTTTTAGAAAATTGGGCTATTTGTGTAAGTTTATTTTCAGAAAAGTTTATTTCATTTAAAAATTTAGTCTTAATATTTTTTGGATTCCTAAATAGCTACTTAATTATACTTGAGTCTATTCTGAAACACCCTGTGCATTTCTAAGTTATGCAGGTTCTTACTTATGACTTATAGTTATGACATCATTCATCAGCAAATATCCGTGAAAAATGGCGCATTTTACGT